GTACAAGTCAATCTCTGTATGTGTAGATATACCGATTTTAATAATTTTATTATAATCATGCTAATATAAATTAATGATTTGTCTAATTACTAAAACATTTTTCTTTGCAATATCTGTAGTAATGTAAAATATTAGTTGTTTCATTTATTTGTAAGTAGAACGAGTCAACATTTTCGAGACATTTTTCAGTAGTATATGTCAATAAAACGAAGACCCAAATCCAAGTGATATAAATCAATCAGTTTCGTCAGTAGTATAAGTCCAGCAATGTAAAACAAGTAGTACAAGTCAATCTCTGTATGTGTAGATATACCGATTTTAATAATTTTATTAATCTTGCTAATATAAATTAATGATTTGTCTAATTACTAAAACATTTTTCTTTGCAATGTCTGTAGTAATGTAAAATATTAGTTGATTCTGAATAACTATAATTAAATTTCGATATTATGTGAATTGTAAGAATTTATATTTCAATAATTATACTGAAGAAGACCGCGTGCGGTCGAAACGTTTATAGAATGAATGTAATTTGCGTTAGTTTTAATATAATGACTGTAGTTTTATAATTTATACATGTAATAAATGGTAGTTGACTGAACATCTCGAATATTCAGCTCGATAAGTTGGCCTTATATTTATCACTTTGTTTTCAATATACGAGCGACAATTGTATTAATTTATTTTTAATATACGCTGGCCTTACAATGCGTCAATTTAACACAAAACGGACTGATTACTATTTTAATTTTAATTTTATTCATAGAGTTTTTGGAAGAATAACCGCAGATTATTTTAAACAATGGATTAATGCGAATTACTTGTTAATAAGAGCGAGAGCAAAATTGGAATTTTTAAGAAATTGTAAAAATGGCGATATTTTTCCTACACATTTAGAAGGTTTTTGCCGCATTAAATTTAACGTTTTTCATCACAGATCGATCAGAAGACTAGATAGTATGTTGTACAAATTCAAAACAAATGCGATGAGCATTGAAATCTTTGATTTGCATAGACAGGTAGAGTCATTACAAAATAGGATTTTTCATCTCACCAGCGGGTTATTTAATCGTTTACCTGTACTCGCGTGGAATAGAATTTTCGAACATCATAACATTGCTTTTAAAAATTGCCACAACAGATTGGTTACTGCACACGAAAAGAAATTCAATTGGCTTAAGAGAAAACAACACTATAAGTATATCAACAGCATCAAACCTATAGATATACATTGTTCTTTACATTTTGAAACTTCACAACCGACGAAAATATCACAAAATTCTCTCAGGGCAATCACTAATGATGCCAAGGAGATCAATATACACATAGAAGCCAATAAATTTCTCAATGATACAATTAACCCTTTGGAAAATACTAATAAAAAATGGTTTGTTAATCTTTCCAACACAGACATTCCGCCTAACGTTTCTAATCTGTTGCAAATGGGTGATAAATTCTGTCTTCCGAATATTAGTAAAAAAACAGCGATACATGAATTCATCAAGGACATAGAGAGTAATAGCAAACGAAATAATATTAATAATCTCACAACAATCAGAAATATCGCGGTTCCAAAATTTGCACAACTTCTGAACACGAAGGATAAAAATGACGTAAGTCAACAAAAATTACTTGGTGCACACAGAGATTTAATAAAATTTTGTAAAGACAATCCGAAGGTTCTATTCACACGCGCGGACAAGGGTAATGCTACGGTGGCAATGGAAAGATCTCATTATATTAACAAAATGGAAAACGTTTTAAAAGATGTCAACACTTACACTATTGTTAAAAAAAATCCGTGCAAAAAAATAGAGAACGATTTGAATGATTTGTTGAAGAGATGGCTTAAGGAAGATTATATTTCAAAAAACGAATATTATAAATTACGTTGTAGTGATTCTCTCCTTCCAAAAGCGTATGGATTACCTAAAATCCATAAGGAAAACTATCCAGTTAGAATCATAGTTTCATCGGTTGATACAGCTCTATACTCGCTGGCTTCGTTTTTACAAAACACCTTACGAACTAGTCTACCCAAAGCGAAAAGTCATATTAATAATAGTTTTGATTTGTACAGCATATTGTCTGGTAAAAAGATTGATGAGAATGATAGGATGTTTTCCTTGGATGTGGTGTCTTTGTTTACGAACGTTCCTCTGGATCTTGCGATTGACGGTATTAACGATAGATGGGATCACATTGGAATAAATACTAAAATACCGAAAAACGAATTTTTGGGGGGTATAAAATTCATATTGACTTCTACATATTTTACATTTGATGACATAATTTATAAACAGACGTTTGGGACCCCTATGGGGTCACCGTTATCACCAATTATTGCAGACCTGGTTATGCAAGATCTTGAGGATACAGTTCTCAAAGCGTTGAATTTGGAATGTTTGTTTTATTTTCGTTATGTGGATGACATAATAGTGGCCACCTCTATGACTAATATGACTCAGATTGTGAATAATTTTAACAACTATCATGAAAGACTTAAATTCACGGTCGAACAAGAGGTTAACCATAGCTTGAATTTCTTAGATTTATCACTTAAAATTATTAATAACAAAATATATATAGACTGGTATCAAAAAGAAACCTTCTCAGGAAGGACGTTATCATTTTATTCAAACCACCCACTATGCCACAAAATAGGAATAATATATAACCTTGTAGACAGATGTCTATTGCTATCACATCCACTATTTTTTAATAAAAATTTGGAGTTAATTATTAATATACTCAGAAGCAATGGTTACCCTCTTGATCTGATTTTTAACAAAATTAATCATCGGATAGAACACATCATATCTAAGGGGAACATTATAGAGAGACAGGCCAACATAGAAAGAACAAAAAGTATAAGAAATGACTCGGTTAATAAAAAATTCTTTGTCATTCCGTATATAGATGGGATCTCAGAAATGATTGTTTCCTCGGTAAAAAATAAAAATTGTATGGTAGGGTATAGATGTCTCAACAAACTGGATAATATTATTAAAGCGCAGAAAGATAAAACTAAACATCCATGCAATTCGAATGTGGTTTATAAGATCAGTTGCAATAATTGTAATGCATCTTATGTAGGCCAAACAAAGAGGCAATTGCAGACGCGAATAAAAGAACATAAAAATAATATTAGGTTGGACTCAACGAAACATTCAGTAATTTCTGAACACATAATAAATGAACATCATACTTTTAATTGGGACAATGTTAAGATCATGGACAACGAAAATAATTATTATAAAAGACTCATTTCTGAGATGCTACATATCAAGGAACAAAAAATGGACTAAATTTAAACAAAGATACTGAGTTACTTAGCGAGTCGTATTTTGATATTTTGGATATATTAGCGAACAAGAAATAATAATAGGACAAATAGGACATTAACGAGTAAAACATAGATATTAGATCATATATAAACACGCACGCTCTCCGATCAAGTAGAGTTTAAAATGAGCGGTCTTTCTGTATTGTTGGTTTGTTATGTGTCATCCTTAATAACTGTTAATAAGTAGCAAAATTATCAAGAAGAACGATGATAGGTAAGCATACTACCAATTGTAGGGGATACATATTATAATTTGGACATGCGTTGATCGGTAATTTTTTATAAATCGCAGCGCCTACGGAACGGGTTAATTTCTCGCATATTAACGATGAAACTATCCGAGATCTGAACAAAATCAGGGATCATATCGAGGCGAACATTGTTGGACAGGACGGATTGAAACACGCGTTAATTACTCAAAAACTCTTGATTCTGAATAACTATAATTAAATTTCGATATTATGTGAATTGTAAGAATTTATATTTCAATAATTATACTGAAGAAGACCGCGTGCGGTCGAAACGTTTATAGAATGATTGTAATTTGCGTTAGTTTTAATATAATGACTGTAGTTTTATAATTTATACATGTAATAAATGGTAGTTGACTGAACATCTCGAATATTCAGCTCGATAAGTTGGCCTTATATTTATCACTTTGTTTAAAATATTAGTTGTTTTATTTATTTGTAAGTAGAATGAGTCAATGCTTTTGGAGTACACTTTTGAGTAGTGTAAGTCAATAATACTGAATCAATTTCAAGTGATATAAGTCAATTTCTATTAGTTTCATCAGTAGTGTAAATCCAGCAGCATGAAAGTAGTATAAGTCAATCTCTAAATTTACTAACATACCAATTTTAATAATTTTAATCTTGTTAATATAAATTAATGATTTATCAAATTATTAAACATTTCTTTATTTGTAATAATAATATAAATTATTAGTCATTTCTCTATTTGTAATAATAATATAAATTATTAGTTGTTTTATACATTTGTAAGTAGAGCAAATTAATGATTGTGCGGGACATTAATTTTTCAGTAGTATAAGTTAATAAAGTGTATAGTCACTCCAAGTGATAGAATTTAATATACTTACTAAATCCATCAGTAGTACAAGTCTAACAATATGAAACAAGTAGTGTGAATCAATCGCTAAGTTTAATGAATTCTAAAAGATTTTTCTGTGTTTATAATATATGAATGATCGGCCTAATTACTAATAATATTTGCCTAGCATAATTTAAATTTAACAAGAATTAAATTGAGATTACAAAATTGTAATCAATATCGAGACAATAATTACATGTGGATTTAAGCATTTTTTCTATTTTTTTTTCCAAAATATTTGTTACTTTTTATTAATAAAAAAATATTTACTTATTTAGGGACACATCACCAATTTATAAACATTTTCATTATAATATATTATCAATAAGAAATATAAAAAACAATTTTTTGGTACTTACAGAAAAGAGATTATAAAAAATAAAAAACATTGTTTTGTTATAATAATGACATGATATATCTCTACTAGTAACAATTGATTGCAGCGCTTACGAGATATCTATTGTATTTGTCGCGAGTTAATGGTAGTCGCGATCATCATTGCTCATAATTCATCCTTATCATTCGGCTTATCTCGTTGCAGGAAGCTGCTTCAGGCAACGGTAAGGGCCAATCGCACGGGCCATTTCATGTGGGTGGGTAGCGATTCGTGGGGCGCTAAAGTTCATCCCGTCCGAGATCAAGAGTTTGCAGCGGAAGGTGCCATCACCATCCTGCCCTATAGAAACGCCCTTAGAGGTAAAGGACTCCTTACTATGCTCGTGCGACTCCATTATAATCGGATTAATTAAGAGAATGTTTACCTTCAGTTTATTCTGAATCAAGAAGCAAACACAGTAATAAGAGTCGCTGAAATCGATTTTCATATCAAGTGAGATATTAGAATAGCAGAAATGTAAATAAGAATGAATAAATAGGAATAAGTTTAATGGATAATATAATCAATAATATAATACTAAATAAAATAAACATTATACATAAAATAAAGTTAAAGAATTTTGTGATTAACAAAATTTAATAAAACGTAAAAAGAAAGAGAAATTCATTTTTTGCAACAAGTTAAAATTTTACTTTGTTCAGTACACAATATTTTTCTAAAAAATTATTTATGTTGAGAATATGATAATACTATTGCAGTTTATGAGAGCATTCTATATTTGTCTTTTAGTCGCATTGAAGACTCTTTCATGATATATTTGATTATAGATTCGCTGAGAGACGTGTGATGATATAGCTGATTTTTTTATAGTCTCGTATCGCTTCGATTTCTTTATTCCGGGAAAGACACGTGCTCTCAGGATATCCGCGGCGGAGTCTGAGCTTTAAGAATACCGAATATTCCTATATATATAAAAACGAGCGCGCTTATCAATGGATGGCATGAAAAATGTATTACACGTGAAAGCTTTCATGTGTCAACATCAATATATCGTATGGAATATTTACATTTAAAAAAAGTTTTCATCAGTAATAATTAATAATAAACTTTTTGATATCATAACTTTCGTAAAAGTAAAATATTTATAATAAAATAATTTCAAAATAAAAATATGGTTTCCCAGTTAGTTTTAACAATTTCTAACTTTATAATAAATTATCAAAAATGTTGAATTTTTAATATAAATAATTAATTTAATTAAAATTAAATTTGTTAAATTTGTTTTATTTATTTAGCTGTGTATCTTTATTTAAACTACATAAAATATTTAATTCTGTTAACTCTTTTAATTCTTAACAACTGATTCGCTTTATACCAAGCTCTAATTGAATTTCCTTGTCATGAGAATTGCTTACTACATTACTTCGTTACTATTATAGCGCTATTGTTTCAACTTTGACTTGATGTTCATTAATCTCGCATGACAAGTGAGAAATATTTTCCGCCACCGATTATGGCGTATTATTCACGACTCATTGTTAGTAATTACTGTATATGCAATCATGAAGCGAAGAAATAAACGAAACGAGTGGCACTTCCGATTCGTACCAAGTAATTAACAAGAGTGTCGAATCCTCGTTAATCGAACCAAATTATCAGAAATTATGGCCTTAGTGTTCATTAATTTTGTAACTGTCAGATTTGAGAAAGCGAATGTACTGAAATAATACAAAAAATACAATTTTTGCAATTAAACGTGTTTTGTCATCAAATTTTAATCTATAATTTTCTGAAGTAAATTATATTATATTCATGTTTATAGGTCATGTTTAATAGGTTTTGTGTCTACTTTTGATCAGAATAATATTATAAAAAACTTTAAAAAAATAAAATTACATTAACTTAATATCTTATAACTTGAAAATGAATTTAAAAATTCTGAAAAATCATCCTTAATTTTATATCAGGTGCCTTGTTTTGTATATCACGCACACATAATAGAAAGTTCAAAATTTTCAATGTTCTTATTTTAATTCTATTCCGACCAAAGGCGTAAAATATTTTTCAGCGAGGAAGCATAATTTATCGAAACTATTGAGCGATTCGACTATAACAAGTGTAATTCGATTCTGTTGTAGATTTCGACACCTACTATATGAACTTGCGGCCGAGAATGGGCAACGAGTGTAAGGGCCAGACAGAGAGCAATGTTCCCCATAAATTGTTGCCGGGGAAGATGGTGAATTGTCGGAATATCTGGTTCCGGGAATTCTGGTCGCAACATCACAAATGCACCTTCAGTGCGAATGCATCGATCAACGTGACGCGCTGCACCGGCAAGGAGGTGCTTTCCGATTATGAACAAGAGGGTCTGGTGCCTTTTGTCGGTAACATATAAAATTTTCTTACAGTTATTGACACTTCTCGGACCGTCTGTTTCATTTTTATGTCATATAGAATATCGTGGAAAAATATATGTGATGACAACTGCGATTTATTTTGATACCAGTTGAAAATTGCCTCTTGACATTTATCTTTTAATTTCGCAAATAAATTTATCGAAATTTACAAGTCAATTGATGCTTTTAATTAAATTTTTTTAAAAAGAGATAACCCAAATTTTTGAACAAATTCGAAATTAATTCCAATGCTTAAGGACTATCAGTTTGTATTAAAAATTTAATTTGACTTTTCGATCTATTAATATTATATGATTAAAATATAAAATTAGCTCATCAATTATAATGTCATCGCATTAAATCAACAAAAGAAAAAGAATAATTTATAGATAAACAATTCCTTTCATGCTATGACAGAATAATTAATTGCGTGAATTGTGCGCGAGAAGGAAAATTTCACGGTCATTTATATCCTAAAGTGCGAAAGAAAAGATCAGTGCGGAAGGAAAGATGAGGAGCAAGACGAGCGGAAAGATAGCTATCGGGAAGAAGAGTGAAAGGAAGAGACGCATCCTCGGCAACCCTCCAACTTTTCGTCACCCTTCGACCATTTTTCTAGCCTAAAAAACAGAAACGAGAAAAACCTAGCCGTCTCCGTTCGACCGTAATTCTGACAATATATGACGAGATTTACGTCATTCGGGGAGATAACAGCGCGATTACTACAATCGATTATTTATCACGCGATTTCCTCTTATCCGGACGTAGCCGGTCTCCTATTTTATAAATTACACACTCCATTTTGCATTGTATACACGTTCAATTACCGGACACGATCCTATTAATGCATTATATTTTCATATTCGCGTAAAACATAAAGATTTGAAAACTACTAATTTTTAACATATTCATAAAACAAATATATATTTTATATATATTTGAAATATATTAGATGTGTGATGTTTTAAGAACAGACAAACTTTTCATCGTCTTTTTTTATTAAATTAATTTCTTTATTAAATTTATTAATCTGTAATTAATCAACATACAGTTATATCAATTTATTACAATTATTTTGAAGATATTAAACACATACTACGTTTGTTTTATTTTACGCTTAAATTAATAGTATATTGTGTATCAAGTGCGGAAAGTTGACAATTGGTCACGAGTGCGGCGGATGGACCACCCCACACGAGTGAACAATTGTCAATCCGCACGTGATACACATACTATTTTGTATTACAAGTGCAGGCAAAGTGGCTTTGTGCGCGTTTTCTGCCGCGCTGATGGCGGCGTGGGAAATCGGCCGCTTTCCGCACAGAAAACACGCACACAAAGTGCCACTTTGCCTGCACGTGTAATACAAAATAAATTTTTTAGAACGAATAAATCCAGAACTCGCAAAAAAAAACTGTTGAATTCCAGAAATATAAATTCCGTGCAATTAATTCCAGATCATTATTGCTTGTCCGTAAGCGCGCGTTTGCCACTGTTTATAATTAACCACAACTGACTTTAGTTCGTAATGATTAGATCGCGTGTTTCCGATGCAGACAGGATCGGAACTTTCGCGACAAACTTTCGCGAAGTCGCCGACAAGAGAAAAGAGAGAAATAGTAACTCGAGTCGAGAAAAGCAATTTTCCTTCGCTATAGTTTTTGCGTTAACAAACACGTCCGGTGCATCGCTATCGCGTGAAAAGTTGCGCAAGATCAACGTTTCCCAGATCCCATTTATGCCGACCCTTCATTCCCTCCTCCCTCCTTCCCCTTTTCCATCCTTTCTCTTTTGTTTCTTTCCTCTTGAAATAAATGACAAGGTCTTTTCGAAACGATCGGAAACTCTGCAGAATCGCGTGCACTGCGGTGGTATATAAATCTTGTAAATCATCTCTTATTAGTTACACACGAAGCATCTTTTTTGCAAACAACAATTTACCTTTCCATCAATCAGCGAACCCCTCTCTTTATTCTTGAATGAATAAATAATGACGTTGCTTTTGTAATATAGTACAGAAATATTCAAGATGGATCGGACTGGAGCAATGAAACTTGATCGTGCCGAGTGTTTGATAAATTGGATTAAGAGCTCGAATTATATATTTTATCGCGAGCTTTTGAATTAGTTATCGTAAAGGGAAATAAAATTATCCGAACGCGATAGTCTTATAAAACTTTTACTATCTAGTATTTACGGAAAGAAGGATTCTCTTCTATTCTATAAAGGATTTTCTAGTACAAGCGAGAAATTTTAATTGTTTATTTTATTATATAATATCAAATTATTAATATTGTTATTTTATATAGTAAATTATATATTATATTATAAAGATTAAATATTAAATATTTACGTTATTAAATATTAAAATAATCGTTTTCTCTCAGATTTTATGATGAATTCAGTAATTTGTAATATTTTGATTTATTTTATTTACAAAAATAGCCAAATATATTTAAATTATTCAAATCTAATCAAATTATATATATAATTATGCATACAATTACCGTAGCGTACAATATCTATTTATTTCAGAAATTTTTAGCATATATACATAAATCAGATAAATAATATGTATACTTGTTGAAAAATTACTGCATAAAAGCACAGATTTTTCAATAATTTTCAGTGGATGCCGTTTACGCTATGGCACACGGTGCTCACAACGTCATCGAGGAAGAATGCGTAAATAATTTGGGCACGTCGCATTATCTTTGTGAGACTCTCGTACCAGCACCGGATGGTCCGAGACTCCTCCAACATATTCGGAATGTCAGTTTCACTGGTGAGTTGCATCCAATTGTGTAACAATAATATTTGTCATTCGGCAACGTATTTTTTGTTCGAAACCAAATAAGATGGCATATATATACAATTTTACTCAAATTAAATTATATCTTTAATTGAATTAAATCCGCGCGAATTTGAATAATTAAATATCTTGCGTGCTATACTAGCGTTTTTTCAACGTGAGATACAGTATCGATTAATTGTTCAAATATTTATCAGCGTTACGCGTCTCGCGAATGCGAAAAGGGCCGTTAAATTAAAAGGCTCAAACAAATCAATCAATTATATCTGCGAGAATTCTGTGTGTGTCAAGCTGCGACTGCGTCATCCCTCATATGAAGCGATCTATCAGTGACGTCAGAGGGTGGCAATCTCGACGCCTCATCGATATTGCAATTAAAACACTTTCCCCGATTTAACAGCACGTAACACTTTCACGTTGGTATACTGTGATACAATTAAGACTGTCCCTCGTTACGGCGCACTATCAAGTGGCAATGCAATTATCCTGACCGTCCATTTCACGATCGCATATCAGGCAAGATTTATCGTAACGATTATCACATAACTTTTTTCCTCTTCTAACTTTTCCAATATTTTCATAACACCATCGACCTGTCTTTTAATCCTGCGTCATTACGTCTTTGTTCCTTTTTAATCCTCGAGGCATTTGTGCATTATCTTTCTTTTTCCCCTTCTCTCTATTCTCGAGATCCTGGTTTAATATTAACTTATATATTCTCAAAATAATTTGAAAATAGAGAGACAGCTCATTTATCAATATTAGCAGTATAAATAGAGTTTAATCTTTAAAATAAACTGCAGAATATATTCAAAATTGATATACATGAGTAACAAAATTTATTCTACGCTTAATCTCTACCCAACATTTTCTGAGCAAAGCTTTAAGCTGGAAGATGTAAATATCAAGTTGTTTGCATAAAATTAGAAAGCGTTAACTAAATTGTACAATGTATATACAAATAATAGAAGTCTATTTCTTAATCGTTTAGCGATAAGAACACATATCGATTTACTTTAATCAAAATACACACATACTCTATCTAATACTTGAGTTTTAAAACACTTATTAAAGGCGGAAATTAACTTTATGACGACCAAAGATCCACATTTTTTATCATAATTTTCTAAGTAAATTTCATTTCATGAGAAATAAAATTCTGTGAAGTTCTCTACTACTGTTCCTCAATATTTTTAAAAGAAGTCTGTAAAAATAAAATCAGAGAGTTTATTCATTCTATAAATATTTCCAGATAAAAAATCTAATTAAATTTTCCGATATTTATAAAAGAAATTGTTTTCTCAATATATCACAATAAATTTAATTCTATTTGTTCACACTATTGATGGAAAACGAATATGCGGATAGAGCAATAACTGAAATAAAAAATCAATTATCAATTTTTTAATTGACTGGAATGGTTTAATTTTAATGGTATTTTAATGATATTTAACTATTTATTTCATTGCATGCTGAACAATATAGGAATCTAATGTGCACCAAGTGCTTCACCAATATAAAGCACAATGCGTGTGTGTGAATTATATTTATATTTGTACATTGTCCTCAATAATTGAGTTTTGAGAAAGAAACTTATAGTCGGATGCGAGTTCACTGAAAAGAGTCTGGTTTAAACTTCGTAGCGTTATCTGGATTTTTCTCAATCCAAAGAAAACCGCACCCTCGGTTGTTTAACCTCCACGAGAGAAAGGCTATGCATCTCAAGTACTCTCATTTTTCCTCGCAACATTTTCACAGATAAGCTGACAATAAAACCGACCGTGCTGAAAGAACGAAACATTTCACTGAATATTGTTTCTTTTTATTTCTTTATTCTGAACTCGTCATATATTTTATTCATTTTTTTTTGTCCTTATTACAAATAAATAATGTTTTTATAGTATTAGCAAACATTTTTGATAAATATGTTTAATAGAAAATTCGTCTATATATGTATCTGTAAAAAAAAATTTACTCTTATCTGATAGCGGACGCGGAACGATCCGAACAGAGACAAATATTATTTAGATGATGGAAAATTTGCAGGTGGTATAGAATGAAAACAAATACATGATCTGCTGCTGCGCGCGTGACAATGTTATTCAATCATTTTTAGAAATAAAAAATTCTGCCTGCAAAAGAATCGCACTTTTTCTCGCGATATCGTGTGAGTTTGTCGCTCGACATTTAATCGCGACTCGAATTACGACGCGTGTAACACGACTATTCACAGGAAAATTCGTGAAACATAATTTTCCAACACTTTCCGAATGCGTTACTTGTTTTATACGACGCAATGGTAACAAACGATAACTTGGCCGCGAACTTGTTTGAACGCTTCGTTCAAAGTGAGTTCGCGCAAATCTGGCGCGTTTACACGCGCGGAATAACAATGCACATATATTTTCCTTTGTCAAATTTATTTGCTAGCCCTGATGATCCTCTATCTGTTTGCACCCCGTTTATAGTTATGTTCGTATATATGTATATGCATATTCCGATGTACCACGAGAAACGTATAAACTTCCGCGCGAATTTCACAAAACTAAGCGCGTCAAGCTTTTATCATTATTTTTCTCTTTGTTGAGAAAAATTGTGACGATAACAATAACTTAATGGATTAGCAAGAAAAACATCGATAAATATACACTCTTCAATTTTAATAAAATTTGCTAAATGAAAACTATGATATATTTTTCTATATTCAATAACATATTCAATTTTTTTTGTCTAGAGTTTTCGCATTATACTTGTATTATTTTGTCACTTGTAATTAAAATGTAAATTCGTATCAATTTATTTTTATATTTTAAAATTTTCATAACTATATTTGTTATCTATTATAAATATTTTATTTCAGAACAACTCAATTTTAAGAAAAAAATAGGAGAGTATATTTTTAGAAAAGTAAATTTCTTTTTTATATTTGCCATGTAATCCTTCTTTTTTCCTTCATATCTTATAACTTAATTTTAAACTCACTTTTTTGGTTTCATCAAGATAAAAAGCAAACAGAAGTCTTAATCTCTGAGAGATTTAGCTTGACAAAGCACCAAAATTTTTGGGTTCACTTAACGTTGAAGATGAAAGCGGAGAAAATATCGCTACATTATTTCCACAGCTTTCGTAATCTTTTCCTCGCTTCCTACCGCGATTATTATATGCTCTTGCTTCGCGATTTTTTACCCTCGTAGTCGCCCATCATTTTTTCCGTCCTTGCACACATAAGCTCCCTTTTCTCTTCAACGCCATCGCTTGTACAACAACCTGCCTTTCCTCGCGAGCTTCTCTTACTCCACTTATTTTCCCCATCGGCGATCTTAGAAATAACACTTTGTATATATCCTGTATACCCATGCGCCTATATTTGTTGGTGCCTGCGTCGAATTATTGCTAGGAGGGTGATAAGCCAGGAAAAGGGTATGGACCGTAACAAGAATAAAAAAAAATTGCGTGCGGATCCTTTTTTCTTGCCGTATCTTATAAATAAATAGTAACCCACGCGTGAAATGGCTGGCATAAATTCCAACCGTCCAAATCCGCTCCGATCTCACACCGATAGAACGTTTGCTTATTGTTAATCTTTTGGACCATTTACGAGATTAAATTGCATTTTTTTTTCTCAATATTTTTCAAAAATGTTTTTAAAGTAATATATTATTATAAAATTTAATTTAATTTGCTTTCGCCTCTCCTCCCTTTCTTTTTCTCTTTGTTTTTAATATAATTTTTAAAATATTCGAAATTAATTCTTTATATATATTTCATATTTTATTTTTATAAATTTTTTATTCTATATATTTTATTATAACTGTCAAATAACATTATTATTATTCTAATAAAATTTTTTTCTATCTTTTTATATTTTATTGTATATATAAATTGAGCATTATAATTAAAAATCACAATAATATCAGTTTAAAGATAGAATAATTTTCTGAGAAATTTTTTAGAAGAGGATCATCAAGCTCTATACATGTGTTACAATTATACTTACATAACTATCGCATTTAGATTGTCGACACAGCACTTTATTTTAGGTCGCCAAAACACGGAGATTAAGTTCAACGCTGATGGGGACGCCTACGGATTTTACAACATCTATCAGTATCAAAGGAAGGAAGAGGGTCGCTTCGATTACACCCTCATCGGCACGTGGAGGGAAGAGTAAGTAGCGATCTTCGATTCAAATAGAATTCGCAGACTTTGCCATTTGTCGTACGGACTGCACAAACTGTTATATTAATCTTCGACCCTCCTATCTCATACAACACCCTACTATAATTCAGTTAAAAAATTGAATTGATATCAATGACTATCAATATCACTGCGTTTTTCTAGAATTTAATATACCCCTACTTTTATTTTATTATCTGCGGATAGTCTAATATAGACATACACTGTACACACACAGACTATCTATTTTTTTTATATATTATTTTTATTTGATTTGTATGCAAAGTATTTAATTTTTTTTTCACACATTAAATTAAAAAATATATTTTTATAATATTTGTATAATCTTATAAATATAATAAGAAAAATAATTTACATTGTTACACTGATCAGATAGAATCTTGTCATTAGTTTTTATATCAAATATGATATATCATATATTTCGTCATTGGATATAATAATTCATAATAATAAGTGATTCGTTTATTATATTCTTGTAAAATAAAAATATGTTATCAACTTAATTCTAAGACAGAAGATAAATTGAAATGTTTCTCTATTATAATGTCTACACAATTGATCAGTATTATCTGAAATAATTAAACATATCATTTTAAAACAATTTGAAAGTCCGAAAAATTGATTTTGCTTGCGTAACACTTTTCGTGCTGTCAATTTAACGCCGTAAGATAAAATCAGCGACGGCGTCCACAGTTTATTAATTGAAGGTTAATTTACTCTCTCAGGCTCGCTCTGGACATTAACATGACACGCTGGGCGACGGGAGTCGGCGAGTTTCACATTCCACGTAGCATGTGCAGCGATAACTGCCCGATGGGACACGTCCGCAATTTTGTAGTAAGTGCACATTGCAAAGTCTGAGGATAACCAGAACCGCTGAGTGCTGCACGGTTCTATTAGCTGATAGGGATGGGATATTCACGAGAGATCTATCGAACGATGAAAACAACCAAAAAAATTAGAGTGAATATTTCAACGAAATAATGGAAAATAATTAATATTTTTTTAAAATAAATTTACTTTTTATTTTATCAATATCATATTTGCACATAAAATTTGTTAACTTTATCAAAAATTTAACAGATTGGCCGAAAGATTAGCGGTTAAATGGGAATCAATACGTTAACCAAGTAATAGCCCGCTAATTCCTATTACATGTAACCTGTTGTTACATGTCGAAGTTTATTTGCGGTTTCTCTCTAATCTCATATAAACTCGGCTTTTGGAATTAACAAATTATAAAAAGATTATTTAAATTCTATTGCAATTTATTAATGCATAAAGGTTGAGCTATTATTTAATAAATCTCCAATATGATTTATATCTCTCTCTCTTTATCAGATTAGTACAATTTAAAATTCACATGACGTCATAAACAGCGTCATACATTGAATGTATATTTTAATACGCACTTACTTGATCTGTTTTATAATTATGAGAAACAAGATGAGAAACTATAACGCTATCTCGATAACAGTTCAGTTTCTCTTGCGCGTGGTTTCTGTAATTAGATTCTAACACATATTTTGACTCTGAAATTCTGCGTATATGTGTGTGTTAGCCAATTGTACAATTCCCACAAACTTCCATGATATGCGAGTTACATAGAGTCTAATAAAGTGTAACGCGCGGACTATCTTCCACCTCTCTCTCTGGTCTCTTCTCTCCGATTCTCACTTCCTGTACTCTCAACGGGCAAAATTTCATGCAAGTTAAAGTAGATCTGTAATTGTGTCCCAATCTCAAGTTTAGCCCTACACGTGTTAACCGCATACTCGACCTTTCCCGCATACCACTTCTTTTTGGACATCGTAAACATAGATAAGCTGGCGAAGTAAATTATGCAGAGCACCACGATCGTACATGTATTTGTTTGCCATTTGGAGTGTTTTACTACTTTATAACGAAATTATAAAAAATATAATTTCCAGATTTTTAATTAAGAATTTATATGGAATATTGTTTTTAATTCTCACAACTTCATTACAGATACACAAATTAAATATCAGCTAAAGAAATTTATTTTTATACATACAAAGCAGCATTAAATTTATAAATAATTGTGTGAATATTCTTTAGAAATAATCATTTTTAATTATTTCTTGTGCTTTTCCCAATTATTCAGACGAATTTAACGATCTACATATATATATATTTTTTTGTAATATTAAAATAACTTTATAAATTTGCTCTTTTCTTTTATTGTTACAATTTTTATGTTATATTTTTTGTTTTACCTTTTAATATTTAATTAAATTAATGTAGAAACAATAAATTTGATTATATATCCTATAGGATTAAAGCTATATTCGTGAAACAGCTTTGTCTTCTAGCGGTCCCAATTATTCAGACGAATTTAACGATCTACATATATATATTTTTTGTAATATTAAAAGTAACTTTATAAATTTGCTCTTTTCTTTTATTGTTACAATTTTTATGTTATATTTTTGTTTTAACTTTTATTTAATTAAATTAATGTAGAAGCAAATTTGATTATATATCCTATAGGATTAAAACTATATTCGTGAAACAGCTTTGTTTTCTAGCGATCCCAATTATTCAGACGAATTTAACGATCTACATATATATATTTTGTTGTAATATTAAAAGTAACTTTATAAATTTGCTCTTTTCTTTTATCGTTACAATTTTTATGTTATATTTGTTGTTTTAACTTTTAATATTTAATTAAATTAATGTAGAAGCAAATTTGATTATATATCCTATAGGATTAAAACTATATTCGTGAAACAGCTTTGTCTTCTAGCGATCCCAATTATTCAGACGAATTTAACGATCTACATATATATATTTTTTTGTAATATTAAAATAACTTTATAAATTTGCTCTTTTCTTTTATCGTTACAATTTTTATGTTATATTTGTTGTTTTAACTTTTAATATTTAATTAAATTAATGTAGAAGCAAATTTGATTATATATCCTATAGGATTAAAACTATATTCGTGAAACAGCTTTGTCTTCTAGCGGTCCCAATTATTCAGACGAATTTAACGATCTACATATATATATTTTTTTGTAATATTAAAAGTAACTTTATAAATTTGCTCTTTTCTTTTATTGTTACAATTTTTATGTTATATTTTTTGTTTTAACTTTTAATATTTAATTAAATTAATGTAGAAGCAAATTTGATTATATATCCTATAAAATTAAAGCTATATTCGTGAAACAGCTTTGTTTTCTAGCGGTCCCAATTATTCAGACGAATTTAACGATATATATATATATTTTTTTGTAATATTAAAAGTAACTTTATAAATTTGCTCTTTTCTTTTATCGTTACAATTTTTATGTTATATTTTTTGTTTTAACTTTTAATATTTAATTAAATTAATGTAGAAGCAATAAATTTGATTATATATCCTATAGGATTAAAGCTATATTCGTGAAACAGCTTTGTCTTCTAGCGGTCCCTTGCGATATAACTCATTTAGGTCGCATGATCGTGAGTTGTTCCCGAATATGGCTCAGAAATGTTTAAAGTAGCTCATTTAATCTTTCATTATCAGTAGTTAATGACATACACATTAAACTTCCTTTCAATTGACAGCGGTTTGCTTGTAGAACTCTGTAATGCCGATAATTGGCTCTTCTTAGTCGATGCCGAGCAAACAAGAAGAATTTGATATCGTAGTGAACTGTAGCTAGAGGCGAATTATCGAACATCTCATTACGGTCACGTCTTATCCTTCGTGACGACTAATTAACTTTAGAATCTTGTTAGAGAAAAAAAGATTATTGGTCATTTCCTGTATTAAATCAGATATAATACGATTTCTATCTGAACAGCGACAAACACTTATTATTTTATATCACTTATTTTATGATTTAGTAATATTATATAAATATCAGACATTTAAATTGGAATTACTTTTTGCATACAATCCTCTTTTTTTTATTCATACGTTTTTTTATAGTATTTAAAGGAGTTTGAGCTAGGAGAAACAGAAACTTGAACTTTTCAAGAACACAATCAACAAAGTTCTGATATCTCCATTTATGTTTTCCAAAGTACTTTTTAAAGAAACGAAAACAAAAACATTTGCTTTGTGCCTCGTTCTGATTCGTTATTTTTAAACTTTGATTTCGTTTGTGGGGAGTGATAAGAAATTTTCCGCGCAAATTCCAACTTTGATTCCCTTTAATCCAAGTCTCTTAAATTATTTTCCTTCTCTCTATCGTTGTATCTACCTTGACTTTATCATTTGTGCGCAATTTGCTTCCGGATTTAAAGGCGATCATCCACGACCTTAATTCGCAACGAACCATATGTTCTCTGTATGATCCGTTTCTTCTACATATACAGGCTGTTCCAAAATTAATAACAAATCCTCTAAACTCTACATGAAATTAATAAAAGAACGCGAATTTGTTAATATTTTATTTTTCCACAAGGCTTAGTTTGCGAAAAATCTCTTATTTTCGATCGCTTATAAACTCGAAAATTATTAATGTCTCCAAATAATCCCAGGAATCTGCCATTAAAAGGTTTGCTATTAATTTTGGGACACCCTGTATACTCTCATTCATACTTTTTATATTATTAGCCGGCACACACGTATCACGCAAAAATTTTCAAGCAGAAGAAGCAAATTGTCATTTTTAAACTTTTTCTTTTTGCACATATGAGAAACTTTTACCGAGGTTTCCAGCTTAAATTTTATTCAACCTTGGAAAAAGGGAAACTTAAAGTCTTAAAGTTTTCTAAATTCCGTTTTCAGTTATCTGTCTCTCGCCATAGCCCCACTTCCATTTTATCACTTTTCCGCAACCCGCTTCCGGAATAAGCTTATTATGCGAGATTTAAAAATTCAATCCGCGCCTAATCGATGGTTACAATGATGAAAGAGAGCTTATTGACTATGACGAAAGTTTCACGCGATGTTCATTATAGAGACTCATTAGGGAAGTCTAACGCTCACAACTGAAAAGCTGATGAAAATGACGCAATTTCATGCCTCACGCTTACGATTGCCTTCATTAAACTCTATATTGTTTGCATCGCACTTTGACGAATCCCCGGTAAAAACTTTGCCGTGTGTTCACACGGAAAAAACTTACGAAATATCTTGCTACATTGATAGTGTGTGACCAAATTTATTAATCGATCGATAGTTTCGAGCAAAAGTAACAAAAAACTTCTAGATTCAATTTCTAGATTGAATTTTGGATTTTTTTCCTAATTTTTTTTTTTTTTTGTTAAATTATATTTATATTATATTATGCTCTCTTTTAAGATATAAATAAAAATTTTGCATTACAAACTGTACGTGTTCAGTAAATTTCAATAGTATTTAAATTTGCTTTGATAATTTTAATTCGTTTTACATACTATTTGCAACGACAATTTTAATTCACTGTTTTTATTTTAGAGACAGCAAAATTTAATTTCCTGGATATTTGTACTCATAATCATATCTTATCTACATAATTTAGGGAAGAGACATAGTATAACATATTATACATATTATACTTTGCAGCCTTTTTTGTAAAAAGAGAAAGAAAAATTGAAATATATTGTGTAGCTTGTGTAGCTCCAGATAAATAAATAAATATTTGCATATATTTAATTTTCGCGCACAAAAGAAAAAAATTGCATAAATAAAATTGAATATTCGTTCTTTTTTTTTCTCTATTAAAATAATTGTTTTAAAAATAAAAATTCCACATGAATCTCAATAAATTAAATAAATTTTCAATATTAAGATAGCAGTAATCAGAATAATATAAATATTCTTGCACAATGTATCTACATTGGAAAATATACATTTATTACACAATCTACATAAATTCGATTAAAATTTCAGTCGAAGTTTAATGTTAATTATAATCGATTCACGCGCATAATTACTTCATTAATTAAATGAACCTAAACGACTATTATATACCTATATGCACATATGCATGTATAATGCATGTAAAACGTAGTTGTATTTTTCGTATCACTATACGTATTTAACAATAATACAAACATACCAGCAATTATCATAGACGCGATTCATTAAGCGCGACATTAATTAAATAACTAATGAATGACACGCCGGGGGCGACAACTGGTGCGTGATTCGTGTCACGAATTAGATTTATTCACTGCTCAGTTGAAGTGCGTATATTCTGACAAATCTGTCTATCAATAAATACCGTTGTAATGGCAATTAAAACGATAATTACCGTCGCATTCACTCAATTCTGCGCGATCACGTGCATACTCGGTTTGATCCGTGACGCGAATAATGTGGTCTACAGTTGTTATATAATTACAGAAGTTTTGATTGCGGTAATGCTAATGACTAATGATCATCATCATTATGTCATTAACATTATCATATTATTATAAACAATTAAAATGATACACAGAATGTGTTATGAATCAGTTAACAACAATTATATAACAATTTCAGATTTATTTAAACATAAGATAATTAATTCTTAATATGACTAAATATATTTTAATAAATAATTTTCAATCCCTTCATATACAATATATAATCTATTCATCTATAATACATCATCTCTTCATCTACAATACATAATTCATCTACATTTATATAATTAAATCTTTCATTTTAAAATATTAGATTCTTTTAATCATTCTTTGTTCTGTCAATCTTTTACTTATATGTACATCTCATCAATATTATATTATTATATTTATATATAATTGCTTGAATAAATACTAATTTGAATATAATCGAGCAGTTTTAAAATAATAAAATTGAAGTTTTTTCTTAGTGAAAACTGTTAATTATTTTATTTGATATAAAACAAAGTTCTCGAGCAGCAAGCAAGATTATTAATAGCTCCATTTTTCGATGGATCTGCTGTAAATAATTCGAATCCATTTACTTGCTGTAGACAGAGATCTCGTCGACTTAACCAGACTCGATATTTTTTAGCAGTTGCATGAAAAAAATGAATTTTTTTCTAAATACCGTCGAACCGTACGTCATATCGGAATTTTTTACGTCAATATTTTCCAATCGTTTAGACAAAGATAAATAGTTACCGACATACTGTCATGTGTTGTTCAATGAAATCCTTTTGTCCAAAAGTGTAAGCTTGCCAGTCGTAAAACTCTAGAAATTACACTTTTTTCGTATTAAAATTCAATTTATTCATACTTTATAACAATGTACAAAATGCGACAAGAAATCATTCTATTTTTTATTTTATTAGTTTTATATAATACGCAATAATTTATACAATGAGAAACACAGCTTATCTGAATTATAATATATTTTATCCTTCGCAATAATAAAAAATATATCATTATTAAATAATCATATTAATAATAATGATTATTAGTAACTAGCTTAAAACAGTTAAAGAATTGATTCTAATTTTATTTTTTATATTCCTGAATTAATCGGCAATCTTATTAAATATATATTAAGTATAGTATATCCATAATGAACTAACAATAGTCAATAATAATAATTAATCAATAATAATAATGATGATTTCTAATTGATTTAGAACTGATGATTATTATTTTTATTCATTATCGATTAGTGACGACTGATTAATTTGTTAATTATTAATTCTCATACATGCATAATTCAATTTACGATATCCTGCGAGTTATAAAGCCGTATTTCGACAATTTCGCAGGAACCCTGCTGTTGGAGTTGTGTTGGCTGCCGGGAGGATGCCTACGTGTACAACGACACATGCAAGAAGTGTAATCCCGGATATGCGCCGAATGCTACAATGACAGGCTGCGTCAAGCTCACCGCAGAGGTCATACCTTGGACAAGTCCATGGGCGCTGGTACCGCTGATATTCGCGTCGATCGGCATGCTCAGCACCCTCTTCACCACTGTGGTATTCATACGGTGAGTCCATATCTCGCATTCCTTATTTCTTTTATGTAAGATCTCTCTCATTATACTATCTCTCTCATTATATTACACTATACAGATTTTTCAACCTTAGCGAGCTTTCGATAATAGTTTCTCTATATGAAAAAAATGACAGATTTGTAGTAGAATTTTTAAATAAATAGATTTTTTCTAAAGACTATATTCTTTAATTAATTCTGAAAGTGGCTTTGTTTTATAAAATTAACTTTTTCATTTAAGATTTTATTATAAAGTAAAAATAAAAAAGCATGAAAAAGCAATAAATAACTTTGTTTTGATATTTCTAAAGAATCATCTTTAAACAATTAACATAAATTTAATATTCGCTCGTATATTGTTGAAACAATCAATATAGTAAAAGAGGCCAGCATAACGAGCACCAACTGGTCTTTGGTGCTCGTTATGCTGGCCTCTTTTACTATATTAATCATCTTTAAAGTTGCTTCCAAATAATTTGTCATTAAGAAATAATGTCAAAATTTTCTAAAATTAAATAGAAATATTACAAATGCAGAATAAAAATATGCGTCTGAACTTAGTGACATAACGAAGGAATTATTGATATAACAGAAAAACATTCTATACATTTTTCTTTTTAATAAAAAGATAACGAGCTTGAGTGAGGAATATTAGCATTGAAAAAAGTGCTTAAAAAGATTTAAAGTCGATGCTTTCAAAGCGAAAATTTAATCAAAAGCTTCATTAGTGACCTATTAAACTTACTTAATTAGAGTACTAAAAGGTTTACTACATTTTACTATACATAGGTATGCAAGAAAGAAATAGAATTTTCGGATTTCAAATTTTAATTTTTTTCTATTTCTATTTCTACGTAACTAATTAATTTAGTTACTACAGCCCCGGATTTAGTTTGTACGGATAACAGTACGAATTTAAATCCTTCATATAAATTATAACTCGTAATTTAAATTAATTATCACACACCTCATCACAATGCATGAGCTTAATCATATATTCTTCAGGATTATTAATCTGGAAAGTCATGTTTATTTGAAGAGCAAACCATCTAGATAATATAAACGATATTACGATATTATATTATATAATATGAGTGTTTATCTAAATATGAGTGCGAAAAATTTTAGCATGATTCTTCTCCAAAATTAAGGAGAAATTTTTTTCTCAAATTTCAGACAAATTAAAAAAAATGAAACGGAAAAAATCCACCAAGTTTTATTTTTTTAATTCCCTCAGGGAGAGATATAAGAGTATATAAGAATAAACCCCGCTTAATTTTTCAACAAAGGATCATCTCTTAAAATTTTTTACACTTATTTAAATACACTTTGTATATTTACATAATTATTCTTTTAAACTATTTAACATATATGAAATTGATATAAAAAATACGATTTATATTATTAAAGAGAAATAGATTTAACTTAAAATATAACTCTTAGCATTTTTATATAACTAGTATATTATTTTTTTCTCTAGTCTACTTAAATCTTCTCTATTACACTGAACATAATTTGCATTTGAATCGTAGATTTAATCGTACTCCGGTGATTATGGCATCGGGACGCGAGCTATGTTACGTCCTTCTGGTGGGCATTCTCTCGTGCTACGGCATGAGCTTCGTTATACTGAGCAAGCCGACTACGTGGAATTGCACATACCTCAGAATCGGCCTCGGTCTCTGTCTCAGTATATGTTACAGCGCGATCCTCACCAAGACGAATCGTATATCGCGGATATTCAACCAGGGCACGAAGAAGATCAAGAGGCTCTCCTACACATCGCCCAAGAGCCAAGTGGTAATCGCTATCGGTGAGTACGAGCTGCACTCACCTCGGTAAACACATCGACAAGCCACGGTCTCAAGAGGATAATTGCACGCCGATGCTTGACGCAACCCTCCCACTCTCTTGAAATAAAAGCCGAGGACCACCGCGTGTTTGACGAAAAGAAATAACGCGACTTTTACGATGAAATTTCGTATCGCTAAATTTCTTCCCAAGGATAGAGACGATCGATTCGGATTTGACGCGATATCCTTGTTTATTGTAATTTCGGTTCCAAACCAAACGTCATATTTTATGTCGCTATTTGTCAAAAAATAGAAATTTCGAAGCGTCCTTTTTCCGCTTTAAACTTTATACAAACTATATAAATTATGATTTTATTATACTTGTAAATTTCTATAAGTTTCTGCTTTAATCTTTCTTACTAAATTAATATGAATTTTTACGCGACAAAGAGAACGTCGTATAAAAATCCAATTTCAGGAAAATATTAATTTGCATGTAAAAGAGTATTTCAGTTCCTCTTCACTTTGCCCTAATAGCACAAATCTGAAAGATATTCAGACGATATCCTGAGGACATCCAGAGGACATTCGAACATCCTTAGGATGTTCTCTGAACGTCTTCGGGATATATGTGTAGAGTGATTTATTTTTCAAAACGACGGTACAAATAATCCTTGCGAAACAATACTCTATTGTATTACACGTGCAGGCAAAGTAACACTTTGTGTGCGTGTTTTCTGTGCAGAAAGCGGCCGATTTCCCACGCCGCCATCAGCGCGGCAAAAAACGCGCACAAAGCCACTTTGCCTGCACTTGTAATACAAAATAGTATGTGTATCATGTGCGGATTGACAATTGTTCACTCGTATGGGGTGGTCGCACTCGTGACCAATTGTCAACTTTCCGCACTTGATACACAATATACTATTAGAGCATGACGGGGCGGTCTAATCGTTACATAATCTCTTATTTACACAGGAATTACCGCGGTCCAACTAATTGGCACCATCGTGTGGTTAATGATCGAACCGCCGGACACCACGGAGATCCATCCTTATCCGCTGTCCGCGGTGCTGACGTGCCGCGTGTCCACGTTCTCGCTGATGATGTCTCTCGTCTACAACATGTTCCTGATCCTGATGTGTACTTTGTACGCGTTCAAGACGCGCAAAATCCCGGAGGACTTCAACGAGGCTAAGTACATCGGCTTCACCATGTACTCGACGTGCATCGTCTGGCTGGCCTTCGTGCCCATTTATTTCGGCACCAACAACGATTATAAGGTCTGTATCGCCGGAGCGAAAAAAAAGAAAGAAAAAAAATCACGCCGTACATTTTGCGTCTTATGACGAGTCTTTCTAAATTTGTTGTAAACATGTAAAGTCGAGCGGACGGCTACCTTGCAGGTACAGATCGCGAGTATGTGCATGTGCATCAACATTTCCGCTTCGGTCGCCCTCGGTTGCCTCTTCACCCCCAAGGTCTATCTGGTGCTGTTCCAGCCTTATAAGAACGTTCGCCCGGGACATCCTAACGTATGTACAATACTGGTTTTGTTATTCTATCCTTGTCCGACCATTTATCCGTGAGATATGAACCGCGCGAAGCGTTTTCTCTCCTAGAATTGATGGAAATTACAAAACAATTCTAAATTTCGCAAGAAACAAAGCTATGTATGCGTCTTTTTGCCTATTTTATTCAAATTACTGTTAATTGTTGATCGCCAGTGATAAATTTTAACAAATAATAAGATGCAATTTAATTCGACCAAAAACTGGCTATTCATTTATTGAAAATAAGTACACACTACGTTTCGACCCACATTGTGGTCCTTTTCAAGTGTTGTTCTTATTCAACAATTACATTAATTAAAAATAGAAACAGTCGTTGAAGAAACATCATAGCGATGGGACGTGTTCCTCTTTTAACTATTAATTTTAAATAAGATTGGTTTTATATTGCGTTAATCTCATTTTAATTGATGGAATTCTCACTTGATAAGGACCACAACCAAATGGTCGAAACGTCGTGAAAGTATTGAATAAAATTGCTAGTTACGTCGAAATCAATTTTGCCAAGTTTAAAAATAGAAACATGAAAGTTGTCCTGTCATATCGACAATCTGTTAGCTACTGTGTAGAACAGTAGCTAGCAGATTATCGATATGACAGGACAACTTTCATGTTTCTATTTTTAATTAATGTAATTGCTGAAGAAGAACAACACTTGAAAAGGACCACAATGTGGTTCGAAACGTAGTGTGTACTTATTTTCAATAAATGAATAGCCAGTTTTTGGTCGAATTAAATTGCATCTTATTATTTGTTCAAATTACTGTATCTTATGTTTGAAAAAGTTCTCCGTTTTCCGATAAAACGTCGTAGAAAATCTGAAAACTGACTATCTCGTGTGTATTTAGGTTTTATTAATAAAATTAATTTTTTCTTGACAAGAAAAAATTATAAAGAAAAGGAATAATAATAATAAAATCTCTGATCGCGAAAACGACTAGAAAATAGCATTAAAATAACAAAAAAATCATACTTTTTTTATGGCTAATAATCAGCGTAATGATAAAAAAACAAACAAGCAAAATCGTGACACGCTCCGCGTTGAAGTATACAATCATTAAAACGCATTAACAATAAATCAACCAAATAATAAATCAACCAGGAGAGAAAGCGTGCGCGACCGTATATAGACAGGCCGGAATAATTGTGAATGTTATACCGAATTCGATTGGATGCACCGATGCACCCCGAAGCGCATAAAGACCGGACTCAGATTGATGTAAAAGCGTATGCTAACACACGAGAGAGAGTGGCTCGATCAATTTAACGTTCAGCATAAGTTACCGCACTGTTTGTGGAATTTATGCTGAGCAAAGTTTCCATTCCATTGATCGAGATGTTTACATATATCCTACGCTTGTGTAACTTGCCAAATCACGGCGGGAGTAGCCGGTGGAATTCACGATTAGAGAAACCCTATGATTTTTCCTCCTTCGTCGACGAGAAACTAAAACACCCACATTCGGACTCTCCGCAGACGGGCGGCATGCAGAGCGGAAATCGCGGAGCGTACAGCATGCGCTTCGCCGGCGGTCGCAGCCAGACGATGCAGAGCGTGACCTCGGCCTCGCGTAGCAGCCCTCCAATGTCTCGCGCGGCACCGGCACGTGCGGACGAGCGGAAGCACGCGAACGGTGAGACCCAGGCGCTGGCGAGCCCGTCGGTCGAGGAGACCTCCGTTAGCTAGGTCGCTCTCATACACCTCCCTCCCTGTCCAGAGCACCCTCGGGCGAGGATGCGCGAGACCGAGGCGGAGGTGTATGTCAACGATGACGATGACGGCGGCGGCGAAGGCGGCGGTAACAAGGCCGACAGAAGGGACGATAGAAGAAGCGCCGGCGGAAGTCGCGAGAGAGACGGCGGCGCCGGTAGTGACGGCTGCGACTTAGGTGACAGCAGCGACGACGACGACGACGACGACGACGACGACGAAGAGGAGCGCAAGCTGTCAACCGTTCAGGAACTCTCGGAGCTCAACGCCGTCAGTCCGCCGATGAATCGTCTGGCCGTGTGCCGAACCTGCGAGAGGAGTCGGGCCGGGTCTGATCAGGTGACGGATTTTCCTCGCTTTCGAGGTAGAGGATGTCGACAGATCCGAGCGGCTTTTCGAAAGCGGGACGAAACGCTACCGCAGCGAGATTCTAATCGAACGCGACTGATTCTCTCTGGCTATCCTCCTTTGCAAATCTGAGAGCTCCGGCATAATGTTCTGTTGCTTCGAGCATTTTAGTGCATTTTTAGGCTTTTTATCCTCTCTATTTGTGAAGGAAAACAATTGGAACTGGTAAAAACACGCTCTGCGCATTTGCTCGCTTCTCATCATTATGTTGTATAGTTCAGTTCTATCTTGTAATATCAGGCTGACCCGACCTTATCGTATCATCTGTTTATGGGAGACTTCTAAAATTATTTGGAGACGATTTTTCCTCAGCGACAAGGAAAGCTCGAGAAAGCCTTAAATTAAAATTTTATTAAAGTAAACTTTACCTGAAATTTAACGAAAAACTGTAGTTTTGTTAATAATTTATTTTCACGCCTTAATTTACAAAAAAAGCTTTCATTTTCAATCTTTTGTAATTCGAAAATAATTGGTGTCTAGACATTTTCACTGAGGAAAAATCGCTTCCAAATCGCCTCAAGAATCTCTCATTAGTAGTACAGTAAGTCTGTAACATCCTGTATATTCCTATACAGAGTGTCTGACATAAAGTGTCACACCGAAAATATACAAGTAGATCTCGTTATTTAGAGATGATTTTTCCTCGGAAAAAATTAGCTATGATAGCTAAATTTCAGCTGTCTCTATATTGCAATTTGAATTTTAGTTATCATGCCTGCATTTTAACTATTAAAAATATTAACTATATTAGGCATGATAACTTTTAATATCGGGACAGCTGAAATTTAGCTATATATAATAGCTAATTTTGTTTCCGTGTATCATTTTATTCTTATATTCTTTATAGCGCTTTTTATCATTTCTTTTCATTACACTTTATAGCGTTTGTTACGATCTTATATCATCATATTACGTAATATTGCGAAACGACGAGCATGCCGCGATTCCTAATCCAATAATCTTTTGTTTCCCTCTCGAGCCGAGCGATCGTGACGAAGCCGCGATCAGCAGCATCTCCGAGAGAGTAGAAGCGCGCGCGAGGAAAGAGGGATCGTGCCTGAACGAGGAGCAGATTCTAAGCTACGCCGACTCGCCGACCTTCTCCGAGTTCTCTTCGTAGTATTCGGACTCGGTCACTTCGATGCGGAGTGACAAATACCCTTCAGCACCCTTCGAGGACCGAGGACCAGCGCGAAGGGCCTCGTCTGCTTGGCCGTACTCGACAGCATTTTATAAGCGCCAGGCGTTTTATACATTCCCGTAAAGTGTGAGTGATTCGACAACCCTTGCTCAACTCTTTGCACTCGCGTGTTTGTTGTGCCAATATATGATGCGATACGTAGAATTATATATTTCAATCTGACAAATCTTCTTTAATTAAATAATATTATTTTTTAAATGTAAAAAAATTAAAATAGAAACGATATATTTTTAATTCGACCCAAACTAGCCAAGAAATTTTTATTTTATTTCCACAACGTTTCGACCATCTGTTTTTGGTCCTTTTCAAGTGAAAAACTAAAATGGTACAATTAATTAAAATTAATAAACATTTTTGATGTTAAACGTAAGAGTTAAAAATTTTTTACATACTTCCTTGATAAAAGCGCAGTTAGTTGACACTGTTGTCATGATTATTAAACAATATGATTATCAGAATTTTTTAAAAACATTTGAAATAACTTTTGAAAGAAAGTAACCGCATCTTATCGTTATGATGGATCGTCAAAAAACTTTTAATTAATTGTACCATTTTAGTTTTTCACTTGAAAAGGACCAAAAACAGATGGTCGAAACGTTATGGAAATAAATTAAAATTTCTTGGCTAGTTTGGGTCGAATTAAATATATCGTTCCTATTTTAAATACCACTAGTGACGTTTTAAGTATTCAATTTGATTTTATAAACAAATTAATTTGAATATCAAAATTTAAAAAGTTCCTATTTTTATATTAATTGCATGAATGACAGAACGTTTCTTAGTTATATCTTTATATATATTTTTCTGATTCGACACAGTATTAATATCGAGAGAGTAAAAATTAAATTTTTATTCGAACTTTTTTAGAGATCTTATATTTTATATATAATTAATTGTTAGACTTAATTTGCAAAAATGTTTGTAATCTATTCATTTTCTAAAATTTTTATCATTATCATAGATTTTATGTCAAGGTAATCTCAATTTCCAGAGTGTGCAATCAAATAATAGAAATAATTTTCAACTATTTTATCTTACGTATGTGCAATATTCCAATTTTACTCATATTCTTATTATCATTAATGCAACTTGCATTATTATTATTGAATTACATACATTAAAATAATATGAAAATTAACAATATCTGTTTTTGATATTAAAAACTATATTCTCTATAAATATATAAAAATGATACATAAAGAAAAAAATTTGATAATATTATTATATATAAAACCCAGCCAGAAATGATAGTTGAATCGACGTCGAATCGATGTCGAATTGGTCGTCTTTTCGATCGGATCATTTCTGACTGGGAATGTTATCAGAATAATCTCTCTCTCGAGTGCAAGGGGTAAACACTGCAACACATATAACACACACAATTAAGGTTGTATACGAAAACAACGGCCGCAATGTGTTCGGTCGTCTGGAAAAATGGTCGTTTTGTAAACTACGATTTTGTATAGTTATTTGTATCTGAAAATGCCGTGTGCTTTGTTCGTCGTTGACGTACGAACGTCACAGACTCTCGTCGGCATTCAGCAAGTTTCAGCGTATACATACATATATATATATATATATATGGTATATATATATATATATATATAAATATATATATATATATATATGTATATATGTATGTGCGTTTTTTGGTCCATATTTTTATCTCACGTACGAAAATCTTTTTTCTACATGTGTACCAATAACCAACGGTGTTTATATTAGTTTTCTGATTGATCCAACTCTCAATAAATACCACACATTTCAAAAACAGAAATAACGAGCAAAATGCAATATAAACGTATTATTTTACGTATAACAATGTATGTATCTTCCTACATGAGAATTTTTGTGTGGGCGTAAATCATTTAGTAATCCATAATTAATTTCAGCCAGATAATTAGCAAAATTATTTGTTCGTTATTCACTTTGCAAATATAAAATGATCCATATATTCTCTTCGTGATTATAATTAATTATTATTACGAAGGAAAGATTTTTAAGTCTATCCTCCGTAAATTTTGAAATACCGTGTAGGTGTATTAATTAATCGCACATGAACGGATATGAACGCATACGTACATAAAATATGCGGAGCTTTATTAAAATTCGATAATTTACCGACTAAGATCGCATCCTGCCACCAAAAGGCGAATCGTAGATGCGATGTTAGATAATTAATGGTGGTTTCAGTCGTATTTGACGTAGTAGAAGCAACAATATTGATTATACATACAATAGCAACAGATTACGTAGAAACGTCTGTTTGCATTCGAAACACCGAAATTTTGATCGCGGTGATCCGGTCTTTAAAACATTATTACACCACCATTATTTTTATCTTTAATTAGATTCTTTAAGGTGAAAAAATATTCAGTCAATCTTGTAAATTAAAAATTGAGATCTACGATGAAGTATTAAAAACACAAAAAAAATAATATAAAAAAGTACAAATCAAGTTCATGCCACATATATTATCGTCTTATATTCTCAGTGTAGAAACTTTTACGTCATTTAACTTTAAGTAAAACTAATGTATCAAGTTGCGATAGATTCACTAAAATAGAACATACATCAATCTCAATTCCAACATAAATAATGTTAGAATATATGCGCTAAGATCGAGACAACGATGAATTGATTTTTAATGCATCAGCGCTAGTTGTTACACATCGAGTTACGCCTAATACGATAAATTACTTCCACGAAAAAAAAAGGGAATATTACACCGACCCCAAAATAATGTATTCCTATATAGAGGAGGCAAAATCAAAACGATTTTACTTGCAGCACGATAAGAATTGCTAGGTAAGAAAGACTCTCGACGAAACGTTTCGGCATAGTACATAGTTATGTATATTAATGTTGTTATATAGCCGTCGTAAACGTAGAACGTAAGCGAAGGCAAAATCTCTATCGACTCGTTAGAGCTGTTATTATTCCTTTCGAGAATATCGAGAGACACGAGTGTGTCTTATTTAATTCACGTGCAACTGCTTGACGCATTGTATATACAGTTACGCCTAAAAGACATGTTATTATTTGTTTTTTCGCGTTTAGAACAAATATTTATTTTTATTTGTTATTATTTATTTTTTCGCACTTAAGAACAAATATTTATTAAGATATATATATATATATATATATATATATATATATATATATATATCACCAAAGATGGACACTATTATTTTTTGTAAAAATAATTTTTTTACTTGTTTACTCATTTTTACAACCGAACTATTGTTCGATGAGTTGTGTGAGCATATATTTTAGAAATGTCATGAATCTCAATTCCGTTTTTTTTTTATCTTTAAATTAATTTAATTATCGAGGCATCTAATAATCAAACGTACTGTAAATAAACATATAGTTACAAAATCTCTCGCTTCTTTCCCGCGGGACTGGGATATCTTTATTAATAATTGTACAAAATATTATAAAATATTAGAATATACATATATAGAGATGTATCGCGTGTTAACACTACGTGCATATATTAATTAGCTATTATACGTGTGTACTTATGTGCCTAGCATCGTATGAGCTACATTTCGTAATTCGTATATTATTGTCTTTGTGATTAAGTCGAATAATGATAAAAACTATTAAAACTTTTCTCATCAAAAAATAAAAAAATAATAAAATTTTATCTTACGCGTTTTTTTACATATTTTTATTATACACTAAAAAAAACTATTAATTTCGAATAAATATTTATTTAAATAGTACCATTTACAAATTTGTTTGAAACAAATAAATATTTATCTGTTTTGAAAAAGAATTTCTTATATCAAATAAATATTTTTTTCACGGCAAATCAATATTATTAGTTTCAAACAAATGATGTAAATAGTACTATTTAAATAAATATTTATTTTAAATCAATAATTTTTTTATTGTATATTTAAATTTTAATTGTTAGAATCATTTTTAGCGCAAAGTAATTTTTAAATATGCAATTTGGAGATCTTTTATCCTGTTTTGTGTGAAGATAAAATTTTCATCACTATTTAGATAGGTTTATTTCTTCCTGTCTTGCTCTTACATAAAAAAACGAGTACTTTAATATTTAAAGCAAATAAAAAGATTACATCAATGAATGAGTCGTTATTCGACTTAATGGAATATCGTGTAGTGAAATACACAAATGATTGTTAAATGATCGTTAACATGACATACGATAAAACTGTATATTGAAATATCGGAAAGGAGGGTACGTAAGAGTAACTTCACACAACTGCCTGCGATAATAAACTGATTAACGAATGAAGCCATTAACGGATTCTGTATATAACCGTGTTAGTCTAAGGAGAGACCTTTTCGCACAGGTCTAATGGTCTCGTCTAAGTGCAAATCCTTGCGATTTCTCATTCTAAAGCTCCTAGATGGCAAGCTAGATGGATAGATACCATTCTAACTTTGCCCTAGTTAAAGATTTTTCGATCCTATCAGATCGTACCATATCTTCTCGTCGTTGTCATGAAGAACTTTACTTAAATAATATAGCACATTGCTAAAAAAACAAGAAAAAAAGAGATATCCAAATTTCTTTTTAAAACTTTATTCTCTGAACAAAATGTATTAATTCTAGAAAAAAAGAAACGGGTCAAAAAACATTAATATATATATATATATATATATATATATGTATAGTTCAGCATTTGCGGAAACGGCAGAAATGTACTCGGAAATGTACATGAAACACGTACCTTAGAATGAGATTAACTAAGGATCTAGGGATACCGTTGCGCAGTACATAATCTACAGCGGAGCTTCACATATTCGTTTAGTGAACGACGCGATTATCGAGTAGTTTGATACATGCATCTACGTATTTGAAATCGATATTAGCTAGAAGAGATATCGTAAAAAAAATAAATATACTATCTCTCAAATGATGTTGCGAGCGAGAATTCTCATTTTATCTCGTTTTAACAACCTTTACGAGAAAGAATCTCAATTTTAAACAGAATTTTATATTATATAGTGCCAAATCGATGTTAGCGTGCACAAATGAGATACTAATAGATATATTATATAATTATATATGTATGTATGTACGAATCTCTCTCATATATACATACGTATATATATATATATATATATATATATATATATATATATATATATATATATATATATATAGATACATATTCCATAGAACTAAAAGAGAACAGCGAGAGAATCGTCGTCTTTTAAAACGTTAAATCGATATATTAAATCGGATAAGATTTTGTAAATATAAGAAGAGATATAATAAATGCCATAAAATATATACAATCTGTACGTAGTGCGCGATATTAAACATATGTGAAGAACGACGGCTTGAAGAAGCCGCTTGTACATTAATAATACATCTTCGTGAATAAGATTCGATTAAATCTAAATAGAGTTGAAACTCTGGTTCCTTTCGAATTCCACATTACGAGTAATCTTACTTAAGCTTAATAAAAATTACTTTTTATATTTATATAATTATATTTAATACTGAATGTTATACACGTTAAAAGAATATTTCTTCCTTAATTAAATATCAAATAAAGATTCAAACAGAAGGTATGTTGATACTGCGCGCGATCCTGCGTTAGAATGTCGATATATAATTATGTGTGAAATAGAGAAATCAGATAGAATAACTCCGAAATTGTGTGTGTACGTTTTTATCGTTCTAGTATTATTTTTTCTATGTAAATGACATTATATTATAGAACGAGAACTTTTAACTTAGAACGTTTATGGGAAGTTTATGGGGACTTTCCTGACACACACACACACACACACACACATATACACACACACACGCGCGTATACATACACAACCCTGTGAACTTTAAAAAAGATCACACCCAATTATATCACCCGATTGATTGCCTTCTTTTTTAACTCTTTACATGTCATTAATTCAATACCGGATCATTTCGATCGTGAAATTGATATTTCCTGCATCGCGTGCAAATAATAATGCATAACAAATAAGAAGAACAGCCAGTAGTAAATTGTAACATTTCAGCAAACCGAAAAGTAAAATAATGCAAATAATTTTTGTTTTTTTTTCAAAAACTGAAATGCGTCTCTTTTCGCGCTGCGAGAATTTCTTTTATTTGCGATTTGTTTTTCTCTTTTAAAGAAAAAATCGAAACCTTATTTTTAAAGTTTCCAAGCCGTCAGTTCTATCGGCCTAATTAATGTATTAGTTAATTAATTTATCTACGCTTTTTCCGTCACGTAGACGTTCGCTTTCAGACTAAAGAGTGAAAATTACGTGATTGATCTCATGAAGAGAATAATTAGCGATGTTAATATCGTCTGTTTGATCTTGTCATATATTAAGTCATCGATAGATTAAACAAACTTAGACTGATTAACGCCACTCTCTCTGCGAGAGACTTTTTTTTTATAAACGTCGCGTCGTATCGGAAAACGCGCGACGTCATATGTCAATTAATAAGAAATTTAAATTAACGCAAACGTATTGGAATTATTGTCCGAAATTATTTGCGTTGTAGTGTAAATTAAATCTATATAACACGCTTTTGCCCATGTAAAGTATGTACAAAAATTCGTGATTGTTTTTAATTATACGATTATATTTTTTAAAAAATTCTATAATTTAATGCTAATTTAATGAGCTGTCAGCTTATTTCACTTGTATTTCAAGAAATTATGAATTTCTTTAAAAAACTTTACTTCTACTGATAAGTCTCATTAGTTGAAATAACGGACAAATTTCCGAATAAAATGTTACTTTTATATTTATAACATATATATTCTATATGGAGGTAATAAAGCAATTTTTAGCTAAATAATATTTTTCTTTCAAATTTTTTACACATTGATTTAATAATTTCAAAAATTGTTTTGCGCTCAAAAAAATGTCTGATTATAGAACTACTACACAATAAACATTTCACACTTTTTAAAATTTTTTAAAAGAATTAATTTTGAATATAAATTATTATTTTTTATTTATACTACTTATACTTTAAAATAAAGAGCTCATATGCATAATACACATATTGCAATAATATAAAATCAATATTTTATATTTTTTCAATGCTATTTTCTATAATAAATTATTTATTGACTCCATTAAATATATATATCTAAGAGGTGAGGATTACTCCTATCAATTCATCATTTGGATAGTAATTCACAAACATTCCGGAATTAACTTAACCACATTTATTATCGTGCCGTTAAATATAAATATCATTCAGCACAGATCTCTAATCAATATTCATCCTACGTTGTTATATATTAATTGTATATGCGTTTACTTATGTTGTAGCATAATTTATTATACAATTAACATATTCTATAATAAATGTTGTCAACAAATCAATTTTGTAATCAGCGCTAAATGGGGCTGATAAATTTTAGAACCTCTTCCTTTTCACGTTATATCTAGTCATTTCGCTAAGACAAACGAGTTGAATGATCATTCGGCGAATTTTGAATGTTCAATCAAAAATATGATCGATAAGAAGAGAATTATCAATGATAAGTTAAATAAAGACTCTTTATTAAGTTCGGAATTATAAAAAGTAATTATAGAAAATGCAAATATAGCTATTTTGAGCAGTATATTAAAGAAAAGGAATTGCTGCCTATCAGTCATTCATTACTTAATTATCCAATTCAAAATAGGAAGAAATAGGAATTGTGCAAAAATTGATTACAGAAAAACAGAAATATACGCTTTAAAAAAAATACAATTTATATATTATATGTATGCATTCATATACTTGAAAAATGATCAGCTTGCTAGATACATCACTTAAAAAAATATATATGTATATTTATGTACATATTACAACAATATACATATGTACACATCGCATTAATTAAGAAAATTATATACAATCATATCATGGTTTATTATATCGGACTCGCTGCCGATCCTGATGGCTGTAATACTCGTTACAAATTAACTTACATAGAAATAGATGGAACACAATTATCAGAAAACATATGCTTACCCAGAATAAAGTAGGCAAGCCTCCAAGTTGATGTCCATGTTTGTGCAAGGCCATAACTTGATGATCGTGCGCCGGTGCTGAAAAAAAAAGAAAAAGAAATATATCAACACATAAGTTCTTTAATAATTAATGTCTAACTTCTATTGATGATAATGTCGCTAACTTCTTTTAACGTACCGTCGTCCACTTCGTGCACGTGTAAAGCATTGCGAAGATCTTGCATATGCTGATGATCAGATGTTATATAAAGTATTGCGGTTAGCGGTTTCGTTAACTTGACGGGAAAGTTCGTATAAGCTTGACTGAGAGGCACCGGCGCATCCAAACAGCCAGCATCACATCCGAAATAAACGCTATCACTCTTGTCCAAAGCTACACCTAATATTGCACGATTATCCTCACCGACTGTCACGGATATATTCACATGCGTTAAATTTCCGTAACTTATACGCCTGGAAAAGACATAATCATAGCGCTTATATTGCTTTATAAATAATGCATATATGTACATATAACAATACTTTTATAGAAATAATTCTAATTTAAATTTCATTATTTTTTAATTATATCTAGTTTAATTGAGGCGACAATAATATATAGGTAAATCATACTTGAACAAGTAGTCGCGATGAAGATACTGAGGATCGATATTGAATTCAAGATGTTGATTACTGAATCTCAGACTACCAAGACTCAACACAATTGCTTGTTGTACAGCCGCAGGACCACCGGTCACTAAATGATGGCAGCCTTGTTTCTCTAACGTTATCAACCATGCCTCGACTATTTCATTTACAGCTTCAATGGAAGATGTGTCTTTCCACAAACGAGTAGCATCTCTATATAAGTAAGACATTTATATAACAATAAATGTCATTATTTTAAAAGACAATACATACAACTCTAATTCTGCTTACAAGGTATGATGACCTCGATAGCAGCCTTCGTTCATGGCAACATTTTTCTCCACATCTTGAGTACTTCGCGATACTTGAGATAGTACATAATACATGGTAGAATTAATCTTGTGGCCGTTAATGGCGCCATCGGCCTTGGAGTCGCTTATTCTTAAGCCTGCATACCAATAACTTTGCCAGAGATTCACATGCTCCTCTCTCAGGCTTCGTTGCTGACGTCCAATCGCTTTTTTCATTAACTGTTATAATAAAAAAGATACATGTTGTACAACGATATATGAATATATAGTTTTCTCAATTTAAATTTAAGAAGTTTAGTTGTTTGCTTACATCAATCGCCTTCTTCTTGGTGGCATCGCGTTCTATATGATACTGTTCGGACGAAATTGGTTCACTGTACTGAATGCTCGATAAGAATTCCAATTTGATAGAACTGCGCGCTTTTACTTGCACCGTTTTAGGTGGAACCTTGTAAATTATCGATATGACTATTATCTTGTTGGAATTGGGCACTGACACAAATCCGGACACCAGAGTGTATTCGTGATTAAACCCATCTACCTGAATCCTAATATTACAAAGTATAAATGTTAATAGATCAAATAAATATAATAATACATTTTTATTTAACTCTAGAGCAATGCTGTCGCTTACTTGATGGGCTCTATGTGAGAGTTACTCCAATGAATAGATTCCTGTGGCTTCAATGGCACCTCTTGAGAGAGCGAAAATGGATTAGAGACTTTTATAGTCTGTACCAAAATTCCTTCAAGACCTCTGTGAGCATAATATTGAAAATCTATGTGATATCCCTCTCTAAGGCACTGATACTTGTAAACAATTCCGTTTGTAAAATGAACAACAGTAGCTTCTTGATAAAAGCTATCCTTGGGTATAGAGTACGAGATCAATGGTTGCCACTGAACTGGAAGCAAAAGTCCTCTTCCGTGTTTAATATACAGCCAACCTTCTGGAGAAACAGGAACTCCAAAGACACCATTGCCAATATATGGCAGGTAAGAATATTCATTCTCTTTGGGTGGATTGTGCAGAATATTTGCGTTATATTCTACGGCATCAAAGTAAAAACTGGCCAGCCTCTCATTTATGCAGTGAGCCTCAAACGCTGTGAAAGAAAGCATGAATTAATATTTTTGAAAAATAATTATGTATGAGTGTTATAGAAAATCTCTTAATTTTACGCAACAAAAAAGACTTTTTTACTCTAATTATATCTTTAATTCATGAGTTCAAAAAATTGAAAAAAATTCAATTTACATTGAAATAAAAAGTATTTAACATCATAATCAGCTATTTCTTGTTTCAAGTCCTCCGCAAAGTAGTTCCGTATATACATATAAATATCTTCAATGCGTAAGGATCTCTGGACAAAGTGACTAAATAATCGTCACCTTCTATGGGTTCCCTAGCTGTGGAGAAGAGCCACTGCGCGAAAGACGGGCCGAAGTACAGCAGCAAGCCGCCGCACACCAGAACGATGAGGAGGATCTTACGATAGGAGTAATTGCCGTCCAGGAGACGACGTACGCGTTTGCCGAACTCGCGGCCGTCCAGCATGCCGCCGGTTCTCATCCTGAGAATTCTCACGAGCCGGTGTGAAACGCGTGTACCCGAGTGTCCGCGGTGAGCCGACGACGACGACGGACATAACCTGACCTCGCCGTGGAAATAAATCACCGACAGGATCTCCTATCCATCCTAGAGTCGTTTCTCACGAATCCGTTCGCGAATTACGCGATCGTGTAACGATATTTGAATCGTGCACCGGAAGAATATCTGTCAGGGTGCGTTTTATCCCAGGCCGTACGAAAATGAAACGAAAGTAAACAACGCGACACGACCGGTTCTCCGCGTCAGCTGATGACAGGTGACAGCTCGCGCGCGATTGATGCGATCTATCGAAGATCGCGCTTACTTTGACATTTATCGATGGCACACGCGGATTTATTTCTTCGAAACTACGTTCTCTCTCCCATATACATATATATGTAAGTAATAAATGTCAAAAAGAAATTCCCAATTTTTTTTAATACGTACGTAGAAATAAAACTCTGTGAATAAAACAAAAAATGACGCGGGAAGAAAAGTTTCGAAGGGGATGCGGAAATTCAATCGAATTGCGAATTTAAATCGCGTCTCGATACTTCAAAGTCGAGATCGATGTTCGATATCGCGTCATATGGTGTCCGTGGAACGGGGCGATGAAGCGTGACGTTTCGCTCCTGCCGCAGACACAAAAATCGAACAGTGCGCTCGACGCTTTTAACGTAACGCTTCGTAACGGAGCTGTCACGTCGACGTTTACGTCGACGACGACGTCAGACTTTAAGGGACAACGGTTCGCCGGAGGACGACTGGCTGGAGGAGGAGGAGGAGGAGGCCGAAACTGCGGCGGCCTTAGTCTCTTCCCCGCGACCGCGTCTCGTCGTCGAGCTCGACCTCCCGCACTGCACCGATTACTGCACATGATTACCCTGAACGTCTAATTAGGCGAGTTTTAGAAAGCGAGCACGCAAGCATGACCCACTCCACGGCGAAGAGTGTGCTGTGCACTCTGGTGTGAACACCCTGGATCGAACGCGCACGCAGCCTCTTGCAGTAAATATTAATAATTATCGTAATATTTGTCAATCGAGGACGGAAGGTATCGAATAATTTTGACACATCGATACTAGTCAAGAATGAACACTTAAGAATTTTAATTATAATTGTTCAATTGCAATGTGCTCTACAGTGAAGAATAAAGCTCATTTTGTTCGAGCTACTTTCACTAAATGTAATAAATATTGTTTGTGCGCTATAAGAAAATATTCTCTAGTAGTAATGTGACACATAACATTTTCCAAATTTTATTAGCAAAGTTTTGAATATATTTTAATATTACTTGTGTGATAATTTTGTGGTTGATAATATTTCATAATTTATTAATGTGTTTATGTATATGTCTCATTATCAATTTTATTGTAAAAATGAATGCCCTACTTAATTATCAGTACATGTTAATTACAGTGATATTATTTTGAACTTGCACTATTAATTTTTCAGTTTCGCTACTACGACAGTTTTACTTAAATTTGATGACTATATGAATTATCAACGTACAAAAGAAATTGGAGTCCGCAATATGCAAGAATCATGATAGCTGGACATATATTGTGAAATATCATATTTATTTGAGGGAGGATCAATAAACTATTCAGTGGCAATATGTTTGGTTGTTCAAGAGAGGCTGTACGCGTCAAAGTGAAGGTATAACAAAATTTGTCTCTTCTAATTTTTTCTAATTTTTATATTGAAACATATTGAAACAATCAAATCCATATTATTTTAATAAGATAATAAAAAAGCAAAGAGAGATTTTTTTACAATTCTCATACTAATAATTCAGACTATTTAAGTATAAAAATTAGAGTTTAATAGAATAAATTATGATAGTATAATTATATAACATATGTGATATAGATATATAAATTAATCATAAAGATATTTTAAAAAATATTAATCTATGTCATATTTTAGTAATTCTCTTTTTTGCTTTAGAAGTGTGAAACCAGACACCAACCTGAATATCGTAAATTTAGTGTGGATCCTCAAATAACATCAATAGAAGTACTGCAGAGCATTCTTATCAAAGCTTTTGATATAAAAGGGTAAGTGACATTAATGTGATAAAATTTAATGACATTAAATTTAAATAATTGTATCATAATAGAGCAAAACTATATAAGATGAAATAATTCAAGTGAAATTTAAAATAAAATATATTTCCTATTGAAAAAGATAAGACAGATTAAAAGAATATAATTAATAGAATATTCATCAATTATTGTAATCAATCAATCTATATATAGAAAATAATTTCATCTCTTTATATTTATGATAAAATAATTATTGCTGTATATTCGAGCCATTTTTTATTACTCAATTATTTAGCGACACAAACATCACATAATGATACAAAAGAGTTTCTTGAAACACAAACATCCTTGAATTTATCGTATTTGTCGCGTCGTGAAATATTAAGTAGAATGCCGTAAAAATCGCTCGCGTGCCGCAGGGAATTTACCGTTTCGTATCGAGCAATCGACGACTATGGCTCCGAGACGTATCTGTTCTTACTTTCGGACTGGGACTTGGACGCTGCGTTTATCAGGTGATTAATTCATAGATTATCACAGATAATACGAAACAAATACGTACATATAACAAATATGTATAATATAATAAATATATATCCCGATAAGTACACGCAAGCAGTTTCTAATCTAACATGAGTTCTTCCAGTGCGTCCGAACCATACCTCTATCTACAAGTAAACCTGAAACCCTTTGGTGAAACTGGAGACTGCGAGTATTATTGGGAGCAAAATGCACAGGAAGTTTCGACGCGTCAGCAGGAAACTGGGTTTCCTTACAGAACACCAAAGCTGCCTGGTCTTATAATGAATAAGGTAAGTGCCATTGCATCTTTGATGCAATATTGCAGTGGGCAATATTGAAAATATTTCACAGATGCCTAGTATTTCTGCAAAAATATCAGAAAGGATTAAATATGAAAAATTAATTATAATACCCTATAACAAATACTTTTTATCTAATTAAAAATCATACACGAATTTTTCTTATAATTAAAATTATTTTTATTCCGTGATTCACGTATCCTTATTTTCCTCATTATTTCTATTATAATTTTTCTTATTATTTCTTTATTAGAGTTTTGTGTAATTTTTTATTTTATTTTATTATTTTGTTGTTTTGTTGTGATTATTTTCATTACAGTTGTTTGGTGTATCCTATCTCCCATTTAATTTTTCGTCACAGATGGAAAGGACCCTGAATATGGTGCAACGTGCATTGGGTAACTTGGGCGAGGAATCGTCTCAACAGCAGAACGTTCAGCCTCCTCGACCGCCGCTAACAGATGCAGAGTTTCGCCGATTTTTGGATCCCATCGGTCAAGTGGTGCACTCCAAGGATCTAAGGGCTGTAATCTACTTTGGCGGGATCGAGCCTAGCCTGCGTAAAGTAGTCTGGAAACACATTCTGAACGTGTATCCCGAAGGGATGTCGGGTCGAGAGAGGATGGATTACATGAAGAGGAAGGCGCAGGAATATCAGAATTTGCGCGAACGATGGCGCGCGCTGGTGCAAAAGGGACAGAACGTCGGCGACCTCGGCTACGTCACCGGTATGGTAAGGAAGGACGTCCTCAGAACGGATAGGCATCACAAGTTTTACGGCGGCTCGGACGACAATCAGAACACGGCGAGTCTTTTTAACATTTTGACGACGTATGCTTTAAATCATCCGAGTGTAAGTTACTGCCAGGGCATGAGCGACCTGGCCTCGCCCCTTCTCGTCACGATGCGAGACGAAGCTCAAGCCTACATTTGCCTTTGCGCCCTTATGAGAAGATTGAAGGACAACTTCATGCTCGACGGCATCGCCATGACTACCAAATTTGCTCATCTCGCAGAAGGTAAGCGATCATTGAAAATGCGACTTACCTTTATTCTGTCTAATCCTATATTTAGAGAATTCTTTCTCTGTTTCAATAATTTTCTACGAAAATATTATAATGTCATTAAGCTTTTTCTCGCAGGTCTTCAGCATTACGACCCCGACTTTTACGCGTACTTAAAATCCCATCAAGCGGACGATCTGCTTTTTTGCTATCGTTGGCTGTTGTTGGAAATGAAGCGCGAGTTCGCACTGGACGACGCACTTAGAATGCTCGAGGTTCTTTGGGCCGCTTTACCAGCATCACCACCGACCGGCGAACTGGCTCTTGCTGAGGTGCCTTTTCCACCACCGTCGCCACCGCCGAGTCCGAACGTGAAGCACATCCGTGAGAACGCGTACACCAAGGTCTGCGCAATCAGACGACAAAGTTCCTCGGCCAGTATCGCCGCTAGCATTAAACGGAAAGCTCTCAGCACGGAGGACCCGACTCTGCAGTCAGCTGCAGAGCTTAATGGAGAAACGAAAAGGTTTCTTGTTTGCATAGTTGCATAGTAATTGAAGTTACTCGAAACCACAATAAAAAAATACACCTTTTCAATAAAATATAAAGTTCAGATGGATTTGCACAAGATGTAGATGAAGAAAGATATAGATGGAAATGTCAGAAATATTCCTAGACAAACATTAATATGAATACTCTTCAATTTTGCAGTAAATAAAATTTCTTTGTTTATTTTTTTCGCATTGGTAATTAAAAATTATCCACTTATAACTTTAATTCTATTAATGTTTACTTTCAGATCTAACTCGCCGTACGAAGCGTTTTCCGATTCGGAAAATGATTTGACCAGTACGAAAAATAAAAAGAATACGGAATCGACGGAAAAGTGCCTAAGTACAGATTCTATTCCGGTTAAATCGAAACGCTCGAATCTTCTCGAATTGAAAGACAGATTGTCTGTCTCCAGCAAAGAACAAATTAAAAATAGTGAACAAAGTGACAATTCTGAAAAGAAATGTGCACGAGTAGTAAAAAATTTGAACGAATTCTTAAATTTCACTAGCCTCAATCGTAGCAAAGTTACGCCAAGCGACGCCGAACCCGAACTCAGGTAATCACTTTTTAATCAAAATATACTTGAAATCTAAATCGTATTTTGTAAGAATAATTTTCATTCAAAAGTGTTATTTTTCGTCATTATAGACGTGTTTCGAGCGAAAGCGGCGTTATCAGAGTGTTGAGGGACGACCCGAACTCGCCAGACGATTCCACGGACTTCTTTCCAATGACTACTTCAATGACCAGAGAGTTAAGACTGGAATTGGAGTCGCTGGATCGACAAGTGTTTGGACTTTCGCCTCCCAGCGAGATGCAGTGCGATTGTGTGCTCTCGAAAAGAGAAGGTGATTTACCGGAAAGCGAAACCGAAACGGAATTAGCGAGGTGCAGTCCAGCGGCGGACGTCTTCGTATGGGAGAATCCTTTACACACATTACAACAAAAGCATCATCCTACGACGCCGGACGAACAGGCGGAATTGGAGTACGACGGTGAAATTTTGGAAGATCAGAACGGCGTGAAATCCGTCACACCGATCAGATTACTCAAATGTACCACTAGGTATAAACTTTCATCTTCAAAGATTTATAGATCTGAACATTTTCTCGCCTCTGATGTCATAATCTAACAGCCGTGGCGAATACCAAGGAATTATCTTATGAATAAAAAAGTTATACCGGCGTACACAAATGTACGGTTCGGAATTCTATCGTTAAAATTTCAAAGAAATCGATGCTAATATATACTCCACGGAGAAATGTTTTACATTTTTATCCAAGCTGTTCGTTTATCTTTCAGATCCGAGTCGGCGTCGGACAGCGAAGGGACCGAGAGTTGGCATCAAAATCAGCCTGTAACAGAGAGCCCGACGAAACAACAGCAGCAGCAGCAACAGCAACAATCTGTTCAAGAGCAGTGCGAGGAAGCGACGGAGCTGACTAATCTCATTCCTGCGGGAACAAGCGAGGATCAGCTGGGCGAAAGCTCATTGCCGCCTCCGCACGAGTTTGGCGGCGGCAATCCCTTCTTGATGTTCCTATGTATTACCCTTTTGCTGCAACACCGAGACTTTGTTATGCGCAATCAGATGGATTACAACGAGATGGCGATGCACTTCGACAAGATGATCCGCCGTCACAATGTGATCCGTGTACTTAATCAGGCGAGACAGCTGTTCGCGGGCTATCTTAGAAGACATTCGGCCTCGTCCTCGGCCGGCTCGATTTCTACTGGCAAGCCGGACTGTGTGAATGTATAATTCTTCCCTAATTATCTCTTTAAAAAATTATTAAATCATTAATCACAGGCGACCTGAGATTTGAGAATTATTTAACTCAATGAATTGGATTACATATCATGGAAATTATGTCATTGATATTAGCATTTCGGAGGATTAAGAGGACTTGAATTAATTCTATCACGATATTCTTCCGCTCGTGACATTCACGAGATGATGTTCGCGACGTTTGCTATGAATTCACAGTCACATTTCATAAACAACGTCTCTGATTAATCATTCTTTTCTCTATCTTTTTTCTTTCTAATATATATAATAAATTTTTTTAATTATTAAGTAAATGTACTTAATAATTTAAAAAATTTATTTTTAATTTAAAATTATTATTATTATTTTTTACTTGCATATATGTTAGTACGAGATATGTATATAAGTTGTGATAGACATTGAAAATAAATTCAAATCCAAACAACGAAAAATGACTAATATGTAACAAGAAAGCAATAAAGTGCAACACGTTATATAAGAATCTTTGAATTTTTTTTTCGTAAATGGTTTTTTTCCGAAAGAGAAAGAAAGAGAGAAAAGGCGATTGATCAGAGACAAAATCGCGCTAGCCCGTATTTATCATTTTATAGCATCTGTAAAAGACTTATCTCATATTTCATAAAGGAATGAGATCGAGAAAATGAACTAACACTCTATTCAAAAAGCTCTCAACAGACAACAATCGAAAGCGCTTTAGTTAATCCACGAATGGCACACGCGTAATTATCATTCTACGTAACATTATTGCACGATATCACGTATCGACGCATCGACGAACTCTCTCGCTGTATGTAGAATTAAATACCTTTAGCTTAACGTACTCGAGGACATATCTTGCGATCGCGTCGTCCTCGAATGCGTTAAAAATATGTAAGATACATCTATATCTTATCCTAGCAGAGCTGAATCTTACTTTGTTCTCAAACAATATGCTTGGGAAACGACAATAAAGTGCATTTAATTTTATTGCTGATATTCTAATCACTTTCCATTCATTGGGTTTAAATTCGCCGACACAAAGATATTTTTGAGGAAATATATATTTTTTTTCTTTAACAAAGTGTATAAATAATTTTTATTTGCCTAATAATTAAATGCGCTTGATATAACATTGATATTACATTATTTAAGCAATGTTTAAATTTTGCTGAAGATATACATAAAAACAAAATAAATCATTAATGATATGTACTGAACGTGAAAATTAGTAATTAATTTCAAAATTTATTCTTTTTTATTTTCATATTTTCTTTCTTTTCCCTTTCACACAAAAAAAAACTTATCTTACAAGATTTGCATTTCTTAATAGAATATTTTATTTATTTGCATGTTCTGTTATATATATATATATATATATATATATATATATATATATATATATATACTCTGATCTTTTAAACATTTGAAAATGTTAACAATAATTAAATGAAATGCAATATATGTAAAAATATTTATAGTATTATTATTAAAATTTCTGAACGACACACAAAACACTTAATATCAATGGACATAAAATTAATCAATCAAACGAGAAAATACAATGAATTATATAATAATGAAGCATTTTAAGAGAAATGATTAAAAATTTGAAAGAAAATGTATATACTGCAAGAAAAATTTTTAAAAATATATAATTTATTTTTAATAATTAATAATTTAAAAACAAAACATAAAGACGTAAAATACCAAAATAAAGACGGTAAATATTTATTAATCTCTTTCGAATTACAACATATATTTGCGTGTACATACAGATATATACAATATAAAATTTTCTTTTTTTTAGGTGGGAATCTTATCAAACTTTAAGTTTTTTAATAAAGAAGCGAATAAGACTTCTACATATATTTAAAATATTTTATAAAGTTAAATTAATTTTCTTATAGAATTTTGAAACATAATTTACATGTAAGTTTTTATTGATTTTGCGTCCTTAAGTGTCGTGTCGTAGTATCGATCATCTGTGATCGAGAAATTTCAAATTTTGACCGCGCGCATGTGACATGCCGCGTAGCACGTGATCGGTGACGTCACTCTCGATAGTCTCGATCGATTGTCGCGAGTTTCACGTAGTTTCGCCTGCGCCACCTGACTGTTGTGTCAGTCCGTTTTGATCCGATTCGAAGATTCGAAGAAACAATCGCATCACTATTGCATCATGTGAGTAAATCATGAGAATTTTTGCATATACGAACGATCTATTTTCCTCCTTTCGAGACTTCAAAATCCCACATCGTGACACATTTCCACGTAAATTATACTCGACGTATCGTTATAAAGGTTTATTTATGTGTTATAACGATACGCGTTTCTGCTCCTAGAATTTTTTATTATATTGCGGGCACAAGGATATTAAAGAAGCAGGATGTTGTTGGCGGCAAGGATCTGCCGAGTTGGGGCTTCCCCAGGTTTGACGTCGTTTGTCAGGACTCCGCTCGTCCCGACGACGCCGCAGTTCTCCAGAGGTCAAATCGCGAGGCTGTTCGTTAGCGATGGACGTAGCTCTTACACGAGGACTGCGAAAAAAAGAACCACCGTGTCGGAGCAGGCGATGGCACCAGCCGGTGAAACCGGTCAGTTGTGGATTTTCATCTTTAACATATTCATACATGTAGGACTTCCACAAGAGTCTCATAGCTGCTTTATTAACTGCTAGTCTCCTAAGCAGTGTTTAAACCTAATGAAAACATATTTGCCTCTTGCGTTGTCCTTATACAGTTTGTTGATTGTTTTTTTTTCCTATTTCAGCATTTAATATCGGAAAAGGAGCAATAGCCGGAGGAGCAGTATTAGGATTAGGTGCTCTTTGTTATTATGGATTGGGTCTTTCCTCACAAACAGGTGCCATAGATCACGCAAGGTATATAAATTATTAATATTAAAATTATATGATTCTTTAGCATTTGAATGTTTCACAAATATATAAAAGATTGCTACAATTGAAAAAATTTGTATCCGTTATGGATTCCAAGTTGCCTCTTTACAATTATGTAATATACATATATATATTATACATTTTTTATATTTTTTATAGTGTAAAACTTGATATTAAAACTCTGATTTACTTTCTTTTGCACAGCTTATGGCCCCAATATGTGAAGGACAGAGTGAAATCTACTTATATGTACTTTGGTGCGTCTATCGCGGCCAGCGCAGCATCCGCAGCTCTGTGTTTACGTTCTCCAACCATGATGAACATGGTAATGCGTCAAGGCTGGATCGCTTTGGGTGTAACATTGGCCGCGATGATCGGCAGCGGCATGGTCGTACAGGGGCTTCCGTATAAGGAAGGATTCGGTGCCAAGCAGATGGCTTGGTTGGTGCACACCGGCATCGTGGGCGCCGTTTTGGCACCCTTGTCTCTTCTGGGTGGACCGTTGGTCCTCCGGGCGGCTTGGTACACCGCTGGTGTCGTCGGTGGTTTGTCGGCGGTTGCCATTTGCGCGCCTAGTGATAAGTTCCTGGCGATGGGCGGCCCACTCGCTATTGGATTAGGTGTGGTGTTCGCCAGCTCCCTAGGTACCATGTTTCTTCCACCTACGACCGTCCTCGGCTCAGGATTACACTCCATAGCGCTTTACGGCGGTCTCCTGCTGTTCTCCGGATTCCTACTTTATGACACGCAAAGGATCATTAAGCATGCGGAAACATATCCCATGTACAACGCTCAAGGCAGACCGTATGATCCGATTAATAAGTAAGTAATTGAAGAGTATGATTCTTAATATCCAAGATTGCTGAAAAGAAAATTGAGTCCTTCTATAAAAATATTTATATTAATAGAAAAAAGTGTCTTACAAGAAAATGATTAATTTATGATTTTAAATATTTTTGTTCTTGAAGTGTGGGGAGATATTGGATTTGTTTTCTTTATACAATATTTTCTGTGTAAAACATGATCTATGAAATATGAATGTCTTTATCGATACAAATAATTTGCGCTGTTATATTTAAGAATCATTTTATTATATAGAATTAATAATATATTTTTATTCTTTGCAGTGCAATCTCGATTTATTTGGACACTATTAACATCTTTGTACGAATTCTATCCATATTGGCCGGCGGTGGTGGTAATAGACGCAAATAAAGGATTAAAATGCAATGATGTGTGATATTATAATTATAAAAATAACCCAGAACTTTTAATATAGAATAATTCAATTTAGTCATAATATTCGCTGTAATAAATTGTAATAATAATAATGATAAATTTTTCGATTATAAATTGTACAGTTTTAAAGTAAGATAAATAAATTTAAATATTTAAATATTATATATGGTATAAGAGTTTTGTTTTAGGGGAGAGAAGAAAAATTATTACACAATAATATACTGCAATGACATCAATTCTTGCAATCATATGACTTGCCAAAACGTGCATTATTTATAAGATACGCGTCATATAATAGAACTATATATATCTTAATGATGAAAATATATTAATGTTCCTAATCAGTTCTCTCTGCTGCAAATCACGTTTCCGAATATTTTCGTCTGCGTCATATTTATTATAAGGATATAAATTATTTTAAACGACAGAATTTTCGTTATATATATATATAAATGTGAATCGATTTTCCTAGTACTTTATTATTAATTCATACAAAGCCCTGAGGGAGGGAGACGAGATTACATATGATATGCGCGATATTATGTCAATCATCTTTCGGTTCCCCCGTCATCTCAAATCAAAATCGACCATCGAGCCGATAATTGACAAGTGTCTCTCTCTCCCACAAGTGAAATCACGTCACGAAACGGGGAAGAGGACAAATCGAGTCAGCAACCCCTACGGCAACGAGAGGTTTTGCGCCTGCGTTCGTCTCTTCGTCGCCAAGGGTGAAAGGGCGAGGAGCGGAAAACGAAGAGACTAGGGCGTTCGTCGGTACGAGAGAGCGATATCCGTGAAATAGAGAGAGAAAGAGAGAGGGACATTGAACGCCGACACACCGCGGCCTCTCGCAGTCTCCTCTGGTTCGCGCCGCGCGTGAAAACGCATCACCGCGCTTCCTTTTGCATTTCTACTAGTGAGTCACAGCGTAGCGTCCGGTGCTCCCGCGCGTCGTTTCCAAGCGCTGCACACTTGGTGCGCCCTTCAGGGCGGATGCGAGATCCCTGAAGCAGCGCGTGACGAACGTCGAGGGACAGCGAAGACGCTCTCTTCCTTCCTGCCGATTCGAAAGCGTAAGTTATATATAGTATGTGAATTTAAATGCACGTATTAATGCAGGTGCACGATTGCGTGGGAGTGCATTTTTTTTTTTTTTTTTTTTTTTTTTTTAAACGTAGGATGAAATGTTCCTTACGTCAGTCTTATTCTTACGTAGACAAATTTAGATCTTATATTGTTAGATTATCTGCTTCATTGATCAGGGAATATTAATTAGTATCGTCACGGTTGAAATATCTTATCTGAAAGGTGGAAAATTGATTTTTTCAAATACAACTTTTGAAGTACAATCTCTTCTCTTATTTGCGTCATCGTGTCTAATTAATTATTGAGAGATGATTGTAGAAAAATCTTAATATATATAATTATATATGGGTCAAGAATAATTAATAAAACATATTTTGCAGTATTATTCTATATAATTGCATACAATAATAATAATTTAATAACAGTAATCATCATTAGATCATATATAGAGTCTAGTTTTTTAAATATAAATTAATGAATTATTTAAGAATAAAACTTTAATTTTTTTATAGAATATTTTTGAAATTGCAAATCTGTACATGCTGTTATTAGAATTCAATATACTTTTTAATCCAGTAAATATTCAAAGTTCATCAAAAGCTATCTTTAAAGAATGATATATATATATATATATATATCGATTATTATATCGATAAAAATAAGATTATTACATAGATTCACTTTTTTATTCAAGTTGCAGACTTATAATAAAATATATCAATACAATTTTATTTTTATAGCTTTTATTAAAAAGTATAATGAGAATGATCGTTTACTATACAAGATTAAATGATGAATAAAATTAATAAAAATTATGCAAATTCCAGTGAACTAATTTTCAGACTATTGAATCTTCGGAACAACAAAATGTATTGATTTTTTAATACTATTCTAAAAATAATTAAATGACATTTTCATGATATCTAATGATATTATACTCATCTAATGAATTTTTATGAAATATATATACAATTAATATACCCATTAAGTTTCTAATTAAAATTAATATATATTAAGTGCGGATTTCAGCTGTATAGCAAATTATTCCATTTGACTCTATATTTGATTTATAAATAATGTTCTCATTTTTTATCGTTCTCTATGATCTCTGTGATTCAGAAATGCAATTCTCGGCATATATATATATATATATATATATATAATAACGGTTGACCGACAAATAACTGTACATTTCTTCGCTCGCGTGCGCGCATTCCTCGTGCAAGCATGATAGAACGCAGTGAAGTAAGCTGCAAGATGAACTCATCGCAACACGCGTCGGCGACGCTCTTCCGAGTCCGAGTATCAAGACGAGAAGAACGGCGCCGCGCGACGCGACGAGAGACGGCGAGTCGATCGATCGATGCGTGTGACTCTGCGTATACGCCAGTAAAGCATTCGCGACGCCATATCATTGTCAGACCGAGGAGAGACAGCTTCTAAAGAAAGGTTCGGAATGTCAATCGAAATCTTTATTTTCGGAATCGAGAGGTACTTCTGCAATGCATTGTGGAATCTTCAACATTTTTCCGAGTTCAAATTAACATTGAAAGTTAAGATCGAAAAAAGGATTTTGCAGGAGATAAATTAAAATATGAAAATTATAACAGTTTTTTTTAATATATATACATTTTAGAATAAAACGTGTCATTAGTCGATTCGAGTTGATAGTAAAAATGTGTAGCAAATAGGTGTGTATTAGGAGACCACATTGTGCGAAGAGGTTTTAAAAATCTCCAACATTTACAGACTTCTAGACTGCAGCATTTATCGATTGTAGAGTACGAGATTTTTCATAGGTATATTTTTTTTACCGGCGATCGCGATCGATATATAAAAGAGCATTATATTTTCTATATGGTATAATAAAATGATCAATAATCGATTATTGGCGGCGATTATATATGTGTCTTTAGTTGGTAATGTAGTTTCCAAGCAGTAAATGTACTTTTCAGTAAAAGCTCTAAAATCGTCTGACTTGTTACCTCTTTGCATAATATGTTCTCCTAATGCATATACATCTTTGCAACACGTGTTTTGCTATTAACTCAAGTCGACCTACACGGAAGACATATTTTGTGAAGAAATATGTATTAGAAGTTATTAAGGTATATTTAAGAATTAAGGTATATTTATGCATTGGAAGAATATTATATATATATATATATATATATATATGGCAAAGAAGTTTAAACTTTTTATAAGACATATTTACAAGTGTATTTAGAGAGAGCTTTTCGATGATCTAAAATCTAAATATAATTCAGATTGAAGATCATGGACATCCGCAGAATTGTTTTCAGAAGGGAGCATAATTAATTTTTATTTGTCTTTTAATTTTTATTCTTTCTTAATTTTTAAAATTTATTTTATTGTTTTTTGTTTTGCAAATAAATTTTAGTGTTTCTTCAAAAGGAGAGCAAATGCTTAATTTTTTACTGATTCCAAGGGGGGCAAATGCTCCCTCTTGCCCCTATATAATATCTTTGATGATAGATCTCTTTATTACTATGCATTTTTCGCGGAATATATTAAATCGAGTAAGAATCGAAATTATATGTGATTCTAAATTATACATAATAATACAATGTAATCTATAATAATATATTCTAATTATATTTTATAGCGATCTTTACGGAATAATAATTTTTCTTATTGATTGTTAAAGTCAGAAATATAATATTTCGTTCGATTTTTTCGATGATCTAAATAAATATATATAATTTGGATTTGAATGCGTATAGTAAAATATCATGAAATTCTAAGACCGATTAATAAAAAATCGCTGTGTTGTTCTAATTATCTATTTTCCGTACATGCGAAAAATCTGAGAAAATTGCGAAAATTCTGGGGCAAGTCGATGAAATATATTCCTCAATAATTTCGCGTTTTACATTTGGAAGGACACGCGGAAGAATAGTGCATATATATCGTGAAAGAAGGCTCGAGGGGTTGAAAAACAAGATGAGGGTGGGCTAAGAGGTTGCCTCGAAGCTACTTGAGAGTTGACGCGCACGTGCGAGACGGAGATGACACTACGTGTAGACGACAGTGACGTTTCCAGGGGGTAGCAAAAAACCAATTATAGTACAAATCCTGTTTTCCCAATTTATATGTATATACATACACTTCATGTGTGTGTAATTTATATGAGAAGATATCTCTTGTTCTTTAAAATATATTTACACATACATCAAATGTCAGGGAGTATTAATTCTAATTTTCATTTTAATGAAACACTAATTTAAGTTCTTCCAATTTTATTTATAAAAACCTTCTAAACATTCTTCAAGAATGACATCAATTGAAGCTATTTCATCCCTAACCAGCACACATATCCCGAAGACGTTCAGAGGACATCCTGAGGATGTTCAAAAGTCCTCTGGATATCATCTTTCGGATATGTTAGGCATGCAAATATCTTTCAATTTAATTTTTCATACTCACATTTGCCGTTCTGTATATTTTAACAAATAATACGAAAATTACGTACTGTGAAATAAGAGGCAGATGAAAAAATGGAAGAACATTTGATTAAAATCAACGATAGGGTGTTCGGGAACGCAAAACCATCCCTGGCGGGTTGCAAGAGCGGGGGTGTACGAACGCAGAGGGATATATGTATAGAAAGAGAGAGAGGGAGAGGATGAAACGAGGGTGTCGGTCGCGCGAGTCGATAAACCGCGGGGTTGAACGCGAGCACCCTTGCGCACGGCTTCAACATGGCGGACGGTGAGTCCCATTCCCTTTTACCCTCGCTAGTCTCGCGAATGCCGGCCGGAGACGGAGAGAGCGTGTCGTGCGATCGATTCGTTCGACTCCGTCGTCCTCGATTGGCAGCTTTTCCTCTCGGACGTTATATCGTTTCGTCATCGGAGGAAGAGATCTCGTTTCCGCGCGTTCTCTCTCTCTCTCTCTCTTTCCTCGGGAGAGAATAATTAGTGCTGGTGGTGCACGCGAGATTTCTTTCCTCTCGGAAAGCTATAGACGCGGTGAATTTAAGCTGGCCGTTCGTTTATTCTTTTTTTAGACGAGGAATCGATATGCGGCTCAGAGAATCCGTCTCGGTCTCGGTGCCGTTGCATCCCGGAGGACTGAACAACAAGTAAGTATTTGGAGGAGAGATGATATATCCTCGGCGCGAGCTTGCAAAACGGGGTTAATTGACGGCCGGGTGATCACGTGCGGAGATAATATCCCTTAATCGAAATCCTGAAGACGAACGTGCCGGTGCGTTTGCGAAAAGTTGCCTCACCATTCCGTTTTCCATTATTACGTAACGTGTTTTGAGTCCTATTTTTTTTTACATTATATGATTTTTAATCGTTTTCATCCTCCTCGTTTCGATATATTTTATTTTTATGAAATTTGGATTCTTTACAATAATTACTTTGATCAGTATTTTCAAATTCGGTGCACTGAATATTCGATTAATTTTAAAACTTAATTTTTTATTTTCTTACATTACATGATTTTTAATTGTTATTATCCTTCTCATCTCAATAGATTTTATTTTTATGAAATTTGTATTCTTTACAACAATTACTTTGATGAGTATTTCAGATTCACCGAATATTCGATTAATTTTAAATTCTTTTTTTTTTTTTTTTTTTTTTTTTTTTTTTTACATTACATGATTTTTAATCGTCACCCTCCTCATCTCAATATATTATATTTTTATGAAATTTCTGTTCTTTGCAATAATTACATTAATCGGTATTTCAGATTCAGTACACTGAATTTACATATATTTTCTTGCTAAATTCTGAAAAAATTGCAATTTTCTTTGACAATAAAAAATGCATGCATCAAAAGTGCATCATTAGGAAATTATATGCAGCGATTAATGATTTTAATGAGACGAAGCAAAAAATGATCCACTGAAAATTCTGTAAATTTTCTAAATTTGAGCATTATTTATTATCCTCTCATTTACATCGAGTACATATATCTTTTTTTTTTGCCTCTTAAAAAAGAGCAACATATACCTATTTCGATCTCCACATCCCGCAATATATACATATATACGTGCGGTATCGCGTAGAGATTGCATATATATCAATTATACTTGGAAAGCTAAACCGCGACAAAGTTTCCCGATCGGTTCCTAGTTACAAGTCGGCGCTAAATATAAATGCCTGAATGTCCGCGGCGGCCTCGTAGGCGTGCTGCCGCCTATACCTCGGCGAGCCGGAGTGTTATACCTAACACGGCAAGGCAGTAGTATCGATCCACCTGGACTCATTTCTCGGTCTCGCTCCGCAGCCAGCTCCGCAGGCACGAGTCGATCGGCGCCGCCGAGATCGGCGGCGATCGCAACGAGAACGCGACCCGGGGGCCGCACGGCGACGAAGCGGACTTCCGCCTGGCCGAGGACACCACCACGTGGTCCTCCCTGGCAATCGCGCGCGACAACGTCCAGCAGAGCAATTCAACGCAGCCCGCCAACAACGTCAACAACAATCTCACCGAGCCGAAAATACAGAGGAACAGCTCCGTCGAGAGCCTCGACTACGAGGGTGAGTGTTAGAATAAACGTGTTATAATAAACGCTATAATAAATAATATATATATATATCGATCTGCAGTGTTGTGCTTGGATGATTTAGCAATTGTCTATGTTGATAAAGATGAGGTGAAGGTGTGTAAATTCAACTTAAGATGAAGATGGTTTTGTTTTAAATATAATTATATGGCGATTCATCTTATTATTTTTAAAATCGCTTATGTATAAACACAATTATTTAAAAAATTTATATTATAAAAGAGATATAAAAATTATAGCCATACCTTTATTTATAAATTTTTATCGCTTACTATGCTTAAGTATTTTTATATGCCATGACTCTGAAGCAATTTGATAAAGATAACACTTTTTTCATTGAGAATGCAGATATAGATATATATTTTTATCATCTATGTAAAGATAAGATGACGTCAAAATTTCATCCAAATGATCATCTATATAATTTTATTTAGATAACAGCAAACACTGTCGATCTAAAATAATAAACAAGTAAAGAACAAGTTAATTGTCCTCTGGATGATTCGCTTGTGCTTTATAAAAATATTTGAGGAATTATTTTTTCACGAGATAGTAGAATATTGACTTTTTGATGGAGCTATTTTTATCTTACGCTCTCAAGAGATATTATTTTCAATTACATTTTGTGTTGAATATTTATACCTTTCATATTTTTCTTCAATTTATCGAATGATTTAAGCATGAAGCAATTTTGATAATGGATACGCATATTGTTGACTCTTATTAATATTTTAACATGCAATTTGATGATATATTAGAAAGATGTAAAAATCTTCTGAAATAAATTCAAAGAAAGAGAATCGATAAAGAGGATCCGGAAAAACGAAAAAAAATGAAATAAACAATATATAAGTAAGAGATCTGTATTGTTAGGCACGATCGAAGAGCAATCCGCCAATGTAAACAACAATCTGACCGAGTCGAGGAGCAGCTCCATCGAGAGCCTCGCCGATTACGAAGGTGAGCTCCCTCGTTCTCAATTATTCCCCTATGATTTAATCATCTTGGAAAGATACATATCAGCTCTTACAATACCATTCAATCACATACAGGGTGTTCCATAGGAAATTGCTCAAACTAATCCAAGCAGTCATTTTTTAATGCATGCATTTATTGAAGAAAAATTATGTTGGAAAGTCTGCGGCTTTTAGTGGATATCAATAAAATGTTTGTATACGAGTTTATTTGATTGAAAAAAGTAGTGAAAAAGTGCTAATAATCACACATGTAAAACTAATGATAAATATTTTCAAAGTGCACTCCAATTAAATTTATACAAAATTCTGTTCTTTTACGAAAACTCGTAAAAATTTTGTTTAACATGTCATTTTTAATGTTATTGACGATCTTTTTAATAGCTGCTATTAAATCTGACACTGTTGAAAATATTTATCATTAGTTTATGTGATTTTAAGATTATCAGCATTTTTTTAATTACTTTTTATCAATAAAATAAACTGGTATACAAACATTTTATTTATATCCATTAAAAACTGCAGAGTTTCCTCTTTCCAACATAATTTTGATTTTCTCAATAACTGCATGCATTAAAAAATGACAGCTGATTATAGTTTTAGCATTTTCCTATGGGACACCCTGTATAATCCGAAAAACTGTGTATAACGAGAAAAGAGATTGATAAAGTGCATTCGAGATTTCAGAAAGACGAAATGATGAAATATTTAAACGTATTTTTAAATACATTTATTAAAGTGATTGGAGAAATATCGGAATAATAAATGGGACGTACTGAATCGTTATAGGTCCATTAATATAGATCTTCGCGTCCGTTGAACAATGGATTGGCCTACTTTTCAATCATGCTCGTTTTAAGTACCATAGTGTTATACTGATGTCCGAGATTTTATTGAAAAGCAATGGCGTTTGAAGGTTCCGTTGCAAGAGCGCATGTAGCGAACTTCGATATTTTCCACTGAATGCCATTAATAACGCGCGCGTGCATCCTTGACATTAACCATCATCCGTAAAGAACAGGGATTTTTAGTTCTTTAGTTTTAACCAAAGTTCTTCGCAATTAGCTTGATAATTAAATTTGGACACATATATATAATGACTATTACACTTGTCGAAAACTTCGAGTCAATAATTAATTTTAAATCCAAAAATTATCCAAGAAAGCATAATACGAAATCAATCACGAAATCAGGTCAATAAAAATTGTGTCTATAAAATTTGTATAATTAATGTGACGTAATTCTACAATGTCAAGGATGCATAGATAAACATTTAATTTAAAAGAGCTTGAATTTAGAATATAAAATATATGTCGAAAAAATCTATAGAATTTATTATTTATCTACCTGCACAGAAGAATTTATAAAATGAAAAAAGCGCCGCAGCTTTGGGTAATAAAACCAAAGATCATGTATAAAATCAAACATCTTCTAGATCTCATAAAATGCGCGATCTAATGATTTTCTATAGGGCACCGCAAGAACTTTTCCAAGATCAAGAACTGGCAAAAACACTTCCATGTCAGAAGACACTTTCCACTAATCAGTCAATTAATCTGTAACGAATTACTCATACTATACAAATCTAATGAGTTGTAATAGCACCGTGAACGCTTTTTACGAGCGCGCGAGTCAGTCGGTGATGATAATGATGAGTCACGGCGTCCAATTATCCGGCCAATATTGAGACAAGCGCGGCTGCGAAATGTTCCAGGACGTAACTCTTCGCACGAGAATTCGTCGCGCGAACTGACACCGTCCGAGTGGTCCGACTGGTCGGACGAAGGGAATCTACCCGCCGGCTGTCGCGGCATCGTCAACCCCAACTACCCCGGTTTCCAGCATCTGGCGCCTTCCCTGCTGTCGGACACCGATCTGACCGAGGACGAGCACGACAGCTGCTCCGATTATCCGCCTCTCTACAGTGTCCATCGTCGCGACGCGGCACCGGAGAACGGCAACGAGTACAACAACAACGTCGACGACAGCATCAATCATCTCTGCGGACAGCACAACGACCGCAAGATCTTTTACGAGAAACCCAAGTTCAATATACAGGTAATTTTTTTTAACTCATTGTATAATATTATACCTGTAACTTGGAATTCAGTTCACGTCCTAGAGAATCTGTAGATGAAATTTAATTTTGTACAGGGTGTTTCATGAAATTGCTGAAACTAATCAGCTGTCATTTTTTAATGCAGTTTTTCAAGGATATAAGGAACATATTTGTATAGCAGTTTATTTGATTGATCAAAAGTAATGAAAAAGTGCTAATAATCACATATGTAAATCCTGGAGACACCCTGAAAAAAAAATTGTATAAGTTTTTTAATATGTCTAATAGTATTCTTTCGTCTTCAAGTACTTTAACATTAAATATTTTAAAACTTTGAAAAAAATATGTACGTATATAGCGAAAGAAAAAATGTTGCACGATGAATGCTCGACTTATCTCTACTCATGAAGTCAAGGATGATTGATCCCGTTGGGTCGGCATTAACCGTCAGCAAAGGGGATTCAATCATTTCGGTTCGCGCAATTCTTGTCGCGATGACATTCCCGCGAACTCGTATGAGTAAGCAAATGAAACTTGTCACTGACGAGAAAACCGGACGAGAGCAGCCGGCGCGAGTTATCAACGCGTAAAAATAATCGGGTGTATACTCCTACGAGCGAGTTCTCGCGTGACATCATCATCATCATCATCGCCACTCTTCTCTCTCTCGCGTTCTAGACTGTGACCTCTTTGTACGAGGCGGTGGTGCCGCCTTCGGAAAAGTGCATCAACTACGTGAAGAGCGTGGAGGTGTCCAGGTCCGAGGAGAAGGCACTGTCCCCGGAACCGGAGGAAGTCGTCGTGAACGGCGTCGTCGAGGCGGAGACCCATCTCACGCTCCTGGACGAGCAGGAGGAAGCTCTGGCTGACCAGGTCAACGAGCTCGCTCCTGAATTGTCGCGACCGATCCTCGAGAACAAGCGCGAGAGAGAGATACCAGTCGAGGTCGAGCTGGTGGAGCTCACCACGAGCGTGAATGAGAGTCTGCAGTTTCCCGAGATCGAGGAAATCCTGGATTCCGGGAAGACCAGCGAGATCAGCGAGGTGAGCGAGAATTAACGATATCCTCTGCGATGCATTATTGGGTTTTCTTCCTTTGCGACTTGTTGCTAATTCAGGTGTCCAGCAGACTCGATGAACAAAATTCCCTGACTTTTTAGTATTATTTTTTCCAAATATATCATTTGCATATATCTATATAATAAACCAATTAAATGTTAAATCATGAAATCCTTGAGATATTTTTGTCAACAATAAAAAGGTTCGGAAGTTGAAACAAAAATTTAAATTAGCTTTGTATCTATCAAACACATTGAAATAAAATAACACGACGATGAAAATATAAATGAACGAATCGATTTTTAACAACACAGGAAATTAGCGTGCTGGGAGTCAAGGAAAAGTTTATATTTATTTAATAAAAAATGTCAAATTATTGAAACAAATGTAGAATAATATGTGAAAAAATTCAGATAAATAGTCAAATTTCCTGACCTTTCCCTGACAATTCTAGATTTATAAATTTCCCTGACAATGCCCGGTTTTCCAGATTTCCCTGACCGCTTCGAATGCGGCAACTTTTATATTGCTGACGACAACTAGCAACTTTTTTAAGAATAACATGTTGCTCCCTCCAATGAAGACGCAGCTTTAGAAACGAGTTTTGTAAGATGGGACTAAAAAATTGGCAACAAAAGCAAAATCCCCGAAGAGAGATGACAATTATCTCGATTCCTATTGATGTCTAAATTGATGCTAATTATATTGTTCAGCTAGACAATTAATACTTAATTATCATAAAATATTCATAGACGATATGCAAGATTCCTGTGCAATGAATTTGCATGACAATCCCGCTTAATCCTACTTCCTGTCGCCGGGTGTTTCGCGCCCGTCTATGACTCCCATGCACGCTCGATTAAATACGAAAACGATCTCGGGCACGCAGACGGAGGACGTCGCGGTGGAGCACATCGACCTGATACGCGAGGCAAAGGAGTTGCCTCACTTAGACCGATCCAAAATAGGCAACCGCCAGCCGGGGACGACGACGTCGGCGGGCGGCTCAGCCGACGACGACGAGTCGGGAAGCAACAGCGATTACTCCGAGGGCTTCGCCGAGGAGCGGCCGACCTATACGAAGCTGGAGGAGATCGATCTGCTGTCGAGCATCGGCCGTGACATCGGCGTCGACTTCGAGAAGTACGCCCAGCCGGTGCCAGACGTGGTCGCGATGGAGTCCATCGAGAGCATACGTGGCAATCGCGAGCAATCGCGAGCCACCTCGGCCATCAAGGATCGTATGGAGGACACCAACAAACTGATGGACCGCGAACTCCCGGAGGCCTCCAGCGCGGACGCCCGGAAGAAGGAGAAGATGGCCAAGAATCAGGCCAAGCGCCGCCAGCAGCAGCAGCAGCAACAATCCCAGAGACGTTCCGATAAACGCCGGCCCGACATCGATAATGGATCGGGTAAATACTTTTTTTCCATTATTTCAGCTATTTTTATATTGTTATTGGCTCTTTTTATTAATATTGATTTTTCACGAACTAATGTTCTCTCTGTTATAATTGCTGATTTTAAATATTAAGGGTTGCCATTTCTTTCCCCAAAATATATTCACTTTTCTGAATCAAAAACGTAATATATATATATTTAAAAAATAAAAAAATAAATATTAAAAACTTGAATATATTTTTTTAGAATATTCTGTATAATGTATATTTTCCTAACGAATGCGCGCAATGTACTTTGCGGCATGTTTTACGGTAATTAACTACAATGTTGTTCACTTAATTGGAAAAATAATTACTATTACATTATCAGCGTATCTGATGAATTCTACATAATTGTTGCATACAGTTATGCAAGTGCCTTGAAAAGGCTATTTTCTTAATAAAGTATTTTGTTTTCGATGCCACAAGTTTATGATTTTCAATATTAAATATCTCGACGGTGTTTAATCTTAAAATAAGAACTCATACTAAAATTAAATTATCTTAAATTTAGCATGATGAAATTTTCTTATCAATTCACATTTTAGATTTTTCTAAATTAAGAAGTACTGTCAACTTAATATCAAATTAAAACATTTCTTAATAAGTATTTTTTTTTTGTTGATGCCATTATGATTTTCAATATTAAACACCTCGACGGTGTTTAATTTTAAAATAAGATCTTATACTAAAATAAAATTATCCTAAATTTAGCGTGATAAAATTTTCTTATCACAATTCACATTTTAGATTTTTCTAAATTAACAAGTACTGTCAACTTAATATCAAATTGAAACATTTCTTAATAAGTATTTTTTTTTGTTGATGCCATTATGATTTTCAATATTAAACACCTCGACGGTGTTTAATTTTAAAATAAGATCTTATACTAAAATAAAATTATCTTAAATTTAGCGTGATAAAATTTTCTTATCAATTCACATTTTAGATTTTTCTAAATTAAGAAGTTCCGTGAATGAATATTAAATCGGGAAGAAATTAACGATGAAAATGATGGCGAGACAGATTTGAGGCGTCCTATGATTTCTATATATATAGATATATACTTTGAAAAAATGGTATTGGTCGAACGAGATAAACCGTAAATTTAAAACCGACCACTCGAGATTACGCGTGCACACGATGCTCCGACACTCCTTGATTTCCGCTCGGTTGTTTCAGTCTGTCATGTGCCTTCCTCTCGCCGCAAAAGGTGCTCACGTTTAGCATTCGCGCACTGTTACAGGCGGCTTTGATGTTTACAACATCGAGACGGCGATGCCGAAGATCGATCTGGACGCGATCGAGTCACATCTCAGAGCTGCTCGCGAGGAGGAACGTCGGGTGAGTAATTAGCGATGTTTTCCTTATGCAAATATAATAAATGTCATTCATAAAGAATGGCTTAGGAATGAAATCCTTAATCTGGAACTCCATGTGTATATTTGTCTACTAATTCACCGTTTTACATATGTCATTCCAAACGCGATTCTATCGATTTCCAATATCTCCCCTGCCTCTCTTTTTTCCTACAGAAATCTAAATTTTCTCGGGTCAATGAAAGGCTTCGGTTCATTCACACATATGCTACTTAACGTACTCGAACATTCTATCTTATACCTATACGGTTACTGCTGGTTCTTCAATGTTTGGCAGAATAAAGCACCAATTCTACGTGTCTTCTAAAGTTTCGCGTCTGCGAAATTGAATGCATTTTTGCGGAGACATCTGTAGTGGGCGGATGATATGTAGGTCGTTGATACGAGAGCAGACGTGTAACGAGATATACAAAGAACCATCTCCATGCAGCTTTCAATATTTTACAGATTTTTATTTTAACAATATTGCCCTCCCCTAACTCAATCTAGGAAAATTTTTTTAATTTATCGAAATAATATGTATTTTTCTAATTTATCGAAATAATATATGAAAAAGAACTTATTAAATATATATGATAAGTTTTTTTTATATTTATATATATATATATATATATATATTTAATATATTATTTTTAAATATATATATTAAAAATAAAAGAGATCCCCTGATTATTTATTAATTTCGACAAGCATATGACGTTTATATCACGCGTGATTGATAAACTCTGACACGCTCGATGATCTCAAGTGACGAAGTGCATGAAAGCACACGATGAAATATAAATAACCAAGCTCTGTCTGCATTCGGCTATATTATATTTTCGATACCTAATGCGAAGGAAAATATGTGCTTTCTCCACGCGTTTTTTTTTTTTTTATTTAATTTTATTATGTTACTATTTTTCTGACAACAAAATTTCGATCTCTGCTCGCTTAAAAATCGAGAGGCTCGTGCACCGAATGCTGAATCGCGCGTAGGTCAGAAGTAACGCATGATCGGTCAACCGAAACGTTTTACGCACGACCCCGAAGATGATTTAACGATCTTTTGTTGCAACGACGCGACGCGATGCAGCTGCAACTTGCATAGCGCATAAAAAGACCATATAGCCGGATAAGATGGTAAAGTGTTCCTGCGCGAAATGAAAAGTGTTTACGCAATAAACCAATAAAGGGTTTTTCAGTGCGGTTTACAACCCTCGACCCTCTCCTTCTCTTACATAGAAAAAAAACATATTTTTTTAATTTAATTTTTTTTGACGTATTATGCTTATAAATTCTTGATGGAAAAAATATTAATAAAAAAGAATGTTTTTTCTTGACAAGAAATTTTTGAAATTGTTTTACTGCCACACTTGATAGGTGTTACTTTAAATGTGATAGTAAAACAATTTTAAACAATTTTTGTAAAGAAGAAACATTGTTTCTTATTAGCAATTTTTTATATCAAGAATTCATAAGTACGTCAAAAAACCTAAAAAATTATTGCTATGTAAGAGAGAAAGGGGATGGAGGATTCTGAACTGCGCTAAAAAACTTTTTTTGGTTGAAAAGTATTGTTTAAGCATTTTTTCTAATATTATCCGGCTATAGCCTTTGAAGCGTTTCTGCGTGTGACAGATCACTCTCTAGACTTTCCAGCATACAATAAGACATATAATACAATTGTGCAAATTGAATGTATAACTTTCTATTTTGTATGTCTCTAATTACCCAGCGAAATGCAACAGTTGCACAATTATTTACGCTGTTTCTGTGAGAAGGAGAATATATATGAGAATACACAGCAGATTGGAACGAGATAAAAATGCCTTCATCAAATATTTAGAAACTAATTTACACACGTTACTTTCTCACGAATCAATATTTAAATAAGATCCCTATTTGTGAACAATGTCTTTTTAATTATATCTTTCAATCCTCGATATTTTTTTGTACGTTTCGCATATTTCTGCTGCAAAATATAGCCTCGCTCTTCTACATAATGTAACTTTTCAACAAAAATGCACTCTTAGTTTCGTATCGTAGCGTCAGTCCGTAGTTTGTCAAGTTATCAGATTACAAAGTTATCGAGTTACCGAGCGCACTATATAACTTTAACGCTACGAATGACAATGGCATACAATGCATAATACAACGTTACACAAATATCGAAATACGATGTAAAATCTAGACAACGATGGACATGTATATCGCGTATCAACTTCCTCGCATCTGGGAATTTTCCTTCCGAGTGAGATCTCCATATCGAAAACACGAGACTATACACCAAGAATCTGCGCATATCTCGCTATCAGATCGTTCATTCAGTCGTTCGTTCCTGGCCGAGCTATTGTGAACAACTATCCATCGGAAGCGATTCTCTCCGCCCGTTTTCCACAAAGAGATGAAGCGAATTGCATACGAACTCGGAAACGCGGCCGATGCAACATAATGTATGCACCAACACACTCTTACCCAGCACTTTCTCTCTGCGAGAGGCCTTTTCCTAGATGCTAGGCCTCGGCGGACACAGGGCCACCTCCACGACCGCAACCACCACCACCACCATTCAGCATCGAGCACCTCCTTTGCGATCAGCAACCTTAACGAAGGATTTCGCTCGACTCGCTTTGCAGTCCCGTGCGCGCGAGCCAGGAATAAGTCTGGTCCCGTGACTCGTCTTCGGGGTCAGCCGCGACAACCTTGGCTGTCGACACCGATAAGTCCGACTTCTAGATCATCGCGGATCTGGGAGATAGAAAGAAGGTTTCATGAAGGAAAGGACGAAGTAGCACGGGACGTTTGAAGGAAGAGATCTGGAAGAGCGCGATCATGGGCAGCAGCAATAAATCGCGCAAGCATTACAAGAAGGACTCGAGATTCGTCGCCGATCTTTACACGTTCACTTACGACAACGATCTCGATTTTGTAAGGGAAGCGCGAAGGGCGACAGTGCATCTCCGATGTAACTTAGACACAAAGGATTACAAGTGCACCAAGTCTATGAATTCACTCTGTATTTTGCCTGGTTTTTTCGAAGCCTGTTTGCGATAATATTCCTCAAGCGGAAGGAAAACATCTAAGTTACATCGTCATTTCGTCTCGATTCATAGAATTTTTGTGCTTTAGTTTTTATTGAATTTATTTTTTATATTTATATATAAATGCAATTTATCTTTTATATAAATATAAAAATAAGAAAATTGTATTTTATTAAATGAAGCAGTAATATTGATTCAAAACGAAAGGAAATGATTCCGCTCATAATGCTTCAAAAAATGTTATGATAGTCGAGGAGACACACTAAAACTTACTCAAATAATTTACGGATTTAAATACCTCAAAATTAAAAATGATCCAGAGCAATAAGACTTTGCTATGGAAATATTATTTCATCGATATTCTGAGTCATTCAACCATTTTATATTTCACTGGCAACATTACTAGTTTTCACTTGTCATTAGCGGCGAATGATTATTACAACTTGTTTAATTTCGATATTCTAAGAACCGGAAATGTCGTCACATAGATTCTAACGCAAGATATTCAAGTTCTATGAGTCAGAATAAGCGTGGAAACGATTAAAAAAAATTATAATTAACGTTTAAAAAAAAATTGAAACGGATGCGATAGAAATCAAACGGATACGATGGGAAATATCAAAATTGCAGATGCATAAGGAAACGTCATATTGGCCATCGATCTCGCGCGTTTCGTTTGCACGTGACCGATGCACGTGCGGAGGACGAAACAACGGTTACATTATTATTACGTCTGGCTTGGATGCGCTAGATTTAATGATTCGCCCGAGTCAGATCGTATTGTCGTTCCGACAGGAAGGTCGACGAACCACACGATTCGGTACGGTTCCGGACCGACGCAGGCGTGAAAGTGGGTCACAGAACTCGCGGTGTTAATGAACAAACATAGATTTTTAGCGCGGAAGCAAGTTCGATTCCCTGTCGCAATCGCAATTGCCTTGCTCTATTTGTTCAACAAACTGCAATTAAACTCGAGCAGGATGCTGAGTCTTTAGTCACACTTTGCGCGGTAGAAATACCTATAATCGAAATTGCATCCTTACCCATACAGCACAAGATTGCAGCAGTATTGTGGCAACATTTTATTGCAATATTACAACATTGCATAAACATTGTGAAATGTTGCAGCAATCTTGGTAAAATGTCCGCTTTCAGAAATATTGTTCTATAACATTGCAGCAATAATGCAATAAAATATATATGTAATATTACTATTGGATTATTGGAAATGTGCCAAATACATGATCGAACTGAATGTTCTGTACCTAATATTTTTTGCGTGAATTTTATTTTCATAATATTTCTGAAATGTTGCTGCAACGTTGTTTAAAATATATTGCAAATTCATGCCTATATAATATTTCTGCAATATTGCTATGCAATGTACAATATTGCAATGTTGTTGCAATATTGCTGCAAACGTGTGCTGTATGGGTATATGTATACAAAATATAAATATATAATTTAGATTCTTCTTACAAACAATTCTAAATGAATATTATAAACTACTTTTATTTCACATGTTTTTAAAAAGTATTAAGAAATTTAAAAGAAAATACTGTCTTTGACTATCATAACATATGTGTTAGATAATATGCATCTCGAATTTCTGAAAATCTGTCGTCCTTCGCGAGTGGGCAAAATAATGTCGTTATTGTGTCATCGCGTATATTTCGTTATAAAAGTGAAAAGTGTTAATTTGTGTGGCATCAGGATGATGATAAAGAAACTACGGAAACGGATAAACCTTCGGAATCGACTGTAGCAATCGAACAATCGAAAGAAACAAAGGAAAGCGAAAGGGAAGATGTGATTGCACGATTCGACAGGGTTGTACGTGGCGAATTTGATGATAATCTGCAGGTGTGAATTGATTTGTAGAAATTTGCCGAGAACAGGAACGATGTATCGAGAAATATTCAAGTTCATAGTGCTATTATTCATTCATGACAACGTTAATTATAATAATTAGATTTGGTGCCCGTTTTATATTTAAATTATAATATAGATCATCTTTGTATTTGAATTTTATAATTATCTCCTACATTTTTTTCAAGAATATGCTGTATTAGTCTGCGGTATATAATATATATTCATGTGTGTAAATAAGATGTAAAATTTAATTGTGAAAAGCGATTATCACGGTTCATGATTTCATTTCTGTACAAGATGTAAGACTAATTTACTATTTACTCTTCTTTATGTTTACAGCGACGGAACGATCGCGAAGAAATCAGAAGGAGACTGGCTATGGGGCCTGATGCCGAAGATATGCGCGCCGAACGTGGACGAAAGCCAAGTCTTCAGTCGCGTCTTCAAAGTGGTTCGTACAGCTTTTGCGATGCCATTAAATAAACAATTCAACGAATAAATACACAATTATGCAAATACATAAATTAAAGAAAGATAGTCTATCGCACGAATCATTACGTTATTCATACATCTTATTAAAATTAAAAATTCTTATTCAAATACTGATAATCATTTTTTCAATCAAATAATCCAATTAATTCGCACGCACACAATTAAAATACTAAACAATAATAAATCTTAATTTTATTCAATTCGATCAAACTGGCTTATTACACAGTAAACAATATCTCACAACGTTTCGGCCATCAATACTAAACAACATCATTTTTTTGCGCAGGAATGAACCTCCAGATCTGCTTCATGAACGAGACGTCGTCGGACACCGAGTCCCCGGCTTCGGAAAACGACACGTCTCCTGGATCCACACCTACGTCCCTCGGCTCGAAGCAGCTCGGCGGTTCGAAACAGCCGACGAGGCCGCAAGTGTTGAGTCTTCCGTCTCTGAGACTCGACGCGGGCGCGAACTCAACGCCGCCGGTCGACGAGGCGGACTTTTTCGCGCGGCAGGCCAGATTGCAGACCGAGGCCCGAATGGCCCTGGCGCAGGCCAAAGAAATGGCTCACATGCAGATGGAAGTGGAGAGGCAGAGGCTGAAGCAGAGCCCCATCACCGAGATGGTGCGATGCAGTTTGGAAAAAGTTAGTAAAGAGGCTCCAATTACTATCACAGTAGGAATTTTTTTTTTTTTTTTTAAACGGTCTCCGTTAAAATTTGCGTTAAATTTTAACACATTTATATGTTAACATATTGCTGTTGTGTTAATTGAATTTAAATGTCAAATTAGTAAAACTGAAAAAAGATGTAAAAATAATACAATGTGCATCTATTTTCTTTTTAATTTTACATAATAAATATGTTCTGTTTTATTAGTGACGAGATTTATACTTATTAATTAAATTTCTGTGGACCGTTTGAAACATGTGATATCTGTTAAATTTAACACAAATTTGTCAATTGTAATCATTTAAATAACGAATTTCTCATTAATGAAAATAAATATATATTCGAAAGATTTAAGCTCCGGATTCTGCTTATTTTTAAATGACAATTAATTATTGGATTTTGCATTTTTCCCCAGGTCGGTGTTCAGTTGGGAGAAGATAGACGCAGATTGTCCCGAGTTCTTCTCACGGAATTAAACGTCGCGCAATTGCAAGTAGTGGCGAACGATTTACACGCGAGAATTGCCGCCTTGAACGAAGCGCTCGTCGAGGGACTTTTGAGGAGAGACGATTTGCACATGGAGCAAGATTCGATGCTCGTCGACGTGGAGGATCTCACTCGATACTTGTGAGTGTTTGTACAATATTCTAAAACCTATTATATTCAATTACGAAAACGATATGCCGAGTTCACTAATCTATTTAATTTTTCTTCGATTTTTTTTACCGAAATTACATATTTAGTAAAAAGTATCTGCAAATAAATTAGTAAAATTAATTTTGATTAAAAAAAAAATTATTGAGAAATAATATAAGAAATATGACAAAAATATAAAAAAAATATTACAATAATAACTTTATTTGCGCAAAAAAACACAGAGGTGCCAAGCAAGAATCATTGAAGAAGAAACAGCAAAGCATGCAGCAGACGGCAAATCGAAACCAACAGTCCACTCCAACTCCAACAAAATTGTCAATGAAACCAAAGTTAACGCACTTGAATCGCGGTCTAGTTGCTCTTGTAAGAAAATAATCTTTCGCTACGAGACTACGCAGTCTCGTCGGAAATTAAACTCCGAAACATCACGAACAACTCTGGAGACGCGAAGAAACGAAAAAGAGAGAAAGCGAAAGAACCTTTTTCAGAAAATGAAAGAAAGAATTGAAACTTTCTTCGCGGCAGACAAGAAAAAAAAATAGATCTCCGTTGAAAAAAGGAAATAGAAAGCTTCTTCGAAAAAGTAAAAAAAAATCTTTTTTTTTTTTTAAGAAACGTAAAAGAAAAAATTCTCCAAACTTGGAGAATAATTGCGTTAGAGAACTCTGAAAGACGTTGTGACGATCAACCTTGATCAACAGTGAAAATCGTTTTCATGATAAAAGGAAAGCAGCACATATCTCTTTCCTCTGAATTTTCAAGAGTTTTTATAGCTTCGTCATTAACCACGTGGAAGTAGAGATTTACATATGTGCGTGTAAGCGAACGAATCCAACGATCCTTCGTCTCTATCTCCTGCTCGTCTGTATTCGCTCGGCCCCTAAACTCTCACATTATGTCCCGCGACATGCATGTGTCTACATCTAATGTATCAATTATTCGCCTTTATAAAATAGCGTATCATTAGCGAAAGCGGATCCCTTCTCTGTTGTACATATAACGAAGATTTATATCATATAACGAAGATTTATATCATATAACGAAGATTTATTGCAATATCGAGATTCCATATGATGTTTGAAGAGCGCTTCGTTCCATTATAAGTCGTTCGCGCGTGCGTTGATATGATGTTAATATTTTGTAAAATCGTATCGATTTAATATTGCGTATAGAAGAGCAAACTTTTAAGCCATTCCTAGCTTCCGATGATTCCACAATTATTCGGACACGTGTATATCCTCGCTTCGGTAGATCTCTAGATCCGCCAATAGAAGCCGTCGGTTATTGATTTTACAAATTCTTGTACGTATGAATTCGTCGTTCTGCCTGACTCGGAATATACAGGATATATTGGTGAGACGTTAAACCAGTTTTTATCTATCGCGAGCGACGAAGAAAGTTGATGTTGTACTTTCTGAAATAACGCAACGCGTCTGTAAGGGAAAGTGGGAGGTAGATAGATAGGTGGGGACGAAAAGTGCAACGACCGTGGAGAATGAAAGAACGCGTTACATATCCAAATAAATGATCTAGTATGAAAAAAAAGAGATTAGTTCATATCTAGAACAATTAATGAAAAACGTAATCGATTATAGAAATATTTGATCGAATGCGCCGTCGGAGAGTTTACTCGTTTCTACGATATTATACGAAGACAGAGCTTTCTCGAATTTGCTATAAAAAAAAATTATTCATTTTTATATGGATTATTCGATTCGATTATTCTTGCATCATGTGTTATTTTTGCATGTCGATCTCACATGTCGATCTCATTCACACACGCAGGATTTTTCAAATGTAGTCGAAATAAATTTCAACGAATCTAAAAGCTATAGTTAACTTCGTTTCTTATTGTTAGATCCCCGGCTCTTATCCCTCTAGTGTGTTGCGATAGAGATATTATTTATAATATAAAAATATATTTATTTTAATATAGAATAAATACTGTATGTTAAAACGTAAAATTGTATATAGAAATTTGAAAATAATTTCAGTTTTTTAATCACTCTCTCTCTCTCTCTGTGCTTGATTTTTAGATAAATTCGAAAAAAATAAGAACTGCTTCATGCATTTTAATGTGTACCACTTATTATTAAATAAATCTCTGATCCTTGCGTGCGTTACAGGAGAAACAAATTTTTTGGGGCATTTTCGCAAACTGACAATGAGAATTAATATAAATTAGAGCATATTCATTCAATATTTTTTTTAAACTTTTAAATTGTTTAATTAAAATGGGGCAGTTTCATCAAAGGGGAAGACGACATAACGAGTTTATCGTATTTTAATTAACGTATTTAAGGCAATTCAGACCTACTCTCGAATAATGTTGCATTATAAAAATTTATCAATACAGCCATATAAGGGATCTCTGATTAATTTTACGAAACGAGCTCCACTCGCCCACAATTAATCGAGAACGAGGGCAGTTTTAGAGTCATCGATTGTAGCATTATATAAATAAACGAATAAAGAAACGACCGCCATGAAAAAAAAAATCGCCCCAATTAATGCGATTATCGCAAATGCTCGATCGGTGGTCATAAAATGTATCATCAAAGAGAGAGCCGCATATTATCTACAAAATACTTTTAATCGTAATATTAATTAATAATATACAGATTGTAAATAACTAAACAATAATAAAATATGCTGTAACAAGTTCTTCCTCTTCTTCCTCTTTCTTTCTCTCTCTATTTCGCCCTCCGCGTCATTTTCGCACTCTCTCATTCTTATTCATTCATTCACTCATTCTCTCTCGCTCTTTCTCATTGTCAATTTTCTTCAAGCTTCGCTTTCGTGGAGAACCAAATTAATGAAGAAGGCACGGGGCGTAGTATATCGGATGACATTTTCTTTCTATTTGAATTTTATCTCTCTTTTTCTGTCTTTTTCTTCTTCGTACTTTCACAATTTATTACGACGACGAGAAGCATTGACAGTTTCTTGCTCGCTCTCAACGTTTTATCAAACCAAAAGGATGGATAGGACAGGGGAAAAAGTGGGAAGAGCACCATTTGATGGACGTCTCGCTGAGTTCTTACAACCAGTCACACCGACAACTTTAGTTAACTAATTCTGGTTAGAGCAATTCTCCTTCCACCATCTAGAAAGTTCCAGCTATATAATCCAAATAAAGAAAAAGAATTTAATTAACCAGAATTTTGCAGCACGTATAACGAACTAATCTTGCTTCCTGTATTTGCTTGACTTGGCTTTGATTATCGATTTTCTACTCCTTTCTAAATCCATTATAGCTATCATAACTTAATTGACTTTATTAATTTATCTCTTTCATGAGAAAAAAGAATGTAAAAACTTCTCCTAGATCTCCGAGACACATTTTTGTTAGAGTTTATCTCTAGAAAAGAGGCAGGGAATTACAATGAAAAGTTTTGCTCAACTCGCTTAATTGCAACTAATGTATATCTATATAGCTCGCATGGGGAAGAAGAATGTTAACCAGAATTAATTGACCGACATCGATGGAAGCGGTTCTCTTGGTTCCGACGAGTCTCGCCACAACGCAAAGTCTCGCGGAAGTATTTTGGAAAGAACACAGGCGGCGATGATGCATTAATAATATTAATAATATTTAACGCGATTCCTAAGACCTTTTTTTTCGTTTCCTTCGTTTCTTCCTATCGCTTTCTCCGATGCCGGGAATGGCCAAGCCGTATGGCACCATGACGAAGCTTCTGAGCTTCTAAATTATGCATGATATTATCTTTATCTCTTTCTCTGCTTCTGTCGGGATACAGCGGACGTCATGTAGCTCGTGTATTTGTAATAAAAAAGTCTTAAAGTACAATCATTATCTCTACTATACAAGCTGGCACTCGTTATCATGTGTACTCATATAGCCCTTACATTAGACGCCACATTTCTGATCAATTTCGCATAAATTGCTTCTTCCTCGCGATGCCAACTCACCAGGATTTCGATAAAAACGTTGATCTCCGGACGCGTATTCAGTTTATTTACACCTTCTTGAAATTAAAGTTCCGTTCAAAAACACACCTCAACTACCAAACGTTAAATAAATCCTCGTTAATACTCACGTTAAAAGCAAAAAGATTCCCGCGCACATCTACATACCGTTCTCAAAGAACATTCAGTGTATATATAAAATAATTCCAAAATACTATATATAATATATATATATATATATATATATATATATATATATATATATATATATATATATATATAATCCTTTCCAAGCTTCCGAAATTCCGGTTTAAAGCATCGAAAAAACGCCTTAAGCTAAAAAGTCTTCATCACAATTTATCGTTAATCATTATCAAAGGCAGTAAGAAATGTGCGTATACAAAAGTCGAATATAGAGTTTCTCTAATCCAGAAAAATCACCGCAGAAATTCAATCATTCTCTTCTCGAAAGAACGTTTCACAATCTGCCGCGAAATATCACGAACACACCGTACAAAAAGATTATTATTACACGTCGCTCACGATAAAAGATAAGATCCAGCAATTACGAGGAACACACGGCGCGCAATTTCAATTAATTATATTATTGTCCTGGGAGAACACGACAATGGCGCGCAACCCTATGGACATACGGCATCTCCTATCCTCTCTCCATCCTTCTTACATCCGTCGTATTCGTTTATCACCCGGTACACATTGTAGTAACCCTGTTTTCTCCAGCGATATTCGAACTTGAATTTTACTTACCCTAGCTGCAAAAGTCACATTATGATCGCAATCGTTATTTCAAATTATTCTCACATTGATGGATAGGAAATTATTGACAGTCTAACTTCAGTTTCTTGCCAGGTGCGCAGAGAAAATCGCGAGGTTTTCTAGGAGTTCTTTACGATCCTCACTGACATAATCACCGTTAACGCAGAAAATGCGGTAGCAGATCGTGAGCAGAGTCTTTAATGGCCAATACTAGCTTTTTCCAAGATCACTTGCCCATACTAGCGTTTGCTGGCAATGTCGCGGATCGTTGCTGTACCGATAGATATGGCTTCAAAGTCGACCTCGTGGATTCTCTGGAAGAAAAATAGAAACATATGTTATATAAATCTCTTACTTGTATCGTTTGAGCTCAAAACCACAAATAAAAAACATGGCAAAGTCAAAGCTATAAAACGCTTTAAAAGCATGTTAATTCGATAGTATGAAGAGGGTGGCCCATAGAAAATTGTTGAAATTAACCAACTGTCACTTTTTAATATATGAAGTTATTAAGAAAAAAAAAGTTGTGTTGAAAAGAGGAAAGTCTACAGTTTTTAATAGATATAAATAAAATGTTTGTATATCAGTTTATTTTACTGAAAAAGTAATGAAAATAGTGCTAATAATCACATATGTAAGCTAATGATAAGTATCTTCAAAGTGCACACCATTTGAATTTGTAAAAAATTCTGTTCTTTTACAAAAGCTCGTAAAAACTTTTTCTAACATGTCATTTTTGAAGTTATTGACAATCTTTTTAATAACTGCTATTAAATCTGACACTGTTGAGAATATTGATCATGAGTTTATGTGATTTTATGTGGTTATTAGTAGATCACTTTTTCATTACTTTTTATCAATAAAATAAACTGGTATACAAACATTTTATTTACATTCATTAAAAACTGCAGACTTTCTTCTTTCCAACACAATTGTTGTTTTCTCAATAACTGCATGCATTAAAAAAGAACAGCTGATTAGTTTCAGCAATTTTCTATGGGACACCCTGCATATATACATATATATGATAATATGATTGGAGAAAATGACAAGCTCTATATATATATATAAACAGATAAGTCATATAAGTCTGTTATATATATATATATATATATATATATATATATATCGTTCGATTTCAAAAACAAATAAAAACATGGCAAAGTCAAAGCTATAAAACGCTTCAAAAGCATAATCATATACAATCATATCCTAGAATGCTAACCATTCCTCCTGTACGCCCTGTATATTATATGATAATGATTAGAGAAAATGACAAGCTATGTATATATACATATAACTTTTTGTAGGAAGTGCCGAAAGCTAAAATTTCATTGTGCGGTAATAATATCTACATGTGGACATACTACTCCTAATCGATACACACATTATCTTTTAGCACTTTTCTGATTTCGCTTAACTGTCCCATTAGTTTTAATAGTCAACGCCTCGCAACAATCAACGCCATGCATTGTGCCATAGATATATGTACAATTATATACAAAATCGGTAGAGAAATAATGATACAAAAAAAAGAAAAGGAAGAAAAATCAAACAAAGTCTAACCTCTCTACACCCACATCATGCGACGTCACAAAATAAGAGAGCTACTTAGTCCCCGCTCACGTCGAGCAGCAGCATCAGCTACGCTACCTTGGCGAGACGCGCTGTCCCGTGCCGTCCGCGTGCGAGTTCGCTTTGTAGCCGCATTTCTGAACGCGCCTGGACAGCCGCGAGACCCAGTACTTCTGGTCCTCGGGATTCGTCGCGAGCAGCAACAACTCGCGGGCGCTGTTCGGATCGTAGTGCAGTTTGCACGGAGCTATGGCATCCTCCTTCTTATCCAAGTGTTCCTTATGAACTTTAATGCGACACCCTGCATACAATGAAGTTTCGTTTTATATAAAAAGACAACAACGACGTCCTATAGAAGTTATATAAAAATAATTATTATAATTATTATATTAATTAAATTATTATAATTATTATTATATATTAAGTTATTATAATTATTATAATAAGTTAATATATAATAAAAATTATAATAATTTAATTAATATAATAAATTATTATAAACGGATACAATACGTACTTCGGCACTCGAGAGCCGGAGAAGGACGAAACATATGCCAGAGCTGCTTCGAACAGACCTCGCAGGTCGTAGGCATGTGATAAGATATTGACACGAATTCGTGGCCCTTCAGCGACTGAGTACCGGGTTTATCTGTGAGCTGCGGTAAATCCACTCCAGGCAGTGTATTTCCTTCGTCGCCGGGTCGTCTCGCCTCACCTTCACCGGCGTAGAGTAACTGTGAACGAGATTAATTAATGCGGGCGATACTGACACAAGTATAGCAACAACCAAAGAATCGAGATTAATAAAAGTAGTGTTACCTGAAATATTCTGGGTATATCTTTGGCATTGGCTCGGATAACATCACCCTGAGTAACAGATCTAACGTGGAAGACTTTATTCAAGTCTAATATCAGAACCGGATCGGCGTTCATCTTGTCGTTTTCGCTATTATAGAAAATTATCTTCTTGGAGGAAACAACGACGTATTGCTTCTTCCAGCCGTGTCGCTTAATATTCTGCTTGTTTGGCACATTTAACCAACCCTCCAGTCTCATTGTACCGTGCTCGGACAGAACAGAATCCTCAGCGTCGTCGTTCTCGATGGACGAAACACTTGCAGTTTCCGAATTGAGTGACGCGATTTTCATCTGTAGCGTTTCTATTTCTGAGTCCTTCGAATCCAGTTCCATTTGCAGCCTTAGCTTCGCCTGATTCTCTTCTACGAGTTGCGCCTGGAAAAAAATTATATGTATATTTTTTACGCCCTCGAGTAATTTTATATATTTTAAAGTCTCAATAAAGATATATCTCGCTTACTTGCAAATCTTGCAAATCTTTCTGCCATTTAGCTGTCAGTTGTCCGTACTTTTCCCTCTCTTGAGTGAGTTCTTGCTGCAGGCGCCTGCAATCTTTCTCCTTCTTCCTCAAATCTGCGGCAGACGCCTTGTTTTTATTCTTTCCGCTCGACGAAAGATCCTTTCGATTCATGATCTCGGCCAGCTTGTTGACCGCTTGCTGCTTCAACAGTTGCTCAGTTTTCAGCTTGCTGCTCAGCTTTTCGATTTCTTCCGCGTTGAACTGCGCTTTACCGAGTTGCTCTTGCGATTCTTTCAACCGCTTGCTCAGGTCCTCCTTTTCCTTCAGAGTCTGATCGACCGATTTCTTGAATTCGCTTTCGTTCTCTTTCAATCTGTTTATAATTTGTTCCTTTGAGCTTAACTCTTGATGATGCTTGGCTAGTCCGTCTTTGTATTCCAGCTCCTTCATGGTCCTTTCCTTTTCCAAGTCTGCTACGGTCTCCTCGGCTATGGATCTAGCCAGCGCCTCACTGTCACCGCGTGCCAAAGACAATTGCAACTGATGAACCAAAGAGCTACGTTCTTCTTCCAGTTCCTGCTGCAGCCTCACTTTTTCATCTAGCTCTTCACGTAACTCTTGCGTCTGAGTTTTATAAAGAGTCTGAAAAGCAAAACTTATGATTTATTTCTAAAAATCTAAATTTGCGATCATTTTTTGTAATATAACTTTGAATTGTTAAGGGTCGGTTGCTTCTTGATAAAATTCATTTTTTTTAATTTATCTGAAAAGAGACGAAGATGCTATCTATCTAAAATTTATCAAGAAATTTATTATTTAACCGGCCCTAACTTTCACACTTCTTTTTATATATCTAATATTTTTATTTTTATTTTTTTATTATTCGATAATTACATATTCGAGATCATATACAGGGTGTCCCATAGGAAATTGCTAAAACTAATCAGCTGTCATTTTTTTCATGCATGCAGTTATTGAGAAAACAAACATTTTATTTATATCCATTAAAAACTGTAGACTTTCCTCTTTTCAATTTTTGTTTTCTCAATAACTGCATGCATTAAAAAATGACAGCTGATTAATTTCAGCAATTTCCTATAGAATATCCTGTACATAATCAAATTTTTGTTATTACGTACCGAGAAATAAGCTTCGGCTTCCAATTGTTCTTGCAATTCTTTCGTCTGTAACTGATCGACGTTCCTTTGCGTTTTTAAGTGATGTAACTCCTCTTCTATTTGCCGCTTAGCCTCCCTCAACTGAGCAACCTCTCCGACCAATTGTTGCTCACGAGCGCGAAGTCTTCCCGCTTCGGACGTTTGTTGACCTAGGTCGGTCTGAAGAACGTTCCTCTTCTGTTGCTCCTGCTCAACTTGGCCCTGCAGCACTTTGACTTTTTCCACTTCTTGTCTGTGCTCGCCTTCTAATTTTTGCAATCGTTGCTGTATCTGTCTATAATCGACAGAGAGCATCGATGTCTGACGTTCCTTTTCCTGCGCAAGTAATTCTGCACGTTGTCTTCCACTTTTCTCCTCGTTTAATTTTGCTTGTAGAGCTATTTGTAATAAACCAAATATACGTAATGTAAGTAACAGTATGTAATGCATTTTTTAAATTTATAGATGGAGATTAAAATGCGTACGTACACAAATGGATATGCCATGACACAAAAATATGCAGCAATAATGAAAAGACAAATAAAGATTAGCACAAAATGACAAAAATGTAGTTTATGAGTATAAGATTAAATAATTTAGATATTCCAGAATATATTTCAAGATTAAAAAATAGTGTAAATTTGCCGATCATATATATTACCTTCAAAAATTCCATTTTTTTGCCCTGGGTTGCATAGGCAAAATAAAATATGCTTTATCAGAAATATGTTTTTATCTTTATATAAAATTTTAAAACAAATACCTTTAACAACCTCCAAATTGGCCTCTTCTTTGGAAAGAATGCGTGAACGCTCCGTCTCTTGATGGGCTACAACTTCTTGAGTGTACCTGGCTTGTGCAGCTTTTAATTCCAGAGTTAAACTAGCAGCTTCTTTTCCAACGCGGAAATTCTTTCGTTCAGTTGTCTATTATCCAGAGTCGCCTTCTCCTCCTTCTCACGACTACGTTCTAACTCGAGATGTAAAGCAGAAAGACGTGTCTCCAGTTCGGCTGTCAACAATGAAGCTTGCGATCTTGAACTGCGCTCCTTGGAAAGTTGGCCCTGTTAAAAAACGGAAAAAATATTTTAATTAACAATTATAATATTTTAATACATATTATATATTTTAACAAATATAATTATAATATTTTAATAATTATATATTAATAATATTTATATATTTATAATATTTTATAAAATAAAGATATTAAAATATTTTACAAATAAAAATCTATAGATTTCTCGAAGAAATATTTATAAAACATTTTTCGAAAATGTATACGTATTTCACGAAGAATACTTAAAATTGGTCTAATTCGAAAAGAAATGAGATTATACCTGGAGAGTGGCAACCTCTTGTTGCAAGTTATCACGCTGCGCTTGCAGTTGAGCCCTGGCAACTTGGAGTTCGCTCGCCATTTGCTCGGCGGCTTGACGCGCTACGGTGATTTCCGTGGTCTGTTTGCGCAACCTCGTCACCGTTTCCGTTTCTCTCTCGAGTTTGCATTGCATCTCCTTCAGCTGCTTCTCCAACGTCGTTACTCGCTCGGACGTCTGCTGCGAGTTGCTGACGTCTCGAGCCCGCCTAGTTTGTTCCTCGTCAAACTTCTTCTTCACTTCCACTAACAACGATTCCGCCTTCCGACGAATCTCCGTCTCGTGCTCGACTCTACGTTGCGCCTCCTTGTAATTGTGTCTGAGCAGTGTCAGCTCTTTGTCCGCTCTGCCGACTTCCTCACGCAGTTCGGCTTCTCGGCGTGTCATCGCTTCCAACTGCATGTTCAACGCTTTCTGCCGCGATTCCATCGTCTCTACTTGCCGTCTCTCACGGTCCAGCAAGTTTTCCAGCTGCGAGATCTTCACATCGTCAGTGGTACCATTATTAACATGATTCTCCAAACCATCCACGGATTCCTTGCCGTAAGAGAACATTAGCTCGTAATCGCCCGAGTAAGTGAATCCAATGAAAGGCAGATGATTCCCGGAAAAAGCTTTAGGTACCGGAAAGCTCTCTTCTGGTCCGTCCTCTTTGTCGACGTCATCGAAATTGCTGGTGTCGTCGTCTCCGGAAAGTTCAGGCACCACCGGCGGCACGCATTCCCTCAGATTATCAAAAGTCCACTGATCGTTCTTGAAGAATGGATGGTTCTTAATTTCGTCGACACCGTTACGACCCAGACGTTTCGTTCTGTCGGTGAGGAAGCCGCATATCAAGTTCTTCGCCGAGTGAGAAATCTCGACATTTTGAGGAAAGTATAACGAGTTCCTGTGATCCATGATCTTCGAGTACGTGCCGACTAAAGAGTCGGCGAAAAACGGTGTGTCGCCGAACAACATCTCGTAAAGGAAAACACCTACGGACCACCAGTCGCATTCGCGACCGTACACTCCTTCCCCGCCTTGCGATTGCAGAACTTCCGGGGATATGTAATCGGGAGTACCAACCGCGGTGTCGGACCGTACTAAACCGTCCTGCAAAACGTTTGAACAAAATGATTAAAATTAGAGAGAGAAAAGAGTATATTCTCGCAATGTTCTAAGATTACTATTTTTTTCACATTTTGAATTTAAAAAATTTTTTTAAAATAAATCATGGTTTAGAAATTTGTCTTAATAGAATTATCTGTACAAAATATTTTTTATCAAGAGTATTTAAATATAAACTTAATTTAAAAAACTAAAATTATAAACATAAAATTAAATATAAATAAAAAAAATAAAAGAAAATATACAAATATAAAAGAAAATAAATATAAATAATATAACAGAAATAATATAACAGAAATAATATAATAGAATATAAAAGAAAATAAGATTAAACTTACAGCGTCCATCCTCATACATGTGCCAAAGTCTGCAAGTTTTAGATGCCCATGTTTGTCGAGCAACATATTGTCCGGCTTTACGTCTCTGTGGACGAAACCCATATGATGTATCGCATCTAATGCAAGCACCACTTCGGCACAGTAGAATTTGGCCCATTTCTCTGGCACTTCGTAATTAGACATCAGATTCACTAAATCTCCTCCCGGCATATAATCCATAACCATATAGAGATACTTTTGATCTTGGAATGCAAAGTGGAGCTGGACTATCCACGGAGAATTTGCGTGAGCCATTATGTCTCTCTCTTCCCAAAAAAATGCGGAATCCGACCTTTTAATCTAAGGAGATAAAACCGATTAAAAAAACAGAATAGACAAAATTATATTATACAACATGCATAAAACCGAATGAACAAGGAATCTCACCATTTCAAATTTACTAAGTAATTTCATAGCATAAACTTTTTGCGTAGATCTGTGTCTAACCAACTGCACCTCTCCAAATGCACCACGGCCGATTACTTTTATCAAAGTAAAATCATCCGTACGCATTCGCATTTTATGAATCTCTTGTGCTACGGAGTCATCTGCAAAAATACAAATAAATATTTTCAATCTCTTGATGCGTAATACATTCATTTGCTTAAAGTTAAGAAATATTATTTTGTATTGAAAACCAATATTTACATCTATGCATGTAGGCTTCTATATTTTTCATACGTTTCACACTCGCATGATCGCAATCTAACACCAGGGCCTGAACTGTATCCAATAAGCAATCGATATTTGTGACACTTCTTGGATCTTTTATCCTCTCCTCCAAAGCCCTTAGGCGTCTTCGCCTATCCTCATCGCACACTGCATCCATTTCTCCGATAGAAGTTTGGATTACCGTGCCTCTATCTGCCTGTACTGCTTCTATCGCATTAAAAACTGTCCAAACGCAAGGCTAAATGTAGCATTGATTCGAGCAAGGTGTAACCATAATGCTCAATGGGACCCTCCATATCTTCTAAACAAATAAATGTACAAACCAATGTAAATAAATGTATAAGCAAATATATAATAAACAAGTCTTTCTCTAATAAGTTGCGAATCCAAGTATATATATAATTATATCAACAAAGTATAAAACTCTAGACGTCTTACTATACCTTGTATGTGCTAATAGTGTAAAAATATACTACAAATGTTGCAAGAGATATAAAAACAGGTAACGCATGTGTTTATAACTTGGGAGTATTTTTAGTCCTTACATAATGGAGCATATATAAACACAGCAACACATTACAACGATATTCCATTGACAGTACAAACAACTTGGACTTGCGCTCACCAATATTAGAAAATATGACTCGCGTTATATAAAACTATGCACGCAAAAATAATTTCGGAGAATCGCAAGAATTCGCGTTCCTCGTTGAAACCATGGAACATTTTGACGCGAGAAAAATATACGGGCAACATACGTCACACCGTGTGTGTGTTTAACGGGCAATGACTCAGCCGCGTAATTTACAAGGTGACAATGAATTCGTGCGCGTGTAACAAAGAGTCACATCTCCTTATCTCCTCCTCGCATAATAAACACACGGAGGATCCTCCTCCTGGAAACGGAGCAGAGCTTCGACCTGACGAGCTTCGGTTACGTCAGTTTACGGGTGCGAACTCTGGTGTCGCGAATGAGCACAACATATCCGGAAGATATCAAGGATAAGAGGATATCCATTCGAACATCTTCGGGATAGGCGTGCTGTTAGGGAGGGATTATTGCACCGGTGACGAGATGCGATAACGATGACAGACCCAGACGTACCGTATACGTCACCTACGTCGTCGTCGTCCCGTGGCTGGCTGGCGACGATGTCATCCGGACGAGCTGCCCGGGAACAAGAAGACGCATTATTTCGCGAGGTGTCCCACTACCGCGTGCACCAGTTGGGGGCGATTCACAACGGTCGAAGCCACGAAGGACCCCGCGAGAATCCGCCTCTTCTCTCTCTCTCTCTCTCCCTCTTCCTTCTTTGCTTCTTCCTCCCTCTCTTTCTCTCTTCCTCCGTCTTCCCTCTTTCTTCCGCGCTCGGTGTCTCTCCGGTTCAATGTGCGATGGATACAAACTCACGACGACGATGATGATGATGATAATGATGATGATGATGCGCTGCCTCGCGATTAGTTAATTAATCCCGGGCGACGAAGACACATATATATATATATATATATATATATATATGTACACACTTCCACGGCTTCGAGCCTTCCTCTTTATCGATCGTCGTGTTTCGGTGAACTCGGATCCCGAAATCCACCCGGAGAAGAGACTTCCAGCGCGTTGTCGCTAGCGGTATAATAGAAGAAGAAGAAGGAAGGAACGAAGGGGGGAAGGGAGGGGGGAGAGCGACAGGCACGTTGTGTCGTGGAAAATCGTCGCTGATGCGGAGGAGCGAGCGCGTCGACCGACTCCGAAAAGCGTTGAAAGACGGACGGTTAGCTGAGAGGGACGAGGAGGAGGGAGGAAAGGTTGAGCCTTGAAAGAAGAAAGGGGGAGGGGAGCGCGTCAGTGGTCGTCAGTCGGTCTAAGATGGCGTAGCGTTCACTGGCGTTTTCGGACATTTGACACTTGCGCGCGGCGGGGCTGCACGAAGACAGATAACAACAATAACAATAACAACGCGACGAGAGATCCGTTCCCGATTTCGCGCGACGAGCGCGGAAGTGTCGGGAAGTGTAACGGAGGTCTACGTCGAGAGCGGAGGTTCCCCAGGTCATAGACTGCTGATTTGTTTTTCTCTCTGTCTCTCCCTTCTCCTAGATTAACTATTCTTTTTGGCCAGCGTGCGCGTTTTGCCACATAGTATTTATAGCGATAACGTGTGTCGTGTTTAAAATTAGGCGAGTATATATGTATGGCCACGTCCCGTGCGTCATCTCATCAGAGGGTGTAAAGATGTATCTATGCATGCCACACTGTAATGTCATTCTTATGCGAGTCTCAGATAAAGCAATTTGACATGTTACGGAAGTAGATTGCTGGTATTTAAAATCCATTGCAAAATATTTGACGTTGCATTGACGGTAAGATGTATATGGCATACAATTCTTTATACTCCATCGTCCATCTGACAGATAAGATAAGGCAGGGTGATGTGTGTGTCTTGACAGATGACAGATATGTCATTATGACATTTACGAGTCCATTTCACTTGTCACGATATAATAATTTTCTCTTTACATTGCAGCTGAAAGTTGAGTGTACATACACACGAGTGTACATACATACTGGTTCGTAAAGATGAGCTGTGACTGGCAGACCAGCAAGCAGAAAATCTCAGAGCGCGGCCAGTACTTGTTGGAGACAGGACAATGGTCCGATTGCAAATTTATCGTCGGACAGGAACCGCAACAGCAGACTCTCAAGGGCCACAAATTGTTCCTGGCAATGTCTAGTCCAGTCTTTGAAGCTATGTTCTTCGGTGGCATGGCAGAGAAGAATGATCCAATACCGATAAAGGATGTTCAACCTGAAGCATTTAAGGCACTGTTGGAATATATATATACGGATAAAGTAGAGCTGGGCTCTTTCGAATTGGCTTGCGAGTTATGTTATTGTGCCAAGAAGTACATGCTGCCATGCTTAGTAGAGGAATGCACAAAGTATCTGTGGTCAGATCTCTCGCCGAAAAAGGCGTGCAGAGCATACGAGTTTGCTCAGCTGTTTGAAGAACCTGTATTGATGGACAAGTGTTTACAGATCATACGCACAAAGACGGATGAAGTATTAAAGGAATCTAGTTGGGAGGAGGTAGAGCTAGGAACGCTTCTCAAGGTCTTGGAACAAGACAATTTGCAGGTCAATTCGGAGATTGAATTGTTTACTGGAGTGGAACGATGGGCTAAGGCAGAATGTTCTAGAAAATCTCTTGATCCGATCAATGGAAAATGTTTAAAGTCTGTTATTGGAAACGCCCTTTCAAAGATAAGATTCTTGAGTTTGTCTCCGCAAGATTTTGCAGAGGGTCCTGGTATGTCTCCTCTGCTCACAAAAGACGAGGCTTTTGCTATACTAATGAATATATTATGTACTGGCAACAAAACACCTATGCCTGAAGGTTTCTGCACTAATTCATGTACCAGAGTAAGGCTAGTGACGACTCAAACTATAATTTCTCCTGTACGTATATTAAGTTACAGATTTTTTCCATAAAATTTCTATAATTATTAAATAACAATATTTTTTACTGAAACAAAATAAATATATGTTAAAGTGAAACAGTGTGTTTTGAGTACTTTTGTATTTTCTACATCTTTTCTATATATTTCAGATTTTTTCTTCTTTGAAGAAACCATTTTTACCTACATATGGTCCATTAAATATTCCTATGCGCAATGGCTTTATATTAAATGATGGGGAATCTAGCAGTAGTGCAATGCGAGAAACTTCACCAGTTTTGGGAGAGAGGCACGAGCAAGGCATGAATAAGGATTCTGGAAATTTATCAAATTTCACCTCCACGGGGGTGGTCGTACGCGAGGGACCAAAATATTATTGCCTCAGAACAATTGTTCAACAAACAGATTGCTTGAATACAAACGTACTGGATTGTTCCGTCACATTCAGTGTGGATAAAAATATTTGTGTAGTGGGTGTACAGGTGCCTACGCAAATAGCCTCGGTAAGCTAAAAAGAGATTACAAATTGTTATATCCATCTAATTATCCATCGTTTGTCAAGAGTCGCATAGACCTGTAGAGGCCGGAAATAATACTAATAATAATTGTCGTTCGCATATATTACTTAATTCGTTTATTAGGCGAGCAGTTTTACTCACGCTATACATGGTGATACGTCTTACACCGAAATCTTGTACGCTCATCTTCTCGACTGCGATGGCACACGTTTGACGTACACGCATTTCACTACTAAAGCGAATTTTGGTACTCTCGTGGAAATTACTTTTAATCGACCAGTTTATATTCAGAAGCATAAGGTTTGTGCAATAATTGTTTTTCTACTTTGTAATCAATATCTCTCTTACTTTTGGAACAAATTTAAGTGACAAACGTTCTTGATTTTTAAATGTTTGATTATTTGCAGATGTATTATATTATGTGTATTATATTCATTCTCTCATATAATAATGAAAATATTATTCTGTTACAGGTTTACCGAGTTGGAGTGGTATTTAATAAGGCTGGATGGTATCCAGTAGGGGTTTGTGCCCAAAACATGTCCTGTGATTCTGTATTTTTCTCATTTGGAGTGGGAAATAGTGCACATGCAATTCGTGATGGTCTTGTTCGGTCTATAGTTTTCACGTATCATTAGCATCTTCGAGAACATTGGATGACAAGAAATTATGCAATGTACTTTTGGACTTAAAAAAAAGAATCTACTCGTATGTTGTAGAGCAGCAGAAAGCATAATTGTAACATTTTCTTATTTCACAAAAATTGTACAAATATTTAAGTCTAAGCATGGATATATAATTTATTATGTACAAATAACATTTTTTAATTGATATATTGCGACTAATATATCGACTTTTATTGTATAAAAAAAATTTGGATTTTTAAATGCTTTTATTAAATCTTGCACATATGTTTTTTTCGTGTTCGAAATTTTCCTTGTATTCTATTAATTTCTGATTTTATTCTAATATTTAAAAAATAATTTATTTTAATTTTTATTATCTATATGTTTGCACTATTAACTTTTACAATTAATATGTCAGTATATATCTCTGTTTATACGATAATTAACGGCGAACAAACACTACAAAATTAATACTCACACTCGTACTTTCGCGAACTGGCGATTACCGCGCAAAATTGTTCACGAACAATGCGAAAGTGTACAGAGAGCAGCATTCTAGATTGCGTTCGGAAATAAACTCACCTAGGGCGAAGCACTCGACTGATCAATCAGACCCTCGATATCCGATTGGTCGATCAAATTTTGTACTTTTCTGAATACATTTTCGAACGCAATCTAGAATGCTGCCCTCTGGTACATTTTCGCATTATTCATGGTCAAATTCGTGTAATTATTGTCGGAAAGTACAAGTGCGAGTATTAATTAGTGTCCTTACGCTGTTAATTATATATCATATAAATCCGATTGCGAGGTTAAACTCTTCGGCCTCAAATCTCGCCCGATTTTCGTTCTCCCGAAAACATGCGACGTCGAAAGTTTGTGCGCGAGTTTACGAATTGCGAGAATTGCCAGGCACTTTTGGCGCGAAACTTACCGAAGTCGATCGTATTCCAAGTGGACGATTGCGCGTTATCGGTCGCACTTTTGCGGCGCCTCCGAAATACACTCGATAAAAAAATAATCGGCGAAGCTCTCGCGCGATTTCCGCATTTTCTTCGTCGTCGAATATACTATATTTAGTGAAATATAAAATATAGTGAAGTGTGCAGTGGCCAATTCGGGAATAATGCGACTATCCTGAGTGAAAAGCGAAAACGGAGCATCGGTTTTATTCAAGTTCTCGTGATTCTCGCGTTTTACCGAAACGCGTAAAAAATGTAATAATTAAAACGAAATGAAAAAAGTACGCGAGTGCAAGTGTTTCAAAGTGCAAATATATGCTTCTTCTACGAGGAGGAGCAGAGGACCAGGATGGCATATCGGGCAACGGCGGAGCAACTTTATGGTAAATAATTTATTATTTATTTTATTATACTAATATTTATTTTTTATTCTTTATTTAGAAGCTTAATTCAATATTCTCATATTTGCAAGTTATATTTTTTATATATTATTTTTTGTAATAATATGGAGCATTATATATATATATATATATATATATATATATATATATATATATATATATATAGATTTGCTTATTTTATTTTGAAAAATGTTTAAAATTATTTAAGTATAATATTTATATTTATTTAGATTTATAAAATATTTTTACATATTTTTTATAAAAAAATTATTTAGGTTATATATTATTTATAAAAAAAGTTAAATTTTACTTACCAAATTTTATAAAAAAGTTTATATATATCTAAAAAATTTCTTTCATTTAAATAAAATACTTAATGTAATAATTTTATTTTTTTGAAATTCAAATTTTTGGAATCAATTATTTTAAATTTCACTAATTTCCATCTATTTATATTTTACAGAGTTTACAACTCCGCTGCTACGCATCGTGCCGGTGAGTCTCATCAATTTTTACTTAAATTTTGGATAAGTCCTCTCCGATTTTTTTGCCCCTATATAGAAGAATAAAAGGTGGAACTCAGTGTAACTTTTCTCCTGCTTACTGCTTGTGTGACAATTTTAATTTATAAATTTATGTTTTACAAAACACACAATATTGTAGTTTCGGCCAAATCGAACAGAGCTCTCTTTCAATATATTTTACCCTGATTTTTTCCTAGACAATGTTTCAATATCTTTGCGTAATAAAAAAATGTATGCACATTTATATATTATACTTTATTTACTCAAATTTTATATTAGAATTTTATTTTAAGAATGATTACTTGAGCATCATAACATCATTATTTTTTATCAAAAGAAAAATTCATTTTTATAATTAAATTATTTTATAAAAAAATTTTTATATAATTTTAAATTATGATATATAATATATTTAATATATATAATATAATAAAATTTTTATTATACTTTATACAATTATAACTGATGCTTGAGCCACAATTATGCATAATTTATTGCTACTAGATCGATTATGATTAATTTATATTATCATATTTTACACACTAAATCTAGAGTTTATAATTTTTATATTATAATTTTCATTAATCTTATTTCTTTTTTTGGAAAAATCTTTCAACTCTTGAAGCTTTTGCTATTTATATTTAATATGTTATAATTAATTAAAGCTTATAAGCGATGCAACGCGAATGACTGTAAATCGTAAGCGAAAGTGAAAGCCCGAGAAAATACAGCATTAGCAATAGTTAATATTAAAAGCTAATTTAGAATCTTACTTGTCGCACTTCTCTTGCCATATAACATAAATAATAAAATAAATTCATAGTTTTATAAAATGGCAAACTACTGTTTTCAAAATGGCAAAGAAACTCGTTTTATAAAATAAAATTTTATTATCAAAATACAGTTAATTAAACATTTTGAATGTAAAAATTAAAAAATGCGATTTTATGTCGCCTGTATTTTTTTAAATAGTTAATCCACCAGTGTCAAGTTTCGATCTCTTCACTTCTTCTTTGATTTTCTTTACATGTGAATTAGAAATCGGACTAGAAAATTTATCATACTTGGCGTGTCCCCCAAAAGTCATATCATTGTAATTTAAAACAGTAGTCTTTATAAAATTGTGTCTTTAGATTTCTTATAATTTATATCACTTTTACAATTTAGGCACCGTACACTATATCAATAGTAGATCACTGAGTTTCTGATTATTACCAGAGTCAAGTTTCGATCTCTTCACTTCTTCTTTGATTTTCTTTACATGTGAATTAGAAATCGGACTAGGAAATTTATCATACTTGGCGTGTCCCCCAAAACCATCAAAAGTCATACCATTACCATTGATAATCTGAAATTATATGTAAAAATAATTATACACAATACAGAAAAGCAATGCATAAAAATAAACAACTATATTAAAATAATAACTATATTAAATATAAATGTAAAACAATTTACTTGATTTGGTGCATTAAACTTCGATTTTTTTGCGAGTATAGAAGGTACTTTCAAATTGCTATTAGATCTCTCTCTTTTAAAACCATGATCCTTCATTGAGAAAAAACCTTGTGATTTTATGTTTTGTGGAGTAACTTCAGTGCTATTCTGCAACAAGTATTAAATCCAAAAATTACAATAATGTGATCAATGAAATGTTTTAATGTAATTAAATATATATAAGTTACAGTTAACTTACTGACTCTATAACAACACTATCATTCTTTTGAGGTATTGGAGAAACATCAAGTTCCACCACATCTTCGTTTGTTATCCCATTAAATTTTGCTTCAGGATTACAGTCCTTATGTATCTTCAATCTGTCTTGCTTCTCTCCAGATATTTTATTAGAGATTTTTTTATGTGCACTTGCCTGCATATCAAGAAGCTGATTTTGTAAGGTTATTTTTTCACTTTCACAGATAATTAATTGTTTTTCCAATTCTCTAAAAATGATAATAGTACAATAGTGATATAATGATAACAATATAATCTAGAGAAGATGATTCTTTAATTTTAAAAAACGCTATATACTTTCGTTTAGTGTGTTCCTCTGATAAAGATTGGTATTTTGTAGAAACTGTTATTAGTTTCTGTTCTAACACTTTAATTTTATCTCTTAGTACTCTCCTTTTCTGAAAATCAGTTCTTATTTGTCTGAAAAATACATTAAATAATTAAATTATATTACTATATTACTAGCATTTATATCAAATACATATATATGTAAATATAGAATACTTTTTCATTGCTACTATATATGTCTTAAGCTTGTCAATATCATGAGTCATCGCTATTATATTATCCACTTCTTCTACAGCAGGATCTAGCAAAGCCTGCAAACTATAAAATTCACTTTTAATCGCAGGAATAATATAAATTTATAAATATATTAATATATTTCTAAAACTTATAATAAAATTATTTTAAAAAGGTACATACTTTTTAAAATGTTCAATTTTGTTCTTCAGCTGTTCAGCTTCTTTCTTATAAGTATTCGTATCTTGACATTGTAGTTTATAATACTTGATCTGCTCCTTCAGTGCATGAATCGCACTATTTTTACCATTTATTTCCTTCTCAACGTGTCTAACTTCTTGTCTTAAACCAGCTGTTTGCTTCTCCAACTTTTCCTTGACTTCTGTAAGATTGTTAATATTTTGGTCCTTCAATTGCAGCTGAAAAGTTAGATTATCAACTTTGTGCTGTAGAGATGTGGAATCTTCTATGATATTATCACTGTTTGAGAAATTGAAATATAGCCTGTGTATTTTATTCTCTGTTGTTCTTTCCCGGCATTGTGGGCAAGTCCTTGATCTTTAAAAAAACAATTTTTTTATAAGATTCTCTCTATATAAATTCCTTTAAATATATAAAACACACAAATTTTCAAGACTAGAATAAATATTTCATTTAACAAGACAAAAAGGAAGAAAAGGTTCATAGACTACAGCATATAAAATATTTTTGATGACATCAAAACGTTACCTTTCAAGCCATTGTATTAAGCATCCAAAGTGGAAAATATGTCCACATGGTGTATGAAAAACATCATCGGACGGTACCAGTAATTCACTGCAAATCACACACACTATATTCATTTTATCTGGTTTTGACAATCCAAAACTTCTTATTCGGCGAAAAGAAACAATTATTCTAAAATGTCGAAATAAATCGTAAAATGACAAAATTCTTATATTTTTGATGAACGTTATGTCATTGTGAATTTTTGCTTCGCACTAATACAAATTGGAGAAGACATTAAATCATACAATGATAGAAAATTCGAAAATAAGATTGTCACAAGTTTCTTTGGTTCTGTGAAAAACGGGAGACATAAAATAAGTGCGCCAAAAACAGTAAAACTTTCAAAGTGCCATCTGTGTTATATATTATTCATCGTTATGCGTCGACTAAACTTTTCAAAGTATGATAATGTATCGACAAAATACTATTAAAGTTTCAGTCGATAAATCTTGAAAATCTCTGGTGCTTATAACAATTAACAATCCTGCTGACTCCTGATAAAATTTTTTATATATATTTTATAATGCATAAATATATATATGCTACTGTTTGCAAAAATTGCAACACTATGAAATAATAATAATATTAGCTGTGTTGCAATTTTCACAAACAATAGTGTATACACACATATATATATATATATATATATACATATATAATATTATAATTATATATATCGTATATATCTATGTCATATATGCATATATCTTATATTTATTTAATTATACTTTAATATTTTTCTTATTCTTTTTAATGTAAAAATTTTCATATTTTTTTACAAATTAATTATCTCAATAACTTATTTTTTGTTTTTCCATAATGCAATGGATTTTATACATATATTCTATAATATTATATATATATTTACAATATTTATATAGATATATATTGGTAATCATAAATTGCTATGCTTCTGTGGTGGATGTGTACATTCTCTATACATACCTGCTCATAATGATATATTGTATATAATAATTAAACAGTAAAATATAGAATATTTTATATATCACTGGTCATCACAAAGATAAAGAATAATAACATATATTATTATATATATATATATATATATATATATATATTCATCTATTATTATGTCACTTCAAATAATTCTATGAATAAATTAATGTAATGGAAAATATTCAGAATAAACATATAGTTTTCTATAGTTTTTTCACAGCACTATCAATCTTTATAACAAAGATAGTTTTAAGATTGTGTTAAAGTCGTATAAAGAATATCGCAATTAATTTATAAAAGTTCATAATCAGATGTGCAGAGAGAGAGAGAGAGAGAGAGGAGAGAGAGAGAAAGAGATTTCTTAGCGAGAAATAATCCATTAACAAAATTTCTGTCTTCAAGAAATTCACACAAATTTAAAGATAAATTTTGCAGTAATTACATTAAAAAAAACCTAGACATATTACATCATTCACAGTTTGGAATCGTCTTCCTCCTTGCCAGAAGGATCGAGTTTGACATTTCGCGCAGTCTTCTCTAGATTCCTCAGATTCGGCGAGCTCCTGGATTGACTTAGCATTGTGTTTATCGCGGGTATATTGTCGGTGGTTCTTCTGCGAAACGGTCTGCCGGACAATCTCGGCCAATGGACGCTCTTTTTCTTCTTAAAATCGCTAATCGAGCGGTCTTTCTTGATCATCAGGTACTTCGGACTGCTCGCACGATTCGATTCGCCAACGATTACGGACATGTCAATCGCTTCTGGAATCGTTAGATGCTGACAGGGATCTTCATGCTGATGCGGAGGACTGGAGTCCTCGTACTCCTCCTCCTCGTCGTCATAGATGTCCGACACTTGGTGCAACCTCTCCTCGGCGAACGCCGAGTTTACGACGCCTTCCTGGCTTCTGTCGCTCTGCGACGAGACGCTCGGTCGTCGTCCTTCAGAATCTTCCGTGAAGGATTGACGAAGACTCTTGCACGAGTCCTTCCTCGCCGTCTCGAGAACGATCGGCATGGAAATCGGCGTGGAAATCGGCGACTGAATCGACGTCTGTGCGGGACGCGAGATCTCGAGATTCGTCGCGCTTGGCCAAGGTTGCATCACTGGCCTAGGCAATTTTGTTAATACTGGATAGAATGGTCTCCCTGTGCGAGTGGCCGAACCCTTCGCCAAGGCGGAGAATTTTCTCACCGCTTCGGTTATGATGTGTCGATGCTCCATTTCGATCGGTTGCTCTTGCCCATCCAGCTGAACAACCGTTTCGGAACAATTGCCAGCCATCTTCGCAGGTGTTGCAGGGGACCCGCTGATCTGGCTGAAACAAACGAGTCTAACTTAATAGAGTTCGTGTATCGCATCAATGGAAATTTCTTTATATTTGTTTACTCATACTCAGTCTTGTACTTGGATGATTTTTAAATTAGCTATATAGGTAAAGATGAGATAAAAATATGTAAATTCGTCTTAGATAAAATGAAGACGATGTTCTTTTAAATATATATCTAGACGAAAGATAAAAAATTATATGGCGATTCATCTTATAAATTTTTATTGCTTACTGCTTAAGTTCTACTATTTAAGTATTTTTATGTGCTATGATTCTAAATTATCTGACAATTATTCTAGATAATTTAGTAAAAATAATACTTTTTTTCATCTAAGATGCACACACACAGATATAGATAATACATATTTTTAATATTTATATAAAGATAGGATGATGCCAAAGTTTTATCTAGATGAACATCTATATAATTTTATTTAGATAACAACAAACACACTGTTTCAAGAATTCAGTGTTTTATAATAGACGTATTTTTTTATAATTGATTGAAAGAGAATACGGTGAATTTGTGATACTTTAAATTGAAATAACTGATTATTTATAAATTAATACACCGATATGACATCCTAATTATTAGTTGCATAATCGTTTTAGAACAACCATTTTCGCAATCTTACCGCCTATCATTCTCCGGACTCTCACTAGGAACTGCCAAATTAACTGTAGAAGTGCGAGGTGTCGTTTTGCTGTCTTCCTCTTCTTCCAAAATTCCAGGCAGGAACATCATTTGTTTCTCTTCGGGTACCCTAAAAAACCAAAATTTTTAATATAAAGCTATACGTATTTTCAAGATTCTTTAAGACAGGATTCTCAAGGCAAGGCTTGCAAGGCTCATATTAAGGAAAAAAGAGATTTTATATTAAAAATCAACAATTCTATAAATACTCGATCATAGCTAGAAATATATTTTAAATATTAATATATTAATATTTATATTTATAAATATTAATATTTAAAAAATATGAAATATTTAAATATTATAAATTACACATATACGAAATACTAACATCATATTCGCAACGCTACCACGATAAGTTTTCTTCTTGTACGCCGCTGCCGCTTCCGTATACGGCAGACTTATATTTTCGGAGTCGTAATAAATGTCCTTGACGAGCGGAGGACAGCGGTTCATCAGGGTGTCCACACCGAGATACGATACCTAGCGTTTCACACATAGATGTAAGTACGTGTAAAAAATGTTTAAACCTATTTGAATAAAATTTGCTCACCTTTGTATGACGATCGATCAGCCAGTTCAGCTCAAAGTCCTCATCGTCATCTCCGAAAGGATTTATTAGCTGTTCGGCTACTTTCAACAGTCCCATAAAGAAAAAGAACTCTAAAATCGTAAAGATCGGCACGTATTTATCTACTTTTAATTGGAATTGTTTCTCGACACCATCAATGTATTGTCGGCCGACCAGGGCGACCGCAAAGAAGCTGTAAGTAACGAGTGTCACCACTTGAGTGTACACCAATGGAATCGATACCCAGTCGTAACTCCACAGCAGGCCGCATTTAGTCCGGAATTCGCTAAATTCCTGCAAATCAAGTATGCATTCGTTACCGAACACGAGAGTGTTTAATTAAATTTAAATAGATTTATTAATTCAATTTAAATAGATTAATTAATCGTGTTTGAACGCAATTAAACTGCCTAGCAATTATCTAGCGTGCCGCTAAAAGGAATTGAATGAATTACAATTGAAAATATAAACGAGATATATATTGATTCAATTGTTATACTTTGTGAAAAAAAATCTGCTTTTGAATTTACTCACATATACGTCATACTTGCTGACTAACAAAAAGTTTATCATGCGCATTAAAATTGGCTTTTGCTTTGTAACGTGCGAACGCATAATGCGATTGAGACACGTGTGCCTAATCGTAAAAAATAAAAACGTGGTTGATATAAACCGCGACACGTAGATTTATGACTATTTGTAATCGGCTGTATATCGACTTGTCGTCGCTGTAGACGCTCGTAAAACCTAATCGTTCTTGCACCGAACGATTAACTTCCTTATAGTTATATATTTTTATATTATCATATATGCAGTGTTGCTAAAAGAAAATAGATATAGCAGAAAGAAACAAAAAAAAGGTATGTTTGATATATAGACGCCAATTAATTGATATAGACTTCAAAAACTTATAATATCTAAAGAGAATTCTATTTATTTTGATAACGTTAAAAAAGCTAGACAATAAGAAAATTAGAAAAATATTGGCATTAATTTCTTTCATTTTAATATAGCATTGATATAGGATTAGTATTTCTATAGTGCTTTATTGGAATAATGAAGGGAATTTTCCTAGATTAACTAAGATGTAAAGCAATTAAGTATATAGAAGACACACGTGGAATTTCTATTCGCACCTCCATAATTAGCTTTAAACCTTGAGGATCAGGTAGCCTGTGAGTCTTGCGTGCTTCCTTGAGAAGATTAACGAACCACGTGCACGGTATCCAATAGGTGTTAAACTCGCTGCTCGGCACCGACTGATACAATTCGAGCTCCAACGAGGTCATGAAACCTACAAGACGTTCGTTCGACCTCGTGAATTTTTCTAATTATAAGGATGTTGATCGATAAACTTTTGATTACGATTTACCAGAATCAACGACATGCTCGAGGGTGGGAAATCGTCTCTTCACTGCCGAACTGATAGAACGTAGAACAAGTATCAGAGAGAGGTTCAAATAACGCATGAGGGCTCTGCGCAGCATCCGACTGTACTCGTCGTTTTCGCTGATGTAGAGAGCCACGAGATGCATCACTCTGCAGGGGAGAAAAAAATAAAAAAAAATTACATTCGCGCGCTTTTCTTTTATCGATTATTTTCATAGTATTCGTTTTTCCCAAATTCTATATTTAAGAAAAGAAAGAAAATATTCTTTGAAAATTTAGAATTTTTATTTAACATTTGTTTAATAACTGCTTCCAAACTCACTTGTCGGGCCACGGTATTGCTTTGTATTGCTTCCACCATCTCTGCGCCACGTAGGATACGTAAAATCCGAGCACAAAACTCAACGGGATCAATTGGATCAAGGTATCGCAGTAAACAACAACTTTCTCGAACTCTCTGTAATGTGTTATATATTACAATTCTTATAAATTTGTTTATATTTTTAATAAATTAAATTAATAGTAAAATAATATTTTCTTATTTCCTCTAATACATTTTCAATTTTGTATATTTATATGTATAATTTTATTTATATGTATATATTTAGTTTCTATGTTTCAAAGACATCGGAATATCCACCTTTTTTGCGTGGTATTAAAAGCATAACGATAAAGTGCGGACAAGGCACCGAACATTAGCAGATAAAGTAACAGTTCCCTGTAGATGAGCTTGTACAGGGAACCACGCCACATAAACAAAAGCCTGGTGAATCCACCGCTGGTGGAACTGGCGACTTCATACTGATAAGAGACCGTCATTTTTTATCCATTTAAAAACACCGTACAATTTCTTCTCGAGAACGACGTGCTCGCGAGCACGTTGTTACTCATACTTTCAGAAATTTTCGCCTACCGAACCTAAGAGCAGAATTAAAAACTAGTTTTAACAAACTACAACATGTTTCGTCATTAAAGTATTTTTGAAAGAAGTTCTACAGCTAAAGAGAAACGTGGTACAATATTCAAATTTATTTATTATAATCATAAATTTCTAAATTAATTTATTTTAATAAAATAAAATAAAGTTTATAAGCTAATTCATATGAATAATGAACAAAAGAAAAAGAGAAATACGCAATCAAAAGTCTTGCTTTAGATATATCTTGTTTCAATAAAAATTATTTCTGAACACATATACATACATGCATATTTTATCTAAATAATTTTTAATTTAAGATGGACCGGTTATTGTACCGAAATGGACTCGTATCTTAACGCAGGATAATCCATTCCAAGCATTGGCCATTTCGAAATAATTGTAGAGTGTCGGAGCTATTAATGAACATAAAACATAAATTTATTGATATATTATATTTTTATATTTTTATTTTCTATATATTTTCATTATTCAATTACGTACCAAACAGCAAACAAATGCTAACTCAATCTTCAGATAAACCTTAGATCAAATAGCTAAATAATTCCTGCAATTAATAAATAATTATTTGAATACACATATTGGTTAAAAAATAATGGAATTTTTTAGATTAAAAATATATTGAATATATACTTATGAACCATATATATATATACTCATGTTAAACATAAAATCACCGTTTTAATATCCACCAAACTACTGTCTACATAATGCATGTAGCATCTACAATACACAAACTATGTTTGTCTGCAAACTATTATAGCGCTTTTATGTATGTTTAATAGTGCATGCAGCGAGCTATTGTTGTCGCAGTTTTAGCATGAGTTGTGCCAATAGATAATTAATTTAGGCCATTGTAAAATGCAATTTCGTGATTTCTCCAACTTTAATTTTAATTTTGTCGAAAACGATCATGAGACTGTTATAATTACCGATTTACGATCATTCGCAGCACAAAATCGAATCGTCCGAGCAAAGCGATCCATCGAGAAGATTCATTTAAGACTAACGAAACGAAAATCTTCTCGCGATCCAAGATCATCGCAGTGACATTAGTAACATATACGCGATCGCATCATTCGCCAGAAATATCTGGCTGCGAAACTCCGACTAAAAACGGAATAACTTAGGCAGATATTGTATCCGTCTGTATTCCAATGCTACATGTCATTAATAAGGATCATAGTTCAAGCACAGTATAAAAGATTTATCGCATTTACCGTATTAAAAGATTTCGCTCGATAAAGATAAGGGTGAGGAAATAGATAGAGTCATCTCATTATGACATGAAATTCTTGCATGCTACTTAACAAATATTTAAACTTCATCAGCGAATACGAGGCAAATATAAAGACATTATGAGACCTCTGCTAATTTAATTGACAAACAGTAAAACTTCATCAGTGAATACAAGGCAAATATGAACCACATGGTTTATAAAGATAAAATTTTTCATAATTAAGTATTTATTATATTTCATTAAGTTTGGTCAGATTAATGTTGCATATTAAATGCATTATTATTGCGATTTGGATCTGTATCATTCTGGCCACTTGATATACATATTTCGTCATAGCTATGAGCTGGACGGTTTCAGATATTGCACATGACAGTTGCACACGTCACAAGCAAGACGTCATCGTCTAACGGCAAATGGTGATTCAAGATTGCCGGCATGACTGCATTTTTTTCTGTCGCGGACCCATCGTGATAAATAATGTCTAATAGTAACGTCTGTCTCGGGAATCGCGCCAGTAATACGACGGTAAATATAACTTTCGGGCGTCGAAGTAACCACGAAGTGTCTGGGTAAACACACGATTTGCACGAGATTTCTGTGAGATCATTGCAGCTACACTTAAGGATGCACTTTGTCGATCGATATGTCTCGAGGATGCATCTCGAAGTGCAGCCAGAACGATGCAGCTCCAATTGCCATCGTGAGCTTGGCATCTTAATTATCATCATTTGACTTTTGAAGCTTCCAAGTATCTGACAATGAGATATCATCTGAGATTGCTCAATTTTTATTATCCTTATTTTTATGCTGTATGCAAATATTTTTAAATAATACATCTATAAATACAAGAAATTTTATTTCTTGCGCAACAATGTCACAATGATTGCAATATATATTTCTTCTTTCTTTAGGCTTATATGACATTTACTCGAGATATCTTTCTGTAATAATTATCTAATATATATATATATATATATAATTTGTGCAAGTTTATAAAAGTTTCATAAAAGTTTTTTTAATTATTTATACATCTACACACATACATATACTAGTCAAACATATAAATTACAATATAGTTTAATGTGCCTTTGTTTTATATTTAATTGCATCTATTGTAATTAAAAACTTCCCATATAAATTTGAATTAATAATTTTAAAAAAGTTAATTAAAAAATTGATAATTAAAAATAAAATTTGATGTTGAAGTGAGAGAATTTTTTTAACTCCTTGTTATTTCTTAAATCATAAGTCTATTAGTATTCATTGAAAAAATACAGTAAATTTATAATAAAATAAAATAACTTGTATAATAATTGAACTATTTCACAAGGTTAAATCATACGATCACCGCAGACATATATCGTACATATTTTTCTTTCACGTTTGGCGAAATCATAGTCTTCATCGGCACGCGTGGCATTTCTTGGCCGACAAACTGTATAACGTAAAAATTACGCAAGATGGATCGTTTTGCGTTTTCGATTCGAATCTATTCAATTCCGAATAAATAAATGTCTTCGATATATATAGCTTTGTCTTTAATTATTCGTATATAAATGCTGATGCATTACGAATACGCTGTTAATATACGTATGGAATAACGTCGCCGGATCGTCTGACGATTGCATTATATTTCCGTGCGACCTTACCGAAAATATCCGCGACGAAAACCGCGACCATGGACAAAACGCGGAATTTAGAATTTCTTCTGGAAGAATGACCTTTTACGCTACCGATTTAGATCTCGCTTAAAGATCGAGTTTATCGCATGCAACACGATATTCTTTGGAGACCGAATTAAACGACATTATTATACATGTATATAATTTTATAAGTAATTTTATTTTAAATACGACTTTTTAAATGCTATATCAATATCTTTTACAAATAAATATTATTAGAAATAAATAATTAATTCTCAAACATAATTATCATATTCTTATAATTGATATAGATTTATATATCTGGATAATTTATTTATAAAATAAAAAAGAGAGAGAGAGAGAGAAAGAGAGAGAGAGATAAAAAACAATTGCGTTAAAATGCAAATATAATTTTGAAAACAAAAAGTTTAATATATCATTTTTTTGCCTTAAAAATAGAAATATGTTGCCTTAGATTTTACATTTTAAAAAATAAAATTTTTCATAATTTATTATGTTAGATGATAAAAGCACAGTGTTAATTATTAATTTACGAGCACAACATAATATTAATTTAAAATACAATTGGAATTTTTTTTAAATTCGTGATTTAATATATGTTACAAATTAGCAATAACAAATAGCATTAATACGTCGTATCTACTGTCAAATCGTTTGCCAGATATTTATGTATCATTTTCGCGAAAGCATATTTAATTTGTGCTGACTAAAAAAAATTATTAAATCTTAGCACGTAGGAAAATAGAATTTTGAATACGAACTAGAAACATATTTAGATTTGCTTTAACACGAAAAAATGTGAATATACATTTTGTTATAAATTTTACCCAAGTGGCAGAAAAAATTATTTTTAAACATTTTATTTACAAGTAACTTGTGCAAATTTCTAACGCGTGAACAACGTGCACTTGGTGAAATATTTATAACACATGATTGTAAAAGCAGACATGTATCACGACATAAGTTTTGACCACGTTGCATGGATAATAAATGCACGCCAAAAAGTAAATATTCTCGTAAATATTTATAACTTCACGGAAGCGCGAATACATAAATTATTAATAAATAAATTTCTTTCAAGTCTTTCTGCGTAAGTGCATTATTTTCACGTATCTCGCGCGTTCAATCTAATCTTACGCTACACCATCTGAGTTTTGTCCAACATTTTAAACTTAACTTTTAATGTAATTTTACAATGCAATTTGCGAAGGAGTACGTAATTATGATGTCTTTTTATATAATTAATTTGTTTTTCTATTGTTGTGCAAGATACGCTAAAAAATTGAAGATATGATATAGTCTTGACTCACCGTGTAAAATACTTTATCAGTCGCAACTAACGCATTTGTTATCTTCTTTTTCGCATAAAATCATTTTTCATCGCACACAATGCGAATATCTGTTCACTGTTTTTGCATTCGCGCGTTGTCGCTTTAAATCAGAGAAATTCAATCCAAATCGATGTCCCTTTCAGGTGTATAATTTATAAAATTAGCTGGCTAGATCAGACTATTTTGAATATGATATGAAAAATAATTTGATCTTCCTTTAGCGGTCACAATTTTCGCATTATTAATTATTTCTAAATTCAGTTTCCTTAATTTTTTTCTTTCCCTCTAGAAACACTTCTTATGACAGAAATAAATAATCACTTCACTTAAACACTAGATTATAGGCTTATTTGACAGTCTTTGGAACTATATTTTTCATAACAATTTACGCGCACAGCTCTTGATTAAAATTTAACATATGGTTATTTCTAAACATGCTGTGTCACTTATAAATTATGTAAAAAAATTGTTTAATTCTAAATGTCTCATTAATATTAAAACGACAAAAATATATATAATTTAAAATTACAAAATGTTGATAGAGAATTAATAATGTTTAAAATATTTTCTCTCTGTGTGTGAATGCATATTTTTTTCATTCGATCTACTCATTCTCCATTCATAATTGAGAAAAATCTTCTCGCTTTTCTGAAGAATTTAAATGTTAAAAAAATTCTTCATAAACGTGTTTTTAAGGAATCCGAACCAAAACAGATTGCACTAAAGGTAATTTCCAGCCGAGCCGATCGATTACTAGGGTCGCGTAACGATCTTGCCCGGAATCACGAGCCGAAAACTCGTCGACGAGCGAGGGTCGCGATTCGAGATGTATCGAAAGGAGGCATTATCGTGTGGGTGCGCACTTGACGCTCGTCGATGACAAACTGGTCGCCGCGAGTGATCGAGAAACGCGCCGCATACTCTCTTCGTATAGGCGACGGAATATTAAACATTGCAGTTGGGCGCGATCGCGATCCGATCTTGGGCAATTGCCCAAAATCTAAAAAGGGCCGAATGTCAAGCTCACGCACGTAAAATGCACGTGAGCTTTTGCACCCAGCCGCGCCCGCGACGACGCGAAATCACACCCTTATTCAGGATCAACCCTGTATCGCTTTTTACAAGAGGAGAGTGTATATAATGTGTAATGTGTCTTTTCACGCGAGAACGAATGAGAGAGAAATTAATAGTCTTCTCGCACAATCGAAAATATGTATCCAAATTTTGTACCATTTAAATTAATAAACAGCAATTTTTAATTTTACAATTCTATATTTCAATAGAGATTTATAAATAAAAAAGTAAAAAGTTGACTTTTATTTTCTTATTTATAAATAAATAAAATAAAATGTATTTTATATGTTGAAAAATATTTAAATATATTTAAGTATATATTATTTTCGATATATTATATATATTATATATTATATATAATCAAATCATATATATATTAAAACTATGTACATTTTATTTAATTATATATACATATATATATATATATATATAATATAGAAAATAATATATGTATATTTAAATATTTTCCAACATATATAAATATACATATAAGTATATTTTATTTAATTTGAAGTGATCAAGTATAGTGTTATATATAGTATATGTTACTTTAAAAATAAATTATATTTATCATATATATATATTTATTTGATTTTTACAGATATTCTCAATATTTACAAATCTAAATCTTTTTCCAGAATTTCTTTATACACTATATAATTATATTATTGAAGTTTCCGATGCGCCTATAAGAATGCAATTTTTGTCGCATCATTTTTTAAATAATATTTAAAATTTATTCTTATTTTTATTATAATTTATTCTCATTATTATTATAAATTCATTCTTATTATTATTATATATAAATAATATTTTATCATTTATTAAATAATAAAATATTAAAAAAGAATACGTAAAAAAGTAAACTGTAGTACCAGCTTGCAACATATTTATGAACTCGCTCACGAAAACTACCGATAACATAGAAAATGATTGTATTGTCAGAAGGTAATAAATAAACTTGCAGACAATTGCGCGCATTTTATTTCTGCGCTGTCAAATTCTGCAAGCTACAAACAATTCTAACCTATCTAATATTGTCGGCACATGGAATAAAATACGAAGAAATTCTCTTATTATGGAACTTGATGAGTCTATTTTGATGCAAAAACAGGTAAAAGACAATTCAGAGGATTTACGAAGTGAATTTTTGGACTTGAAAAATTGGGAAGAGGAAATGAAACGAAAAGAACAAGAGCTATTGAATGAACGCACTGAACAGGTATGTTTTCGCAACTAAAAAGTTAACGATGCAACAAATGCAATAATATGTGTTAAAAAATATGTAAAATAAAAAAATTAAAATATAAAAATGGTAGTAATTTAATCAACCAACTCTGGCTATTTAATAATCTTTATTTAATATTCACGACGTTTCGGCCATGGGTTTCGGCCCTTATCAAGTGCTAAAACACAACTTTCTATATAGAAACTTAATTTCTGATCTTAAAATGTGACATGATATAATGTGAAACAATTAACTATATTAGTTAATTGTTTCACATTATATCATGTCACATTTTAAGATCAGAAATTAAGTTTCTATATAGAAAGTTGTGTTTTAGCACTTGATAAGGGCCGAAACCCATGGCCGAAACGTCGTGAATATTAAATAAAGATTATTAAATAGCCAGAGTTGGTTGATTAAATTACTACCATTTTTAATTATCATCTGGTGACTTAAGAGATTTTTACATCTTTTAAAATATAAAAATTATATATTTATAAAAATGATGAATGAATAGTATTTAATATTACACATGTATGTATGTATATGTACATCTTGTAAAACCTTGTATAATTTATTTTAACAACTATACATTTATTACAAGTTTGTTTTAAAATTTATTGAGATATTTAAATGTTTAGATTAGATTTTATAGCTTTAGAGATTACTTATGTATAGCATCAAATTTTTGGCAAATTTAATGCCTATAGATTATTGTACATTTAATTTTGTTAATAAGATAAATATTTATTCTAGAATGTTCTACCTCCAGTCAGAAGTAAAAATAAGAAAAAATGTGTGAAAGAAAAGTAACAGAAAGTAAAAAGACTGAAAATTCCAAACGAATAAAATCTTCCGATTATGCATCATGGGAGAAATTTGATGTTGTAAGTGATTTTTATGTTGCATATAATATGCACATGCAAATTTCTAGTTTAAAATTATTGAAGAAACATTTGCAAGAAATTAATATTATTATTTTCATATCAAAGGTCAAAGCGTGCAAGGAATTAGATAAAGAGGATCGATCCAGTGAATCCTCAGATGAAACTATGTCTCAGGAAGAATTGGAAAAAGATCACGACAAAGCATTAGTACACAAAGAACAAGGCAATATTTTTGTGCAACAAAAGAAATGGGATAAAGCAATTGCTTCATACAGCGAGGCAATAAAAATTTTTCCTTATGATGCTATATTTTATGCCAATCGTGCACTTTGTTATTTAAAACAAGACAAGTAAAATCTTATATCTTAAGATTTTAATAACAAATTATGTTAATTTGTGTAATTTGTATTGTTGATTTTGTTATATTGCAGCTTATATTCAGCAGAAGCAGATTGTTCATCTGCCATACAGTTAGATGAAACTTATATCAAAGCTTATCATCGACGAGCTATAGCCAGAATGGAATTGAAACAATATAAAGAGGCAAAGAACGACATAGAAAAAATGTTGATATTAGAACCTTCCAATAAGGAAGCAAAGGCTTTGCTTAGTCAAATTAATAAACGACTTGAAAACTTAAAGGTATGTATTTTTTATTTTATTAAGTTAAATTATTATAAATACACTATTTATTTTTTAGCCAATTATTATATCTGATCAAGACACAACCGCAGATATTCCGATAGAGAAAAAAATTGCAGAGAAGATGTTTGATAATGTAAAATCAAATAAAAAATTAATCGAAATAATAGAGGATAATAATAGAAAGGATAGTATAAATAACACAGGAGCTATTGCAAAACCAACAGCCATAAATCTAACAAAATCAAAGAGAGATCCACGAATTCCAGATTGGCTACCAGAAAAAGATAATGTAGTAGTTGTAGAACCTATTAAGAAACCTCCTCATTTATGTTCAAAAGTGAGTTTGCATATAAGTTTAATATGTCATACAATATTTTTCATGTAGCTAAAAGAACTTTTATCATTAATTAGGAACCATTAATAAGAATACCTGTGCAAGAAGCTGATTTAACAAAATCTTTTAAAAAGAAATTAAAGTATCTTGCAATGAAAATCAGCATCTAGAATTATCAAATGTACATTCTGATAATACAAAGCATAGGAAAAACGTTACACAACCTAAACCAGAAGTAAGCTTTATCGAAAATATAGAAATACCTCCCATTCCAAGAACTGCAATCCAATTCATAGTAAATTGGAAAAGATATACTTTATCTGATATACGATACAAATATTTAAAGGTAACTAATAAATTTTTACACATTAAATATGACATATACACAGCAATTTAAATTAAAAACAAATTTTTTAGCAAATACCGCCATGTAACTTACCAAACATGTTTCAAGATTCACTGGAAAGTAATATTTTTAGTGATATTTTAATAATACTCAAAACGGAGTTTATGAAAAGAGGAGAACCTATATTCTCGTATCTAAAACATCTCACTGATGTCAAAAGATTTAGAGCTCTCGTTATGTTTATCAGTAATTTAGAAAAACAAGGTACATGCAATAATATACACTAAGTTTTCATGAATGATTTAACAAGTTTTATGACATAAACCTTAAAATACTTACAGATTTGAAGCTCATGTTCTCATATTGTAAAACATCAGAGAAAATATCTGACGAAGAAGTTACGGAATTGCAGAATAAATATGAAATTTAATGTGTTTTAATTGTAAAAGTGCTGGATATATTAAAAGTAGGTAAGTCGGTTTTAAGTTTTGAAGAAAACATGCACAGAACATAGATTTCCAAAAGTTTCATTTATATTTTAAAATATAGATTATTATAATTAAATATTTACAAGAGAAATACACATATTACATTTTCAAATATAATAATATAACAGATAAATAAAACAATTTTATACATAAAATATTTTTTATACCTAAGCTATATATAATTGATGATGAAATAATTTTATATATTTTCAATAGTTTGTAAAGATATTTACAGTCTAATTCATAACAGTAAATAATATACATACATTATAAATTACCATTAAGTAATCGCCGAATTTTTTGGTCGTTTTTAGTGATTTGCGCTTTTACTTGACGTATCTTGTCCATTTGAACCTTCATGTTGCCATCAATTTCTTTCAATGTTTCTTTCATAGGCTCTATCATCTCTTCTGTTTCTCTAAAATATAAATTTCCGACTTAAATAATGTTAATATTAATTTCTCTATTTACAAACTAAAGAATTATTAAGATTACTTATTGTTAGCAAGTTTTATATACATATATATATATATATATATGTGTGTGTGTGTGTACATACTTCTGTTCTCTTTCCAATTGTTCGCTCAATTGACGATACTGTTTTCGCCAGTCCAATAATTCTTTCTGCATCATTTCTACGTCTTCCTGATATCACAGAAATAGGATTTCGTAAAAAATTGACTAATGTATAAAAGTATATACATATAATATTTTATTACCTGTACGTAATCTAATAATTTCCCCAGAGGATTCGTCGTACGCGTTAGCGTCTGTATAGTTCCACGTAATTTGTCAATTTCCTTAGCTGCTGCTTCTCGATCACGCTTCGAACCTGATTCCCACGCCTATAGTTAAATATATTTATTCAATAACGGGCTGTTTTGTAAAAATAAAACAGCAATTTTTGCAAAAATATAGAAATAATATATTTTAATATTTCTTACAATGTCCACTTTCTTTGGTAATACATCGACATTGTCGGTGTTGACCAATTCTCTTTGGGTCTCTAAGATTTGTGCCACAAGATGTCCATGCTCTTGCATCAGCTGATTGTCTATCTTGTAATCTCCGTTTTCTAAATTATCGCCAACGGTTCCTTTAGTTTCCATGACTACCATATCTTCAGCATCGTCGTCATCCTTCAAGTCGGCGTTCTCTACAATAACACTGATATTTCCCACTGGTGTCCTATAAAATTGTAATTTAATTATTATTACTTTAATACTATGCTTAATATAAATAATTTCTTACAAAATATTGTAATCTTACTGTATCTCCTCATTGACAATAAAATCTGTCTTCGCTCTTATCCTAGGAGCAGCCGGTCTGGCACTGATAGGTCTAGCACTTGGTGGTCTTAAAGAGGTTTTAGGCCTTACATTGGATTGCTGCAAAACGCTGAAACAAACATCGTTACATATAATATCGAAGTCATAGATATCTTAATATTATCAGCAAGAAATGTATAAAATTGAACATACGTCGTTTCAGTAATCGTTTCATTTGGAGATCCTGCAAGTTCTGACGTTGGCATTTGTGTGTGCTCCTTCTTCTCAGCGCTCTGTTGCCGTTCTTTGTTTTCTTCCGATATTTCACTTTTCTTAGTTTCCTTGTTATTGCTCGTTTCTGATTTATTCTCGTCTTCATTAAGAGACTGCTCCGGGGGCAGGTTTGCTATCTTCTCTTGCAAGCCATTTATTTGCGCCGAATGTCTTATTTTACTCGAGGAAATCCGATGTTGTACCTGTTCCTCCTTCATAGTTTCAGTCGTTGAGATTATTGCATTCTCCTTCACTTTAGCAGACGAAGAAGGTCTTCTTTTTTGCGCCGAAGCAGGAACTTTATTTTCAATTGGCTGAATATAATAAAAATAAAATATATTAAATAAAACATACATAATTTAAAGTACAATGCTTTTAAAAAACAAACTGTCTGAATTCTAAAATTAAAATATTGTTTCTTCTTTATTTTTTTTTTTTTTAGTAAATACTTGGTGAATTTCAAATAATGAAGGAAATAATAATTTACTCCAAAAATTTTAGTCATATTTAAACAAAACTTTAACTATGATTTTTTTACCTCAGCTGGTGGGATATCTATGGGTTCGATATTCTTCGAACTTTCCTTTTTGTTATTCTCTTTTCTTGCTTTCTCTTTGGGCCTATCATCGACATTTTTTACTTCACTCGACGTTACTTTCCCAGTGCTAGATGATCTTTTCTTTCGCTCTGAAACTTTATCTTTCTCCGACGATTTTCTCGTTTGCGATGCCTGCCTCGGTGCGGGCTTTCTCGAAGTTTCTTCTTTAACTGTAGATTTTGATTTTGATCCAGTTTTTTTCTTTTCCAAACTTTTCTTATAATGCTCGATCGCTTCTGTGCTACTGACCTAACATACATAGTAAACAAATGCTAATATTATTTTACTTTAAGAAAAATGTCTACATAACAAAATTTATTACTTTCTTATCAAGGGATTTTCCAATGGCTTGCAGCAATTCATTTGTCCTTGTTGGCTCTTGACCAGAAATTATCTTACTTGCCCTGACCATTAAATTAGCACCCGAAATTAATTCTAAAATACATACATTACATATTTACGTATATAATATATATAATGTATATAATTTATATAATATAATATAAATATACATAATAATAATATATTTATAACAATATATATAAATAATATATATAAAACATAAAAGCACAATAAATTTACTCACTGACGACATCAATGAGTTTTGTCAAGAAGGCGAGCTTCGCTTCCTTATCCTTTATATTATCCGAATTTAACTCCTCATCAGTGAACAATCCCTTCAAGAAACCCGTCTCTTTAATGATCTGAAATCAATTTTTATCCACATGTGCAAGATGTCCTAAACACGAACCAAGCTCGTGCTTTATATAAATCTGTATATCCTGTATAAATTTAAAATATATGAAATAAATTATGAAAAAAGAAAGAAAAAGAGAGAATATATTAAACACTGTGAATAATATCGATTTTTATATGTATATGTAATAAATTACAGCCGTTATAATATCGTGAAGGAAACGAAACGGCGGTTTTCGGAGTAATTTTTCGGTTAACGGTGGCTTCTTGAAATATTTTCCAAGCAGATCTTGCGTTTTCTTTATCACCTCGGGTCGCACTTCGTCCGTCATTGTCAGGCTTATTTTTAGACCAACGTACCCAACGTGCATGATACTCACGGCGATGCCAGTCAGTGTAATGTCAAACGGTTGCTAAGCAACGACGCACGTGAGAATGGTTGCTAAGCAACGACGCACCTCAATGGACGCGTTCCGTTTAACATTACGAAATCTTTGACACGTTGCACAGTTCGATTGACCAATCGGAGCCTAAAAATCTTTGTCTCCTTCGTCTGATTGGTCAGAAGTTTCTCTTTGGCGCCACTGTGCCATCAACTAGGAAAGCCGTCTCATGAAAAACGGCGACGTGGCCTCTCTCAGGTTTCTCGTTTCTCTCTGACTGACTTTCCAACTTTTTATTGGCTAACGTTGGACAATATCCATACAGCACCGATAGATTGCAAAGACATTACAACAATCTTTCACCGCAATATTGCAATATTGCAAATTCACTGCAAAATGTTGCTACATCATTGCTGTTGAATTGCAGCAATGTTAAAATGTCCGCTTTTTGGAAGATTGCAACAAAATATTACAACAATATTGCAATATGTTATGAGTTTGCAATAATGCTTGTTATTGCAACCATAAACTAATGTTGCATATACAGGTATATAAATGTAAATAAATCATTAATGAAAATACGTTGTAGTTCATTTATATATATTACAATATATAAATTATAGAATTTGGATTACATGCAATATTTCCGAAATATTAATGTCATGTTGCTACAAGTGTGCTGGAATTTTGTGCACTTATATCTCTGCAATGTCTTTATAATGTTGCATTGCAACTTGCAACATTGCAACGTTGCTGCAATATAATTGCAATAATCTGTGCTGTATGGGTAATGTCGTAAAACACCAATCATAGACGAAAGATGTGAACCGTAGAGGAGTGAGAATGAGAAAAAAACTCGTAGCCCCCCCCCCCCCTACACAGAGCTATGTTTCTATCTACAGTTTTTTTACTCCCTCTTTGTTCTATGTTCTATATCTATGTCCGTACGTATAATCGCACGTGCTATATATAGATTTCGTTATTCGTAATTTTTTTGTGTAATATAATTCATTATTGTTCATTAGTAAAATAGTATACTGTGTATCAAGTGCGGAAAGTTGACAATTGGTCACGAGTGCGGGAAATTCCAGATAGCATAACGGTGAATATAAGTTCATAAGGAATTCATTTTAAAGAATACTTACAGAATTAGAAAAATGAATATTTAAAGAATTCTTGAAGAATTATCCATAATCAGTTTGTCTTTACATATTCTTTATACATTATTTTAATGAATACTTTGCAACAGTACTATGAATACTTTAAGAATTTATAAGGAATTATTTGTAATTTTTTTATCACATTTATTTCCTTAGGGGGGAACAGGGGATGTATGGAATTAAATCTCTTGTAGAGATTATTTCAATTTTAAATCTTGGCCGTGATCAAGTAAATTTGATGCCTTGTGCACAAATATTTAATTCTAACGGAAAAAAAAATTTAGTTTCGTTGGAATAACGCACTGTCATCCGCGATTTGGCTCTTAGGTCTGGCTATTAAATAACGAGACTGTGCGCGCAGAAGGCGTCCTAGAGGGGTAGGGTGGGAAACAAATGCAGCGTTGGATAGCTGGAAGTGTCTACTATTCCAGTACGAAAGCACGTTTTTGTCGCTGTAGTAGTATTTTTTCTGTAGAAGTTAGAAACGAACATGTTTTTTTCTCGTGCCGATAACAATGTGTGACGAAAAACACGAGCAACGGATCAATGTGAAATTTCTCGTTAAATTAAAAAAACTCCGACTGAGTGCTATAAGTTGTTGAAAGAGGCCTATGGTGAGAATTCTCTATCTCGTGCGCGTGTTTTCGAATGGTATAAAAGGTTTTCTGAAGGCCGAGAGAGCACCAAAGATGACCAACGTCCAGGTCGACCTGTCTCTGTTTCAACTCCGCAAACAGTGACCAAAATAAATGAAATTGTGCGCGGAGATCGTCGTATGAGCATTCGGATGATTGCTGAGACTGTAAACGCCGATAAAGAAACTGTCAGAAAAATTTTACATGACGAATTGTAAGTGGATCTTGCACCAGGACAACGCACCTGCCCATAACGCGCTGTCTGTGAAGCGTTATTTAGCCGCTAGAGGCACTCTAGTGCTCGAACACGCGCCGTACTCGCCTGATTTAGCACCCTGTGACTTTTTCCTGTTTCCGAAGATCAAGTCTGCCTTAAAAGGAACCCGGTTCGAGTCGATGGAAGAGGTGAAGCGAAAATCGGCGGAGCTCCTAAATGCTCTTACAAAAGAAGACTTCCAGCATTGCTTTGACCAATGGAAAAAACGAATGGAACGGTGTGTGGCGAGGGAAGGGGAGTATATTGAAGGGGAGCATTCGATTGTAGAATAATTTTTAAAATAAAACTCTTTTTCATAAGCAGTCTCGTTATTTAATAGCCAGACTGTCTTAGACTTTAAATTTAAGAATTTAACAAGGCTCTGTAATATAAATATAAATATAAATTGAGAGTGTCAAACAGGCAATAAAAGCCACATCGCGGATAACAGTGCATTATCCCAACAAAACTAATTTTTTTTGTTAGGATTAAAACCTGTGCACAAGGCACTAAATTTTTACTTGGACACGGCCAAGATTTAAATTTATTTAAAGTGTAAGACAGGCAATAAGAGCCAATCGCGGAAGACAGTGCGTTATCCTAACGATACTAATTTTCTCGTTAGAATTAAATATCTGTGCACAGGGCACCAAATTTTACTTGGTCACGGCCAAGATTTTTAAATATGAAATAATCTCATTTTTGAGATTTAATTTCAATAATCCCATTAACCCTCCTATGGAAATAAATAAATGCAAGAGAAAAATATAGATCCGAAAGTCGCTGAATCGGGAATCAAACCCGAGACCTTTCGCTTGCCGGGCGACTGCTCTTCCAACTGAGCTATTCAGATCCTTTCGATTCTATACTTTTCTCTGTTATATATAATAATGTTGATAAACAAACGCTTTTTCAGCCAGCGTGTATAAGTTAAGAGTTTAACACGGCTCTGTAATATAAACATAAATTTAAAGTGTAAGACGATTAAATTTATATTTGTAATACAAAATAGTATGTGTATCACGTGCGGATTGACAATTGTTTATTCGTGTGGGCCCATACAGCACCGATAGATTGCAAAAACATTACAACAATCTTTCACCGCAATATTGCAATATTGCAAATTCACTGCAAAATGTTGCTACATCATTGCTGTTGAATTGCAGCAATGTTAAAATGTCCGCTTTTTGGAAGATTGCAACAAAATATTACAACAATATTGCAATATATTATGAGTTTGCAATAATGCTTGTTATTGCAACCATAAACTAATGTTGCATATACAGGTATATAAATGTAAATAAATCATTAATGAAAATACGTTGTAGTTCATTTATATATATTACAATATATAAATTATAGAATTTGGATTACATGCAATATTTCCGAAATATTAATGTCATGTTGCTACAAGTGTGCTGGAATGTTGTGCACTTATATCTCTGCAATGTCTTTATAATGTTGCATTGCAACTTGCAACATTGCAACATTGCTGCAATATAATTGCAATAATCTGTGCTGTATAGGGGGTGGTCGCACTCGTGACCAATTGTCAACTTTCCGCACTTGATACACAATATACTATTGTATTACAAATGCAGGCAAAGTGGCTTTGTGCGCGTTTCTGTGCGCGAGGTGGCCGATCGCACGCCGCCATTTTGCGGCGGCACGGTGCGGGAATAGCCGCGGCTCAGCCGTAGGCAATGGCTTTGAATGATAATCTAAGTTCTTCTTCACATGCGCACTAGCCAAAGATGATTCCTATTTAGATATTAAGTAAGCTAAGTTCTTCCTTACCGAACACACTCTCTTTTGTCTGCCTTTAATACTGTGATACTGTCTGTTACCAAAGAAGAAATAAAGTATTTTTTATACATATAACAAATATACTCATCACATACTTATCGATCCGAGACGCCTCAGCAGTGGTTTCTAAATAGTTATTATATATCTATCTGCATCCAAGACGCATGAGCAGGAATCTCTTTCCCGCTACATATATATATATATATATATACACGTGCACGAGCGCTACAGGCCGCTTTACGCACAGAAAACACGCACACAAAGTGTCACTTTGCCTGCACGTGTAATACAAAATACATTTATTTCTTGACGATATTGAATATATATGAAGTATAATATAATAATTATATTGTTATAGAGAGAGATAAATCAATTTTAAAAAAATGGAAAGAGTTCTTATAAATAGGTAAGTAAAACATAATACTTATTAATAAACAATGACAACTTTGTCTACAAATTATTTATTAATTTATATTTAATACAATATATATATGTATTTTATATAGGTGTAAAAATGAAAGCAAGAAGGAAGTTGAAAATGAAACAAATTATGTGGGTGAATTAAAGAAAATAAAAGAGTGTAAAAAAAGTAGTACAAATTTGCCACTAGTCAAAATCAATTATTTCCATCAAAACAATTTACTATCTGTTGCGACAAACAAAAATAGGAATGTAAATTTGGGCAAGATCAAGGGTAATTTTGCAGTGGAATGCCTTCCCGAATATAAACCAATTGTCCTGTTTAAACTGTTGACGAGGAACAATACCATTTCCAAGACTCTCGTTTACACAAATTCTGAACATACCGCACACAAATTGGCGCTTTTCATGCAATTATTGTTGAAACGGATAAATGTCACAGTTGGAGAATTGTCTATGAAGCAACATAAAAGTATTCTCAGTAAATTCGCAAGTGCAGAGATACAAGTGTAAGTTTTATGTTTTCTTAAGATAAAATAATTCTAATTTTTATAGGGCATTTTTTTCATTTTGCGATTATAGATTTGTTCTTTTTGGCTGAACTCGTAGCTGAACTGGCTGCACTAGTTCAGAGTTTATCTCTTTCCCTACAATGTGGAGTAAAAAAGATAAACTGAACTAGTGTAGCTAGTTTGGTTGAAAAGAACAGACCTAAATAGGACAATCAGGGGGTCGATTATGTGTAATTTTTTCTAAAGTGAAAATGTGAAAAGTGAAAAATTTCTTCCAATCACACATCGATTTCATTTTAAAATCAATGCGTGATTGGTGGAAATTTTGATTGTGATCTGATTGTCTTAGTTCAGAGTTTATCTCTTTCCCTTCAATGTGAAGTAAAAGAAGTGGAGTAAACTCTGAACGAGTGCAGTCAGTTCAGCTGAGTTCAACCAAAAAGAACAGACCTAATGTTTTAATGCTAATTTTCTTTACTAAGATAAAATATGTATATAATAAAATTTTAATCTATTTGTGAAACTAAAGAAAAAATAATTTTGTTTCAATAATTTGATTAATCTTGATTATTTTATTAGATTAATAAGTTCAAACATGATGGCTAGATATGTGGACATTCCGAATGTGAAACTGGTTATATCTTATGATGTCCCAATGTACGCCACTGACTATATGCATAGAGTTGGAAGACTTGGGCTAGCTTGTAAACCAAAGGTTGTAATATTCATACTCAAGTCAAATCAAATTGAGATATTTAAGAAATATCTAGGTGTTACAAATCTACTCGTGCCTAATATCGAGAAAATGAAATTGAATATCATGATGAATGAGGTCAGTTATCGAAGTTATCTAAAAAAATTGAAGGAACTTCTTGCGAAGGATAAGAATGAGAACTTGAATGAAAGGCTTTAAACGTAAACATGTGCTAAATGAGCTTGACCAAAATGCCAATAGAGTTTAAAAAATAGTTTTTTAAGAACCAACGTACGAAAACGAAATGTAGCCCTTTTCTGTGTAAACTCCGTCCTACTTATGCAATTATTATTTCATAGTTAATAGATAACTTACTCGATTGTGATATTAAACTAATTTCCACGCTGAATAAGACACAGAACGTATACAGATAATATAGGATAATGTAAGATTAGCGTGCGCATGTCCGTTACCGTTCGGTGACAGCCCGTCAGCTGCTGCCACCAATACCGGGTGTCTGTGGAGCATGCGCAGCTCCATGAGAGCGAACCACCTCGAGAACGGCGGGAGAGCCGACACTCTCCTTCGGAAGGTATAACGAACCAGACGCGTTCGGTGTACGGGAGTCTTTTTGGAATTCTTTTGTTGAAACAGTTACTTATACTTAAATATATCTGTTCTACTTTCTTTAATTCACGGTGTTAAATATTCTACTCCAATCAGTTAATTCCTAATTGGTCCAATTGTTCCAAACTGCGCGCCCGCTTGCCACCTTTCCACGTCTCCTTTATTATCACTCGATATTAAACGGAAGCGCGTAAAACAATTTAAATAAGTTAAAAACCAGTAACTTACATCTCAGAAGTGGGATGATAGTGGATCATAAGGATCAATAGTGAAATTTGTGAACAGTAGTGAACGGTTAATTAGAATTATTAAGAAAACCGAGAATAGAAGTAAGCGAAAATCGGCAAAAGAAAGGGAAAAAATCGGAGCAAAGGAAACGGAAAAAAAGAGACATTCTTTAGAAGTAAACAAGGCTGTCCAGTAGGCTGTCCAAATCGGCGCGTCGATGGTTTGACACCCAGGGTGACGTAGCAGTAGAATCTTGGAGGAGCCTACGGGCTGAAATTATAAAAATATTTGATAGAAAGGTACCCTTTTATAGATCAATGCAGAAGTTAGAATCAAGGAAGTGGTTTCCGGCGAAGGAGTCCTTCGACGACTATGCTATCGACAAGCTGGCAATGATGCATAGACTGGACCTACCCGAGAGTGACCGGATCCAGCTTCTGATTGGCGGAATCCAGCAGACTCCGCTGAAGGCGACGGCGTTGTCCCTCACGGCCGACACGATGGACGTCTTCCTCGAAAAGATGAGGACCATCGCTCAGGGCATGGCAGAGACAGACCGCAGGACGTTGCAGTTACATCCGCAGGTCAAGGATAAGCAGGCCAAGGATACCTGCAAAACTGTGGCAAAAGGGGTCACACATACAAGGAATGCAGAGGAGAGCCAAGCTGCTTCTACTGCAAGGAAAAGGGCCACCGCAGGTTTGAGTGTCCGATCCTGAGGAGGAAGGAACCCAGGGCGGCCCCTAAACCTACCGGTACGACGTTGGCGGCGGCGACCGTATCAGAGGAGACCCAGGAGTCCACGGGGATAGCAGCTGTACAGGAATCATCCTCAGAATTGGTGGTAGACGATCCCCTGATCCGAATGAGTCTACCTGAGATTAAAATAGAATTATTAGCGTTGATAGATACAGGCAGCCCTGTATCCTTCATAAAAGCAAGCGTATTTAATAAATTCGTTAGATCAGACGCGAAATCGGTAATTGCCACTAAATGTAATTTAAGAAATTTGTCAGATCAAAAATTGGATGTTATTGGTATAACTAATATAGCGTTAAATTTCGAATCTCTAAAAAGAAAAGAATTCAGGGCAAATTTGTATGTTTTGGAAAATGAATCGTTTCAAAGCGACGTTATCATAGGTCGCGAGTTTTTGCGTGAAAATAAACTCACTTTAGTTTATAATCCTGTGGCGAAAATACAGGATGAGAAGGTCAACTTGTTTGCGATGCTTCCCTTGTGTGTCGACGAAGGGCAAACGGAAACGCTGGAACAAATAATAAAAGAAAATAAAATTGACTTTGGTGAAGATACAAAAGTTTGTTTAGAAAAACTAATCTCTAGAGTTCAGACACAAAATGTTTCTAAAGTAAATGATGATTACCGGGTGGAAGTAAATATTAAAGATCCATCGATATACGCGTATGCCCCTAGGCGATTCGCAATGGTGGAGCGGAAGCAAATTCGAGACATTACCGATGATCTTCTCCGGCGAGGTATAATTAAAACGAGCGTATCACCGTACTGCGCCAGGGTCGTACCCGTGAGAAAAAAAGACGGTCGATTAAGGCTCTGCGTGGACCTCCGACCCCTGAATAGCCGGGTGTACAAACAAAAATATCCATTTCCTATAATTGAGGAATGTATTTCTAAATTAAGTAATAAAAAAGTCTTTACTCTACTAGATCTCCGCGATAGTTTCCACCAGATTAAAGTACACGAGAATTCGTACAAATATTTTTCATTTGCGACCCCGGATGGTCAATTCGAATATGTCCGCTTACCGTTTGGTTATTGTGAGGCACCGGCCGAGTTTCAAAAAAGGCTTATTCAAATTCTAAACCCTTTGATTAGGCAGGACAAGGTCATTGTATACATCGACGATGTTTTAATTCCATCTGAAACAGTAGAAGAAAACTTAGACTCCTTAGAGAAAGTCATGCTGATACTTAGAGAATACGGATTTGAACTTAATTTCAAGAAATGTAAATTTTTGAGAAAAAGTATAGAATTTTTGGGATATATAATCTCTTCAGAAGGAATCACTTTAAGTCCGCGGCACACAGAGGCAGTACGCAATTATAGACAGCCAAAAGATAAAATACAATTACAAAGGTTTTTAGGTCTTTCCAATTATTTTCGCAAATTCATTAAAAATTATGCTTTCAAAGTAAAACCTTTACAAAACTTGCTTAAAAAAGATGTAAATTTTGAATTTGATGATAAGTGTATTGAAGCATTTTCGAATATTAAAAAAGAATTGACGTCTTACCCGGTGTTAAGACTATTTGACCCCGCAGCTGAGACTCAGTTGCATACCGATGCATGCAGTGGAGGTATAGGAGCAGTCCTCCTCCAACGTCAGAGTGACGGTCCATGGGCCCCTGTGGCTTTCTTCAGTCAATCAACAAATGCGGCTGAATCGCGTTACCACAGTTTTGAACTGGAAATGTTGGCGATAGTTAGATCGGTAGAAAGATTCCATTTATATCTATATGGTAATAAATTCAATATAATTACTGATTGTAATGCGTTAGTGCACGCAGTCAAGAAAGCTAATTTGAATCCTAGGATAGCTAGGTGGACGTTAGCTTTACAGAATTACACTTTCGATATTTCTCACCGGCCAGGTAATAGGATGATACACGCAGATGCCCTCAGTCGTAGTGTTGCACTTGTGGACGAACTTCCACTGGAGCGAAGACTCGAATTCCTCCAATTAGCAGACCCTGAAATTTTAAAATTAAGCAACGAATTAGAATTAGAAGAGAATGATAAGTTTGCGTTGATAGATGGGTTGGTGTATAAAAAAATAGATAATGAAATGAGATTTGTCGTGCCTGAGTCAATGGTCACAAATGTACTTAGAGCGCACCATGATGACATGACACATAATGGTTATGAAAAAACATTGATCGGTATTAAACAAAATTATTGGTTTCCGAGGATGAGAAAACGCGTTTTGAACTATATTGAAAATTGCTTAATATGTCTTACCGCAAACAGTTCCTCTAATAGACTGGAGAGCGAGACTCAATTGTATCCGTTGCCAAAGTCTCCCTTAGAATTGATACACATAGACCACTTCGGTCCACTCCAGGAAACTGTAGACGGCTATAAACATATTTTTCTTGTAATAGATGCATTCATTAGATTCACGTGGCTATATGCAACTAAATCTACCGGTGCGAAAGAGGCAATGAGGCTTCTGGATAATCTGTTCTCTATTTTTGGAAAGCCAGTAGAATTGGTCTCAGGTAGAGGTTCCGCTTTCACTTCGAATGAGTTCATTAATTATCTACAAAAACAAAATATTAAGCATAGAAAAGTGGCTGTAGCGGCTCCTTGGGCCAATGGCATGATTGAAAGAGTAAACAGATTCCTAGAAACTTCTTTGACTAAGCACATAGACTCTCAAATAGAGTGGAAACAAAACTTGAGCGAAATACAATACGTTATAAACAATACGCACCATTCGACAATTAAAGCCACTCCGTCAAAACTCCTGTTGGGATACGAACAGCGTAACCATAAAGACCATGCAATAGCTCGCATCACAAAAGCCTTGCACGATGTAGATCAGGATCTAGAATCAGATAGGAGCGTTAGTCGCGATACCGCTTTACAAACGACCGATATGATTAGGAATTATAATAAAATATACAAGGACAAACATAGCATTAAACCAACAAAATATAAAAAAGGTGATTATGTGATGATCAGAAATGACCGGAATAAAGTAGGGGTGAGTTCTAAATTGAAACCTAATTATAAGGGTCCATACTTAGTGGCAAAAAGTTTGGGATCAAATCGATATGTAATAACAGACGTACCAGGTTTCAATTTGAAACAAAAACCCATGAACACCGTCATGTCATCTGACCGCATAAAACCTTGGATAAAAGTTACTTCACCTGTAAATAATTAATTTTAGAATAGTTTGCGATATTTGAATAATTACTAGTAATAAGATATTAGCATAATAAATGTAAATATTGTCGTCTATTAATTTTTGAAAAGATTGTTAACATTAAGATACCGAGGCGCACGCATACCTGCGTAAATACATATATTACTATGTAGGATAATTGTGTTAAAGCGTACGTACCTGAGTTGAATTAGTCACAGTTTAATAACAACGGTGCAAATGCAGCGCACACTCACTTACTGTAAAATATATATAAATATATTTAACTTCGGGACGAAGTTAGATGTACAGGATGGCCGAGCTGTAAGATTAGCGTGCGCATGTCTGTTACCGTTCGGTGACAGCCCGTCAGCTGCTGCCACCAATACCGGGTGTCTGTGGAGCATGCGCAGCTCCATGAGAGCGAACCACCTCGAGAACGGCGGGAGAGCCGACACTCTCCTTCGGAAGGTATAACGAACCAGACGCGTTCGGTGTACGGGAGTCTTTTTGGAATTCTTTTGTTGAAACAGTTACTTATACTTAAATATATCTGTTCTACTTTCTTTAATTCACGGTGTTAAATATTCTACTCCAATCAGTTAATTCGATCCTAATTGGTCCAATTGCTCCAAACTGCGCGCCCGCTTGCCACCTTTCCACGTCTCCTTTATTATCACTCGATATTAAACGGAAGCGCGTAAAACAATTTAAATAAGTTAAAAACCAGTAACTTACAATAACATCAATAATATTTTATTGTCTAAGAGTAATACTAATTTCTGTGTAAACTCCGTCCTACTTATGCAATTATTATTTCATAGTTAATAGATAACTTACTCGATTGTGATATTAAACTAATTTCCACGCTGAATAAGACACAGAACGTATACAGATAATATAGGATAACATCAATAATATTTTATTGTCTGAGAGTAATACTAATTATTACTCCCGTTATTTTTTATTCTGTTGAAGGCAAATATTCACAATTTACAAAAGATAAACGGCATCATGTTTATTGGACGACGCAGACATAAGTTACTTGCTATTATATAATCTCATTACTCAGAACTAATTGTATGTATTAAACTTTTCTTTGTTATACTGTACATATAATAATACAGGAAGATGCTTTATTATAGTTCCTCAATTTTTTAAAGAATTTGTTGATGAAAAATTACATGATGTCTCAAATTTCACAGAGATGATTACAGCATACAATAATATAATCATAAACATACAATTGTATATATATATATATCGATATTGAATTACAAGTTATTAAGATGTCACTTTTCAATCGTTTTTAATGGAGGAAAATTTAAAAGACTAAACGGAAAAATAAACATCGGATATTTTTTAAGAATATTTTTTTCTACACATTAATTATATGTAGTTTATAAAGTAACGAAAAGTAAAAGGTGGATTATATCAGTGTGTACTAATCAAATCAATTTTTAATTATGAATGTTTTAATCTTATTGTTTAAGAGCTATGTTATTTTGAATCTTATGTAATTTTGTATCTTTATATAAAATAAAAGAAAATATGCATAATATATCTGATTAAATTATTATTTCTCTCTGGTTATTAATAACTCTTAATATTTAAGTTTGAGTTTAAAATAAAATAGACAATATAATATATATAAATATATACATAGAGTCTTTAATTTATATATATATATTATCTATTTATATTGTCTATTTTATTATATATATATATATATATATATATATATATATATATATTGTCTTTTATATATATATTGACATCAGATTTTAGTAAATTTATAAGTTATGATGGCAATACTGCTATTACTAACATCTAGTGACACATACAGTGATGTTTTTATCGGAGTGGTCGTACAAGTACGAAGAAATTATCCTGCAAAAATGAATTTATTGCCTATATTTTCACGGTAAGTGTGTGGCTCTCTCATTTTAATTATTTATATAATATTAAAACGAATAATTTTGAGGAAATTTTTAATATAATTTAACCACAATTGTGTATCAAAAATATCTAAGTTTTAAAAATTTCATGTATAAAGATTAAATAATTATTAAATATTTCTATATTTACATTTTTTTCAGATTATCTACGCATATTATACCCGGTATTCGAAATATATCGGGATGTACTAATCCATTGTACTTCAGAGTCAGTAGTACGCTCTTGTAAGTTGTTATAATTGTTGTCAATATATTCATTGTAATTTGAAGAGTGTCAATTATGCATGTGCTATAATTATATTGTAATTTTAATTTACTTTGCAGAGGAGAACCGTTGAAAAAAAAGAAAAGGTTAGATCCTGCGATTATCAGGGCACGAGAAGACAGAAGAAAGAGAAAATTAGAAAAACAAATTCGAAGATTAGAAAAGGTCGCCAAACAACTGAAACCAATTGCTGAGATAGAAGTACCATATAAGTTCAAAGACGAAAAAGTGTACGTCTCCTTATAATATTAAAATCTTATTATTTGAAATTAATTATATGTGAAACAAAAATAATTAGTGACCTGTTAATTTTCTCTTATATATATTATAAATTAATATATATATTAATAATATATGTATACTATTATATATATATATATATATATATATATATACATACCTATAATACTAATTATAAAAATTTATTTCAGGCAAAGATTGCGACAGCTTCCATCACTATCAAAAGAAGAAACGGAATCTAGAATCTTACTACAAAAAGAATGGACTAAGTACAAAACTCAACAGCATTTAGCTGATATTCAGATAATGGATTCTATATTATATTCACAACAGAGAGCACTTGATGAACTTAGAGCAGAATCAGAAGAACTATATCAAGAAGCAATACAAGTAATTAATTATTTTTATTCAAGAAATTGTAAAATTTACTTAATTTTTGATATTAGAACTTAATCTATGATATACATCTATATATTTAGGTGGATTTAGGACTTTTACCATATACAGCCAAAGGTCCATCGAAAACACCAGCAATAGAAAATTATGATAGTCCGGATGGAGAATATACAAACGTGACTCGGAAATATGAAGGAGAAAAATGAGAATTGGATGCTGTATGAAGAATTACATTCTGTGTCAGAAAATCTGTACGTAAATAAAGCATATATTTTTAGATTATCCATTGAAATGTGGATTCACACATTTAAGAATGTTATATAAGCTTATAGGATATAGAAAGCAATATAAAGTCTAATATAAGAAAAAAGGAAAAAATATTCTTTCTTATTTTTCTTTCCTTTGAAAGCTCTATTATTCAAATACATAACAAATTATTTTAAAAAGTATCTATTATAATATATTGAGAACTTTAATAGAATAAGGATTTATTCCATCTGCTATAAATTTTGAAGAGATAGAGTTTCATTAGACTTATATCTCATGTAAGATAAATTTAAATCATAGAATTTTATTTTAGAGAAGTTTGTCTCAATATTATTTAATATTAATTGCATAAGTCATATAATTTATAAGCTTATTTTATCATGAGTTTTAAAAGATTATATAACGCATACAAAACTTTGCAACATTTTAAATTCCACTAATTCCACTATCGACAATCTTGCAAAATAATTTTTCATATTATAATAAAACTTTTTTTTAAAAAGAGAGAAGTAAGGATTAGAATAATACTTTGCGAAACACAGAAAGAATACTTTACAAATATATGTATAAACAACGCAGTTCGCAATTTTTTCTCAATCAACACTACATTAACGTTATATTAACGAAAAATAGTAATACAAAGTAAGCGTATTTCCATTCGCCAGTTACATTAAAATTACGAATTACAAGTGTCAGTTCAGCCACGAATCGATCGACATGATATAATAAAATGTATGTCCGGTATAATTCTAAGCTATCCGGTGCTGCTGATCTATATCACAGAGTAATGTATATCTCTAAAGAAACATGCATTCCGAAAGCGTTGCGAATATTATCTGCATTCTATAATATCGCAAGCTTTTTCCTTTTGCTTCCTTTTCCGGGCAATATAAGTTGTGTCCAAAAGAATTTCTCCCAACTCTTTTAGATACCGCATAAAGAATGTCATAAACCTTTTGGGCACCAACGACGTCGTAAATCTTCATATACCCAAACGTATAAGAGACGTCTCTAAATCTTTTATACATAAGCGTCATCTTAAACGTACGAGACGTTTTTTCTTCATCATCATTGACGATGTTTCTCTCGAAGCCTCATAAATCTCTGGAGAAACGATCGAAAGAAAATATTCCTTCTCATCGTTTAGTCAAATTTCAGCTCGCGCTTGCACATGGGACATTTATCGCTCGTTTTCAGGCATTGCCGCAAACAATCCGCGTGGAAGAGATGATGGCAGGGCGTTACTCTGGCCTTGGTCATCCCGCTCAAACACACCGCGCACACATCGTCGAATCTCTCGATCTCCTCGAGGGTCGCCTTCCGGTACTGATTCAACACCTCGCGTTCTCGCCTTAACACCGCGCCTGAATTCTGCATTAGTTCCTTCCACCGTAGATAGACGTTGAGATACGTGGCGATTATCAGGAACCTCCAAGAGGCTGACGGCAGCAGGAAGATACTGAAGATCGCCGACATGGCGATTGTGAAACAGCGAAGTATCACCGGCGCGTACAGATTCTCGATGTTCTCCAGCGCTTCCAACTGCAAGAAGCCTAGAATCGTCGGGAACATCTCTACGAAGACCTTCTCCGTCGACGAATAATAGGTCCATGTGATTACCGTATAGATCAACGAGGGTCTGCAAGATCATAAAACACGAAATATAATAATATAATTAGACAAATTGAATTAATTACAACAAAAAAAGACGATGATAATATTTCTTAATTGCTTCCCAGATAGCATCGTGTCCAAAATTGATAGAGAAATATATTGTATAAGATTTCTTATAAGAAATCTTTAAGATATTTTTAAGATATTTTATGATATGATATCCCAAAGACATCTTAAAAATATCTTAAAGATGTCTTTGAACAATGAAGTCACTTACTTGTAATTATCGAGGCCTTGCTCCAATCCGAAAACTAGGAGCATGAAGGTTAACGTGACGACGAATGTAACTGCTTTGGTCCACTCGAGCACGATCTTAGTGGCCGACATAGCGAGATGCTTTATCTGGGATCGTTCGGTCAGGGTGACATACGGCGACCAGTCCTCCTTCTGAATTAGCTCCTTAATGTAGCCCACGCAGTAGGCTATCACGTTGTAGAACATGAGCGTGTACAAGCAGGTCAGTCTCTGTTGCGGTAGCAGCACCTTATCGGCCAGCATCAGGAACACTATCTGATTCGCCATCACGGAGAAGTTGCACATCTTTAGAAAGAGATTCTCCGCGCGATCCACCGGAGCGTACAACCTTCTCAAGAAGCGGTTCAGGGGATGCCATGCTCTCTTGGCTCCACCTTTAACAATATCAGAACATCGCAACACTTGTGATACGATGAAAAATTTGGCTTGTTTTTGACATTTATCGACTTATATATAAGAATTTAAAAAAAAGAAGACATTTTTATAAATAATAACGCACGAGGCTGAGAAGAAGTCTTAATGAAAAGATGACAAGATTAATGAGGATCAATTTTAAATCCCTTAGAGATATCAAGATCGGAATTATAATTCGAAAATATAAAGTGCGAAACTCCTCGAATACGTATACGTTCGAGAGAAGAGAAGTATATAATCAACGTAATTTATTTATACTTTTAAATTACAACGTTGAAGAAAGTTTCTTAATAATATATACCTCCAAATTACAACTTGAGAAGCGCGCGACTCGGAAAGGGTCATTTTTTTAATCTCCCAGCTCGATATATCTCATATACGATGATGATGAAGTAACTAACGCATACAGACCGATGACTTCAATTTTCATATTGGCCTTATTCTCGCTTTTATACGTACAAAAACGTGGCTATTTATATCTACCGGTCGGCAAGACCATCTTATACAGACGATCGAAGCGAGCGATCGGTAGTTTAATCGACAATATATTTTCAGGATATATACACATATCGAGCACACGACGAAGGAGCAATTCTCAAAAGTCACATCCCGCAGAGCGGCTCCTGGTCGATCGAACAAAAACCGTTTATAGCCGTCCGCGTAATTATCAAGGAAGATTATCGTTATAACGCTTATGCGGAGGCGAGCAAAAAAGAGACGCGCAGACACGCGACATCTCGTTATTATTATGCGCAAGAACACATTGATATGCGTTCGCCGCGAAGAGAGATCCTCCTCCGTTCTTTCTCATCGTCATTCCCACTTCTTCTCAGGGAGGAAAGAGAGAGAGAGAGAAGTACGCAAAGTACGAACGCGTGAGTGATTTTCCGGAGGTAGACTCGAACGGCGACCGACCAACTAACCAACCCCCCCGTTAGGGGTTCCATACGGAGGATGACAAGTTGCTGAATAACGTGACAGGGCGTGCTTTTAAACGTTAATAATAATCGCGAACCTGTTACCAGCTGATGCTGATATGTACGAACACGCGAAAGAGAGACGGTCAAAGAGGGAAAGAGGTGGCCCTCCCTCGGTCCACCGTTAATTGAGTATAACGTAATCGACGTGGCTTCGATGAATGATCGACTTCATTTTTAGTAACGAGTCCGAGAGCGAGAGAGCATTTGCATATTAATGGACATCAGTCAGGACGAGTCACCGACGACGTGGCGGCAGGACGAGACAGGAGGGACACTTGCTGAGGAAGCGACGGAGGAGGACACGGCTATACGTGGAACCGATATAGGATCCTTTCACATAGCAACCGAAGGATGACCCACCCACCTCCCTTCGCCGATATCGTCGATATCAGGACGAAGAGGGCTCTCTGGTACCTATAAAACTAACGGTGCCCGGTCTCCGGTCGAGCATTGAGCGACTTGGCGTCCGCGAGAAAGGAATCATCGATCAGAAACGAAACGACATTCAGCACAAGCAGCAAGAGGTGACTCCAGAGTCCAGGTAAATTATATACTGACGATTTACCGTGACCTACGATAAGGGGGCCGCGCCAATTTCGCGTTTTTTCAGATTGCAGATTAGAATAGATCGCTTCCCTAACAGCACACATATCCCGAAGACGTTCAGAGAACATCCCGAGGATGTTTGAGTATCTTCTAGATATCTTCTGAATCATCTTCTGAATCATCTTTCGGATATGTTGTGCTATTAGGGTTGTTGTAGAATTAACGTCCGAGAGGCAGCGAGATTTTTGTCGCATCATTTCGGCACGGCTAGTTTACTCTTTTTACAGTATTTATACTGTAAATTAAAATCCGAGAGGCAGCTACACTTTTTGTCGCATTATTTTGCATGGCTAGTTTAGCCATTTTTACAGTATTTATGCTAAAACATAGCAAAATGGCTATTAACTGCTCTATCATGTGTTCAGGTCCCGATGATACAGTCTATGAAATATGTAAGAAATAATCATATACTTGATATAAATAATCATATACTGATAAAAATTAGAACTATTATTAGAGCGCCGTATTTCAATGGTATTGTTAGCGTAACCATAACGATGGTTTTATCATGTTGTAGTATAATGTACTATTTTAAATCTCTCTGTAATCAGTTAATGTTGAACAGTTATAAATATAGATTCTTTCTTTCTAATATGTTGAGGATGTAAAGAATTTTTAATGCAAAATATTTCTTAAAATTATTGTATTGAAGAAGACAGTTGTACTGTCGAAATGTTTACATGTTTATTTAATTGGTTTCCCAACTGTTGGATTAATTTTATTATTTTTTTATTATTTTATTATTTTTTTGTATGCCTGTAATAAAGAATCTTGTATTTGAGTTTCATATACTTGACTTATATCGGCAAAGTTTTTAGAAATATAATAATATAAACTTTTAGAAACATTTTAGTTTACTGTGTACTTAAGAAAAATGCAGTCGCCATCTTTTATCTTCTGTCCGGAACGCGTCAGCTACGTAGGTTAAAAACATGTAATTAGTTAACTTATATTGATAAAGCTGACATTTTTTAAAAATTATAGTTTAATGCATAAAATGTAAGAAAAACGCAGTCAGCCAGTCATCAGTGTTCAAACGTCTAACCGCGCTGCATCTTTAGACGTTTGAATTTTCCGACAATGACTGACCGCATCTTTCTTATAATTTATGCCTTAAACTGTAATTAAAAAAAAATTGTTTAGCTTTACCGGCATCAACTGATTACATTTTTTAAAAATATGCGTTGCTATGATGCTGATTAGGAGATAAGATGGCTGACTGCATTTTCTTACATCTTATACATCTTAAACAAATATATTATTACTTTTTACATATATGTTCATTTTAGACTTTATCGGGTCCTGAACACGTAGTGGAACAGCTGATGGGTCATTTTGTTATGTTTTAGCATAAATATTGTAAAAAAAGATAAATTAGCTATGCAGAAATTGGCATAAAATTAGGGCCCCTGTCTCCTGGACTATTACTGTGTGTCAAGTATATACAATTATAAGGAATTTTATTCCATTATATCTCGATTTATCATTGATGTTTTGCGAATACCAAATACTGCGACACTACTATCGTGTGATGTTAGATTATACTCTGAAAACGAGTATTATTTATTCATATGATTTAAAATTGGATATCTAGTATTTAAATATTTTAGAGAAAAAGAAATTTCAGAGAGATTATTTTTTATTTATAGATTTACAATTTTTTAATTCTATCTAATAATTACAAAATTATTTAATCTTTTTTAAATAATTTTATATAAAATTCTATAATTTAACCGAGTGTCAAAACTTACGAGTAGAGAATATACTAATACTACTCGTCAATAACTAATTTTCAATTTAAAAATGAGAGCAATAAAATGTTTGCGCACTACATGTAGAATCTTTTGCACTACACATGTAGAATCAAAAGATTAAATCTAAATACAGAATAATCATCTCTAGAAATATTTTTTCCTCTAAAATAATAAATAAAAAGCTGCAGTATAAGACTAAAATCAAGAAGTGGAAAGAAAGAGAAAAGGAAAAATTCTCAACAAAATGTTAAAATATATCTATACTGGTCGTTAACAATTAATAATATTAATATTTAATTAAAAAAATGAGAGCAATAAAATTTTTGCACGCTATGTAGAATCAAAGAATTAAATCTAAATACAAGATAATCGTCTTTAGGAATTTTTTTCTGAAATAAACAAAAGGTGCATTAAAAATAAAATGAAGAAGTTAGCATTAAAGAAAGAATAAAGAGAAAAGGAAAAATTCAGGATAATGTTAAAATATATATGTCTTGTTATACCTTTGATCGCTTCGGCGAGAGTCTTTAGAGTCGGGACCGGGTACCTGTAATTCGCGCTTAAGACCACTGGTAATACGAGAGCTGAGTATAATACTGGCGCAGGCGATGGTAAAAGCGGCAATGGACTGCGTGGACAGTAGGGCAGAAGAAGAACCGCGCTTAGAAGGCAGACACTTTGCGCTGTCTTTTCCTTATCAACTGTCAGCGAGTTTGCGCGGACGCGGCGTCTTACTCGCGCTATCATGCCCATCTCGAGAAGTCCTCCTGAAAAATTCACGAAATCTCCATTAATTTACGTCTATCTATTAATATATTCTCTCGTGAAAATTTGCATTGAATCTCAAAATCGATAAAAGTTCTTATTCGAGATGTCGCTCGTTCAAAACGGAATATTATTAGATCAGAAAAGGAGACTCTAATTAGATAGAATTTTTGGGGAGGAGATAGATATCATAGTTTGAAGAATGAAAAAAAATATCAGGCTACAAGATAAAAATGGTCGAAATAAATATTGTATCGCTAAGAATTTCGATTAATTAATTTCAAAAATCAGTTTCAATTAATCACGCATTTATAGTCTCTGTTAATTGCTTAATGACAAGTTCGAGATGCCAAAATAACTACATTGAGTTGAAGTCACTATTCAGGTTCGCCAAAAATCGTTCGCGCGACTTGCTCTTGGCAAGTTCTCTACTTAGATCTTTAAGTCTTCTGCATCTTTGTGCTTCTTGCTTCTCTATATTGGACGCTTCAAACTATTTTTGACTGCAAAAAATTCTCTTCTCACAAAGATTCTCGCAAAGATTTATCTTTCTCCCTCTCTTGGAAGAGAAAAGCAGTGCTTCCGTTTTACGTTCACGATTTACACCATCTTTCCTCCTGTATGTTTATTCAAAGTTTGATATGCATGGCGTTTGTTGCTCCTCGAGTCAGGGGCCATATATATTTTTCGACGTCTGTGGATAACCGAAACGATAATCAAACAGTTCATCTTTTTTCGACCTATCTATCCTCGATACGCGCAAACCCATCTATCTTTCTCGAAAAAAAAAGATTACCCGGCTATAAATCGCAAAATTGTCCAACACCTGTTAACTTAATTGCGGTACTTTTTTTACAATTTCAAAAATAAATTTTTTTTGACCAATTTTTTTATCCATTATGAAGTTTATTTTTTTAATTTTTATTTGTTACATTATAATTGATTTTTAAATATATATTATTTACAAATCAGACTTTTTTTTCTCTCCTCTTTGAATTATCGTGCACGTTGCAACATTCGCGGTAATGCATGTTGAAAGACACGCGATGTCAGATGATTCGATGATGATCACATGTTAGAAAATGGCGAAGACAACGTGGCACATTTGGCGCAAATTTTGGAAATCGCATTTTGTGGTTAACAACAATATATCTTGGTACAGGCAAAACAAAATTTCCGTGATGTCAATGGTCAATGGTAAACATGTTTATTTGACGAATTTGATTCATGAAAATCTGAAAACAGAAACATGTGCGTCAAGAAAATACTGATCTCAAGTCATTAACATATAGCGAAAGCGCACGTCACAAGTCGCAATGAAATCTGAATTTTATAGGTAAAAACAGGAAGAGAGATTGCAAATTCTATATACATACTTAAGGCTTTTATTTTTATTTTTACTAAAAATTTAAAAACATTTATTCTCCATTTTAGAGCATATTTATTTATTTATTTATATTTAAATATTAAAATATATGTCTACTCGATTGTTATTCCATATATATATATACATACATATATCGAAAGCTGTATGAAGTAAATAAGACGCAGAATCAGATACCGCATTTAGCTCAAAACATATGATGGAAACTTCTAAATATGCAATCATCGCAGGTCCGGTGCAATCGGTCTCATGACTTCCGATACACGTGTCTATTTTTGACTTTTCATTAAATTTTTTTTCGAATAATAATTTATCATTTTTATCAGTTGACTTTAATTAACTATTTTTGATCTTATGCTTTATCAAGATTTAAATCACTACCACATAAAAGAGAAAGGGTTCAATCTACGTTCAATGATACAAAAATTATATAATTATAAAAGAATGCTATAATTGTTTAATACTTTAACAAATACAATTTTAATAACAAAATTTATAATAAATGATTAAAAATGTTATTTTCATTATTAAATTTAATAACAAATTTTAATAATATATGTTCAATTGTTAGAGAATAAAATGTCGCTGATACTCACTCTATCAAACTACGATAGAAAAAGTGTATTCAACTCTTCACAAGTAACTCGCAAACTCCGAGAGTACCGGAGGAATTCCTCGCACTCCCTCTCTCAGAATCCGAGTTCACTTTCGCGTCTCTTCAGGATCTCACTGTGGAATGAATATGCCGCCGCCGTTTGTTAGATCGCACACGTCCAAAACGAATGCTAACTGGTACGATACTGACTACCCTGTCAGTCTTTGTACCAGCGAAGCAACGAGACACGGGGCAGAGTGTGTGCGTGCGTATGTGCATGTGACAGAAAACGAGAGAGCTAGGGAGGAGAGAATGGCGCAAGAGAGGAGAAACGCGACGATCGTTATAGAAAAACGAGAAATAGATCGAACAAAGGGAGGCGAAATAAAATTCGAGAGAAAAGCTATATGTATATATAGAGGTAAAAATAGGAGGTAAGATAGAGGAGATGGATGAAGAAGAGGTGCAAATAGGAGGGAGAATTTTGGCATTGGCGTTGAGCAACGCAAATTTCTTCGGCTATTCTTAGCGAACAGAGGCGCGATGATGTCGCGTCGGACGCGTTTTCCGATCTGCGAAAATTCCCTCGCGGATTTTCTCGATGTATCATCTCTTCGTGTAGAATGCTGATGCGTCTCTTATGTTCCGAATGAGTGACGAACACGCAGCTTCTATATGAGACCATTCACGTTTTCGGCTTCCTATAGATTACGAGCTGTCAAAGTGAGCTGTCAAATTTTCGAGAGTCCCATATATTTCAAAATTATTGTAATATAAGTGAATATTTTCTATAGATTGATCTTCTTATTTTTCTCTTATATTATACACACATCGAATTTTCTCTTAGAATTTATCCTGAAAATAATGGTAATCGTGGGACAATAAGTATTGGAAACATTTTATAAGAGTTTCTCTGATTAAATATTTACTACAATAAAAAATATTAATATCCATCACAATAAAATATAAAATAAGTTCGATTAATTTTACTATGTACATAGTAAATAATATTTTTTATTGTGGTAAAAATAATTGGAGAAATTCTTAAAAAATTCTCCCAATACCATATTGAATCATTCCAAGATTACTATTATTTTCAGGGTAAATTTTAAGAGAAAATATTCTCCGTGTACATCTTAATCCATCGGGTTGGTAAAGATCATTTTATGAAATGATGCAGTCACTAAAAATCTTATATCTATTTTATATTCTATTAAGCAAAGTTATGACCTTATATTTTCTTATCTTATACATATAAATTTTACATCATTTCGCTATCTCATAAATAACACAAAAATTTTATCGAAAAATATTTCAGAAATTTTATTACTTTTGCTTCAGTTTAACATCTAAAATTATCGACAAAATATATATCTCAATACTCGTTATTTACATAATTCCTATTATAATTGTTTTACTCTATAACATTGCAAATATTTATATTAAGCACACATAAAATAATGATATGAAAATTAATGCGGTTGCATAAAAGAACTGTTAAATTACTAAATAATTGCGAAATTATTTCGCTGTATTAAATTTGAAGGAATTAATATCTGCGAGGCATCAATGAGAATTCCGCGCGCTGAATTTCATTGTCTGGCGATGAGCGTCATTCACAGACGCAGAAAGCGACGATTATAGCTGATGATTCCGCTGGTTCCTAGTATCCCGGTGATTGCGTAGTGACTATTGACAATTTTCACGTGAGACTAATTTCGATGTCACGAAAATAAACAGTATAGTTAAACAGTGATATATATATATATATCTATACAATAATATTGTTTTGCGCGGGAGTTTCTTAAACGTGGGACGTGTCGCATACCATGATGATGATGATGATTCCGATTCGCGATTTAACATAAAGTTTGCATTCGTAAAATAGAATTGTTCGACTGCTGATGGTATTAATTTCTTATCTTTTCGATATAATATATTATCAATGAAAAATTGTAAATCTGGGTCCGCGATCCTCGGAGATGCATATTTCACGTGTCATTGACCCGATTCTCGTGGTATACGCATGTTTTCGCTCGGATCGAGGGAGAGAATCGGCCGTCTGGGAAGCTAATTTTACGTCGTCTCGCGGCGAGTTTAGAAAGACTCGCAGTCACGCACAGTGACCCACAATAAAGACGTAACGTCGGTCTCCGCAGAAATAATCGTCGAAAAAAAATATATCTCCGCGATTGTGCGGGGGAACAAAAGATTGTCGAATATTGAACCATAAATCGTGTATAGTTGCGCCGGATCCGCGCGAGACAAAATATTTTGCAAGGCGCCAGTCGTAATCTGCATTTCCGTTATCTTATTGTAATGCGATTTTTGCAAAAACATTGCCGATTGCGCACACTCTTCGACACATCGTTGCTACGTGCTCTTAGAATCCCTACCCTAAACACCGCGTTGATACACAATAATTCATTACTATATTCCGAAGAAAGGCTCGCGTGAAAATTATATAATGATATTGTGTCGCAAAATCAAGCATGTAACTCACGAATATAGAAGCCTTGAAAAGCTCAGGAGAAGATAATTACGAAATTACAAGGTCCGAATCAGTATCGTTAGATTCATATATTTATTGTATTTTTCCAGAGCAAAGTCTCTTCGCAACATTTATATGGCAAAATGAGATTACTTTATTTTTTGGAGCGACTTCCCGAAAATAATAGGCTACATTATATAGATAAGAATGTCTGCAACAATTGTACAAAATGCCAGACGAAAAGAGAGATTATGTGTAACAGTATGAGATAAAAAAAGAAATTCTTTTATTATTACACTCGCGTTTACAATAAAACGTAAAGGAGGCCGCGAGATTCGCGGTCTATCAATGCTGAGTCAGCCACCAGCAGTTTTCTTGTTTTTGAACGAACATTCATAGGAAGTCGTATACTTAGGAGGGAAGAAGGGAAGCCTTGTTCGGCGGAAAGTGGATCATATGGCCGTGTGAGATGTTTGTGTTTATTATTTTTAGTTTAGTACAATCAGACAAAAGCACAGAAGAGATTTGCTTGTTATTTTTATTTCGAGAAACGATGCGCTTTTTCGATCAATGAACCCGCGGAATTTAAAAACTCCACCTCTATTTAGCGCCGAAGATTCTGCAAGATCATTTAATTATGACTTTTTTAATTTAAAAACATTTTTTATTATAACTTATAAGCATAAATGAGACGAGTACAATCAAACCGCAATCAATGCATAATATTACGATCTTGTTCCTCATCTGTCTGATACGACTTCCGCACTATCGCAATTTGCATATAGAATATTGCAATATATATGCCGAGAAAAGAAACTAATCGTATTAAAATATATATTATCACTTTATTTATTTATTAACATCCAATAAATATCGTTAATTAAAATATATCTTATCTCATATTCTTACTCACCAGCATGGTATAAGATCGCAGAAGTTTTCCAGCTTAATCCAGACGCAACTTTTCTGATTATGTATTTTCAATTTATCTCGAACGGATTTTCCTCGTACTACATTCGAAGTTTATCTCTGCGCAGATTTAAGAGGAAAATAATTGTTTTCGAAATTTGATCCGACAGAACAATTTCGCTAGACGCGAGGATTCGCGAATTGCATCGGGTCGGGATGTGCGAGCGCTTCTCCTCTCATTATCAACGAATTGGTTCAAGCCGGTAGTCTTTGCCCCCGACTTTGGAGTCACGGAGGCTGCCGCTAAATCGTTTCGCTATATACGGAGTGGGGATCCTTGATGTGGGGCATCAGTTTTGCCAGTTTAATTCGCGAGACGAGGCGCGAACGCTTTTCCGCGACTCTCGCATCGCGGTTGCTGCCGATTTAATTATCATCATCATCATCATCATCATCATCATCATCATTATCATCCTTTATCATCATTACAGCCTGATTTAGTAAACATCATGGAATATCGAAGACTTGTATTTACAGAATATCGTTATGGAAAAATTCATTAAGATCGCTAATGATTCTTCGCACGATCGCTAAGCAAGGTGCCCAAGTTAGAGACTGAAGTGTGTGTGGTGTTCCTTCTCTCTCTTTGACGAGCTCATTACACGATATAATTACGTATATATAGGTACCTTATATATCTGATTTATAATAGCAGTACGTGATATACTGGCGATGAAAAATCGACTCGGAAACACGGTGGTGTCGACGTTTCCTGGATGTTTGATATTTCCGGATCGACATGTAGTGAACTACTTTGCGTAATGCCAAGACATTGAAGCGGGGTGATTGAACTCGGTAAAGATAATTGAAAAGATAATTGAAAAGATAATTGAGAAGATAATTCGCGCATCTATTGGGATAATTGGGATTTTACGAGATACTTTTATTAGAACCCAATTGCATCTTTTTTTTTACAAAACAGTCTATTCGTCATTCTATGTTATTATTGAATCTTTTCTACAACATATTAATTTTTATTAAGTTGTAAAGGCATATATTATTAAATTAATTAATGAAACTCAAGGCTATGTTAAATTGTATAAATACTGAAAGTAACGTTTTGATAGAAACATCAGAAAATTTATAAAATTTTTAATAATAATTATGCAAAACATTATCACAAATAGCAGAAGTCGCATGTAATATTAATATATTTTTATAATCTCTATTTAACATAAATTTTCTCTTTTTCTTTTTTGCTTATTTCTTTTTCACATTTATGCTCCGTCTTTAGAAACACCATATGTATTCATTAAAATTAATCGTAAGAATCGTTTGCCTTACCCTAGTGAGAAAGTTAATATCAATTCGATGTCGAATCAATCGATATCAATGCTATCAAAATGACACATTGATATGTCTAAATATTAGAGGAACATTGATGCAGTTTTAAAAAATTTCTATCTTTTTTCGATGTACTCTGAAATAATCATAAGTATTTGGTTTGATAAGTTTTATAACAAATTTTCTAAAATTTAGCGTAATTAAACGCAAGAGTACTCATTGGATTAGTTTTTTTATTGGATAGTCATTAAATTGACGAGAGATTTCCATAGATAAAAAAAAAGATAAATAAATGACATGTGAAGAGATAATAGATATAAATGATATAATTGCATTTCTTGAAATAAAAATTACCGATTAAAATTTCAGACGACTTTATATAAAATTTAGCAGTAAAAAAACATTAGGAGTCAATGCATCTCTGTTTCAGACCGGCGAATCATCATGCTTACTTTCCAATTTACTCACGCGATCGCCTTTCTGGCCACAATCTTCCTGTAAGCATTGTAAACGAAATGAATGACAGAGATAAAGTCAGGGTTGGGTAATAACTAGTTGATTTAAAATGTATTAATTTTCAACTTCAACTAGTCTGAATACTATTATTGTTTTTTTTATAAGTTATAAATGTATTATTGTTAAATTAAAGCATTATTAATTTTTATGTTCATTTGTCATTAATGGTAAGTATAAAAAAAAAATATATTTTATAATATAAAAATAAAAATTTCTTTGTTATTATAAATTTTGAAAGAATTAACAAACAAAATTCTAATATCTAACATAAATAATATTTGTAAAAATGAACTTTTGATTTAACTTCAGTTATAATTTAATCTTAACTTAACTTTAACTGATTGTGAGTTAATTTTTTGTTCATACAACTTTGAAATTAATTTTACAAGCAACTTAATTTTCAAAAAATCATTAACTTACCCAACCCTGGATAAAGTCTTACATAAATTCCAATTAATGCGATCTTAATACAATATTTTAGAATCGGCAAGTGCTACGCTCATCCCACACTCCAGCGGCAAGAGGTGAGACCGTTGTGTGTGGGCTGCGGCAACGATTGTGATAAATGCGAGTTTGGTTTCGCAATATCGGCTCTCTGTGGTATCGCCGAATGTCGACGAGTAAGTAACAACATCGATTACACAATTGCATAATTGTATGTGCGATATGTGCATTTTCATAACAAAAAATCATTCTGAAGAATCTCGCCAAACTAATCTTGGAATTGACGTTCAACTCTAGAAAGCTGCACTAAATTTCGAGGTTTATTCATTCGCAGGACAGAAACTCATATTGATTTTTTTAATATATATATTTTTTCTATTTATTTTATATATATTAATCTATTTTTTTCTTTATATGTCCTTTTTTCAACTAGCTGTCCTTTAGATTTATTCATTTTCTCAAATTTTAATTTTGTCCTTCATTTTAAAATTTTGTCCTTTATATTCTAATTTTATCTTTCATTTTTTACTTAGTATTTCAAATGTCATACTAACGTTTGAACTTTTACGAAAACATTTGACAAATGTAGTTTCCTGCAAGAGAGCGACATGAGTTATTTTTAATGAGTTTCAAACTAAGGGCCAGTTTCACCATTTCCGATTATCTCAATCGACTGATTAAATTCAAAAATTGCCAACTTAAAACTGATCAACTTTATCTACATTTATAATAAGATATCTGTACTTTGCAGTTGGCAATTCTTAAATTTAATCGGTCGATTGAGACAATCGAAGAATACGTGATAGAATCATAATTATTTTTTTTTGCTTACTAATTTCCAGTTTAAATTTGAATGTAGAGGATTTGGAAACATGTAAAAAAAAAACAAAGCCCTAAAAATTGTCTTTTATCTTCTCTTTGAAAAAATGGTCACCGCATCGACGTCTCTCGTTGGATTAATTTCTGTTTGAAAAATACGAGAAGCGAAAGACTCTTTTCCCGTCTTATCGGCCTCGTTTTCTAGGGCCCCGGCCAGATTTGCGGCGGTCCGAGCGAGGCCTGGGGCGTGTGCGGCGACGGATTGATCTGCAGTTGCAACCGATGCGCGGGCTGCAGTCTGGACTCCCTCACGTGCTTCCCGAATCCTTGCCTGCCCCATCAGAGCCTGGAGTCGCGGAGCCATCATCTCGAGATCCTCGACAGATTTCCTCTCGACAGAATTGCCAAGTAAAAACGGAAACCCAGCCCGCTCCGGATAAACGAAAAGGATGACGGATATGGATGGATGGGACGACGAATGCGAGAAGCGAATGAGAGAGAGAGAGAGAGAGAAATGCGGATATATATTAACGATTTTCCGAATTATTTATTGCATTTCACGATACGTGTATAATCCCATTAGGTATCTACGATTGTGATAGACAACTCGTCGGGGCCCGGGTCTCTGTTTCCTTCCCGCGAAACGACGGAGCCCCTGTCCGTGTTTAATGGCATTTCTGTGATTTTTTAATTACTGTGTTAATTAATGAATTGTCGCGCTCTTATTCCACGCACGCCTGAATGAAACGCGGATGCGCGCGCGTGTGCGAGCGTGCGTCGCCGGCTAGCTTGATCTCGTGAGATACTCGAATGAATCATCGCGCATGCTTCTTGGCTGTGAATCGCATATATCTCTCGCGGATTACGCGCGCGAGGCGATGACTGGGTCCTCGATGTTCCCATGCGAATCCACCGTTTCCGCCGAAAATCGAGAGTGTCAATCGAAATGCACAATACACGGGAGAAAATGTCGCGGATAAGAAGAGGATTCTCCGTGCTGATCGTTCGATATTGTGGAATCGAACAATTTCCTCCAACTCTTTACGCACTCGATTTCATATATATTCGATTTTCAAATTAAATTTTTTTAACATTCTCTCCCCCAAAAATAACGCGCGTTTAATTAGACAAATATATGATTAACATGTCATTATTGCTTCTTTAATAGACTATTATTAATATTTAATAAAAGAGAAAAAGTGTACTATTATTTTGTTATTTTTTTTATAATTATCCGTTGGTGTCTTAAAAATGTGATAAGTATATTTTACGTAGCTCTCGGTATTTTTGCGGAGACCGGCCGTGAATGTTTGGTGAACGCCACCCTATATAACGAACAACAAAATAAAATTGGCTGCATTCATATGCACATTATTGATATTGACTTCTTCTTACCTTGTTCCCTTACTCAAATAACTTTGTTTATGTTTATTCCGCTCTTAAGCGGAATTAGTGTATTTTTATTCCCAATAACAGATGAGATAAAATTGTTTCTTCATGATGATAAATGAGATAAAATGATTTGTTTACAATGGTAAATGAAAATAACTTTTATGTTTCTAACAACGAATTCATTTTTTTCTTATTTCCTAGATTTCTTATGCGCGTAATTTGTTTATTTAAATAAATTTTTTCCATTACATGCGTTTCGCAAATTTTGTTAAGAAAAAGCTAGAAAATATGACTCATCACTGATATAAAAATTGAAAGTTTTATCTCGAATTTCGAAAATTGCATACCTCTTTTTTATAATCAAATGTTGTCATACAAAAATTACAAGCTGTTTTTCTTTTATCTGATAATAGCTTTCTCTCATTTATTTTTTACCTTGAATTAACAAATGTGTTGACATGTTAAAATGCACAAATATGCATATAATGATTTTGTTTGCAATCAGTTAAAAAATATCACACGATTGCACTGTTTTGAATAATATAAAACATACTCACTATTAAAACGGATTTCCATTCACAGTTTTTATAATTTTCATTTATATTAGACGTGCTAAAAAATAATTATAAAGATTAAAGGTTTATACAATAAATCAAAACAAAATTGTGAAATATAATGCAAGTATATAGTGACAAATAGTATATGTACATCTATACACTACTCATACAAATAGCAGATATTATTTATCGACAAGATTTACGTAGATACGAAAAATTACGGTACAGAAATATTATACAGAATATCTTCAACTTGCATTACTCAAATTATCGTAATTAATACTTTAATTACATCGCAATAAAAATAACAAGAACATATTTCAATAGATCCACATAATCATTTAACTATAACTTCTATCGCATACATATGCCTATTAATTGCTTTCTTAAAGCAACGTCTTCTTATTGCTTCTGTCTTCGTCACCATCATTATATGAAAGTCGTAGAAAAAATTAAGTATAAAGATTGTTACAAAACAATGTATCATTAGTTATCATTCAATAATTTTCGAGATGGTATTCGACAAATTTCACGAAGTTTGAGTCCAAAAGTATACAATGTCCCAAAAATACATGTCAAGCATCGTGAAGATCCGTGATTGGCCTAATTAAAAGATGTTTCTTCGACACTTTCAATCCAATTCCGCGATTTCTTCCGAAGTATACGAACGAATCCACAGATTACTGAAAAAAAAACGACAGATGGTATGAGAATAAACATATCGAGATAGTCGAGAGATGCGTGCCAGAGAATTCGGTGCTCAGAATTTAAGGGTCAAGGGCTCGGGGCGAGCTCGGTGTTATATTTAAACCGCGTTTGTAAAAGCCACATCCGAGTAATGAGATGTCACAGATGCACACATGTCGCAGCTGTTTACATTTTCCTTCTGCAGTTAATGACTGCTTGATTAATATTAGCACGCAATCGTCACGATCATCGCGAGCTGTTACGCTTCAGAGATAGAGTCTATAGAAAACAATGTTTTTATTTCATAAACAGAGCTCGTTATACAGTCGTGTAATGCCTGAATAAAAGAAGATATATTAGATAATGTTAATTATGTGACAAACAACTATTCTCTCTCCTGGTGAACAATTCTCCATTATTTCAGATAATTACTTCGATACAAGAAATTGATACATTCATTATTTTTCATTAATAGCAGGTGAAAAATATATTTTAAGTATCTACTCAAAAACCATACTAAAAAACAATATTTTGATAACAAAAATTGGTTAATCAATATATAGGAATTAATTTCATAATAAAGAAAATTTAGACATCTATAATTATGATAAAAATATATAATTTATAGCAAGCAGTCATAATATTATATACAATATACATCAAAGCATACACAGAGAGAATTTTATCTTATTGTTAGAATTTATCCTGATAATCATGGAACAATATTTTCTAATTAAATATTTTTATATCAAAATAAAAAAATTAATATCTACCACAATAAGATATATGAAATATGTTCGATTAATTTTACTATGTGCATATTAATATTTTTCGTTGTGGTAAATATTAATCAGAGAAACTCTACTATATATTATATATATATTGTCCCATAATTACCATGATTTTCAAAGTAAAAAGATTCAAAGAAAAAATTCTCTCCAAGAATTCTTCTTTTACTGAATTTCGCAACAAACACATAATCATAATATTAGTGTAATCACAAGCTAAATAAGAAGCACCTCTTGCATACATCGACGCTACATGTGATCTCTCGTCCGACCGGAAGAGATCAGCCTTACTGGCCGTTCTGCTTCAGCAACTTCCGCGTCCTGAAGCCGCGGAAACCGGCCTGGATCCTCGTCGCCGCGGCTTGAACCGCCTGTTGCCTCTTCCGCACCAGGTAGCCGCGAATACCCGCCTGGATCTTCGTCGCCGACTTCTCTTCGAGTGCCTCCCGGGTGTTCTGTCTCTTGAAAGGATCCTTCGACTTCGGCAGATGCTCCTGCTGCTGCTGCTGTTGGTTCTGCTGCTGGTTCCGCTGATCCGGATGCTGCTGCTGCGACTGACGACGACGTTGCGTGGTCTCCTTCATCTGTTTGCGCACGCGATATCCGCGAAAGTTGGCCTGGATCTTCGTCGCTGCCGTGTTGGCCTTCATCGCGTCGGTCTCCTCCTTAGAAGTCTGCGACATGAAGGGACTTTTGAGACGATCGCGCGAAGAAGCTTCGTGTCTCTCGATCGTTAATAATATAGGGTATACGTCGATCCGAATTTCCTTAAGTTTTTCGCCGAGATTGCAAAGATCCTTTCCAAAGAGGTAGGAGTATCTTCGGCTAAGCGATTAAAAATTATTCTCGATTGCTTGTGAGAGCGCTTCCCAAGGAATAATTTCAGAACTTTTCCTCTGGCAAATCGGTCAGAATTGAATCAAGAAAGTTGATAAATTACGGGATGAAGATCTCCTAGATTATTCTTGAAGATTTATCTTAAAAGGCAAACTGGATAATCGTGAGAGCGGAATATTCCCTCGATTGCTTATTAATCCACCAGGAAAAGTGGGACAAGCTTCAAGATACTTTCATTAATTGTTTCAAAATATCGATCGAGAGAGCAGCCTCTCTTCCTTTCTGAAAAATCTTCAAGAAGATTCACCTTAATTAATATTTCCCCGAGTGTTTTAAAAATTGACTTGAAAAATCCTAATATTTATTACGATTAAATGCAAGAAAAATTGCGAAGGAGAAAATCTCGGGAAAATAGGAGTCTCCATAGAGCGGATCGATCGATCAGATCAATTGATCTTCAGCGATCCATAAATATCGATTCGGGAGAGAAAAACAGAGAGTTTCGAAATCTTTCCGATGTTTCCAGATTGATGCGTAAATAAACGAAGACTGAATTTTTCACGGGGAAAAACTCGAAGACGCGAACGATCGCTCTTCCGGGTCCAGCACTCTCGCTCACTTCCGATCTCTTCTCTTATCGCGCGTCCTCCTGACTACAAGCGTATTGGGAAACTGACGCACGTAACGGATCCACGACAAAGAGTCTCGACGATCGCGTTTATCCATCCCGAACCCAAGGATGGATCTATCGCGCATGCGTTCTGCAATGATACCTCGCTGCGAAAGCTCTCATTTTCCGCACCGTCAATCGCCTTATGTCTTATTCCGCGCGTCCGCGAGAGGATGTTTAATTTCGTGCAAACTTGGCAGAGCATAAGCACAGATCTTCTCAATAATCGCGGCTTTGTACTTAAACAATAGCTAAAAATGAGCATAATAGTTCATTATTAATCGCTTATGGATAAGATTAAAAATTATGCAAAGCAAACTTTCACATTAAAGTGTGCCTCGAATCGTTACTTTCCGAGAGAGAGAGAGAGAGAGAGAGAGAGAGAGAGAGAGATCATTTCCATTTAATTTATATATATTTTGAACAATTTTATTTTATATTTTTATCTGTTCTAGTTATTTTATATTCTCTTTATAATTTAGAGAAAGTATTACAAAATTATGTTCCATTGAAAGATCTTCGTGCATTGCATGCATTAATTTTATACATCAAGTATCGAAATATTCTGATTATAATTTTACTTTAATTTTATTTTATTCCCATAATTAACGACTCGTTTTGTCAAAATTAATTTAACTTATGAAACTTTAAATAATATCATTTAGAGAAAGTAAAAAATTACACGTAGAATATTTCCATTAAAGATCTTAAAATATCTTCGTGCATTGCATGCATTAATTTTATACATCAAGTATCGAAATATTCTGATTATAATTTTACTTTAATTTTATTTTATTCCCATAATTAACGACTCGTTTTGTCAAAATTAATTTAACTTATGAAACTTTAAATAATATCATTTAGAGAAAGTAAAAAATTACACGTAGAATATTTCCATTAAAAGATCTTTGCGTTACATGCGTTATATTTTATGCATCAAGCATCGGCAATTAAAGATTTTTGCGTTACATGCATTAAATTTTACGCATTTTTATTCTCATTATAATTTTTATTTTAATTGATACGTTTTTTTCCGACAATTACACTTTTGCTTGATGTTTCTGTCAAGAAATAATGAAGCAATTTAACTTACGAAACTCTAAATAACACCATCTGGATCGTAATACATCATTGAAATATTTTTATTCCACCACTTGTGACTTGATTGATGCACCGAGTCAGAAAGGTCTGTATTAAAGAGGGGCCTCGCAAAGTGTCCGTAATACATCGCCCGGGCACAGCGTCAATTTCGGTCTCGTGAGTGCGGTCGACACGCGCGTCACAGTAAATTCGTCGTCCTGAGGCCTGATATACGCTGATTGATGATTGATGGTCGCGAGAATGTCGACGAAAGTCCGCGCGCGCGCGCGACCAAGAACATTCCAATTTGTTTGCGTCCGCCGTTTGATCTCGGGCGCATATATTCGCGTATAACTCTCATCCTCATCATCACGAAAATATACTCGAACGCGATATACGTCGTTCGATCGACCGCGCCGGCTCGAGCCGGATCGATAACGATCCCGCCAGTAAATCTCAGCATATTCGCGTCATATCGCATACACGGAGAGAATTTTCTCTCGAAATTATACCCTGAAAAACATCATGGTACTGGACAAATTTTATCAGATTTTCTCTCATTAATATTTACCGCAATAAAAATATTAATGTGTACGTAAAATTAATCGAACGTATTTTACCTTATTATTGTGGATATTAATATTTTACTATATGATTACCATGATTTAAACTCTAGGAGAAAATTCTCTCTGTATATTTGGTGCAAGTTTTTAAATTCTATTATAAAAATATTTAATTATAAAATGAAAAAACCACGCTAATAATTATTTTACTTTTTAAGCTTGAGAATAAGTATGCACGTTGTTTTATTATTCGAGATGCCATTTTCTTTTCATCAATGTAAGCTTTCCGGAAAAAAGAGATTTATCGATTTTATAAAAGTGTACGAAAAAATAAAAAGATTGCTACCCACACAACACTTGGAAATAACATCAAACCAACTTCAATAAAAAACTTTGCGAAGTGTTCTAATCGCAATACAGACAATGATTGATACAAATATCTGTTATTAATTGATGAATTTTATTACAACATTAATGAATTAATTAATGAAATCGAAAACATGTCCGAAAGAGAAGTTAATTTTCACTATCTTCACTTTTCAAGATCTTTCAATTCGAGTGCAAAAGGAAGAAATTCGATGGAAAGCCATGCAGTTTATTTAAGAGCAAAAATACATATATATAAAATATACTATTACATAGGTACTTATAAAAAAATGCTATAAATATAAACTAATATACTTTGATAATTTTTCTGAAATATGTTATCTGTCTGCAAAACTGTCACAATTTGCAACTCGCGTTCGCTCTTGCTGACCTTGCTTACCTCCCAGATAGCCGGTACCGGACGTACGTGACAAAGCTGCAGCAGGGCAATCACTGACGATTATCGGCAAGCGTGACTGATTCTCTCGAAGTGACAATATCGTTTACACACGGAAGCGAATAATGTATATGAAAGAGAGAGAAAGAGAGAGAACGACGACAGAGAGAACGTCGCGCTGATGCCTACGCGCGAGTGGCCGCAGCTGCGGCGACGACGTCGTCGCGACGGCCGATGACGTCATCGCGACGTCGTGCCCTTACCTTGGATCCCCGCTCACTGAATCGCACCGACCACGATACCGAGATCTTCTCGTTCCTCTCGAGTCTCTCTTTCTCTTTCCATCACGGCGGCCACTAAAAATATGCACCAAGGTCCGTGTACCCGAGGTCCGTTTGCATTCCGCGTCGATCGAAGTGCAAAACATTGCCGGTCCGAAAGATTCGGAGCTCTTGCGGATTATTACGGACGCAATTAGCGATCACCGTGTCAGCATGGAAGATGAAACGTCATAATGACGAAACTTCGTCTCTATACGCAGGGTGTTTTTAAAACTATATTAGAGATTAAGGGTGTATTCATTAGAGGTCAGTGTAAAAAAAATGTTTCTATATAAACAGGGGTCCAAAAATGCTTTTCCTCCGAGATACTTTTCTCTCCTACAGTTAGGAAAAAAAATTAAAAAATGTATTACAGCTATTCGGACTTTTTCACAGAAAAATTTGATATATTTTGCACAGCGTAATAATTAGTAATAAATACTTCAGTTTTATGGCATTTTGACAATTTTCATTTTTGAATGTTTATAGGAACTTTTTTTCTTATTTTCACCTCTAAAATACGTCCTCAAAACCTATGACGCAGTTTTAAAAATACCCTGTATATCTTCGAAAACTCTCGCAATCGACAATTTAATTAGTAAAAACAAGATTACATTACATTTTTTATCCTCACGATTTTTGTACAATTGATTTATAGTACTGTTATGATGCATTAATCGACATCATAATTGTGCAACGTATAAGCGAGAATATCCTCATCTTATCACTGAAAATAGTTAATTTATAACTTAAGGTTATCTCTTTGTAGTTGTGTAATATGTGTAATGATTAAAATTATTAAATATTTTTTATACACGCAAGACATTTAGATATTTCTAAAATGAAAACAAATTGTAATTTAATTATCATACAATTTATTACTGCTCTGTGCAGTATATATAAAGATATATATCTTTGAACTATAATAAAAGCGGGAAGAGATCGTTCGCTTGTATTGTGTAGTACAATTGCAAATCTAGAATCTCGTTGCATCTTCTACATGTGCATTAACAATTGTATGCAATGTATATTTCAAAACTATATATTCCTGAGAAATAATCTCTCTACTCGCATATTATTCTTATACATCTATATAAAATAGAAAAATTATATCAAATTAAAAAAAATTACCCTAAATCATCGAAGTTAAAAATAATGTGAAACAATAACGTCTCCTTGCAAATTATTCTAAAATAATGCATGCAAAGTGAAAGTATAGTGATAATTATTATCTCACACACAAGCGACGATCTTAATCGAAGGAACTAATTGTGCCGTGCTTCGATTCACTCCATAAAATTGATAATTCACGTCTTTTCGCCCGTCTCCTCTTCAACGCGCTCTTTTCTCGCATCCTCGCTATCATTTTCTGGGATGCTCTCAAGGTTGGAATCGGACTTTTGTCTTTCGGCCTCTCCGTTCGCACGTTTCCGGTCTCCCGCGATCCTTGGCGACGTTCCTAAATCATTCTTTTCGTCCTCGAGGGTGCATTCCTCCGATGGCACCGAGCTATTTGTATCTAGCGAGGTTTTCGACGCGGTCGACGGTTTCGTCGCAGACTCTGATCGGGTAAGTTCGGCGTCCAAACTGGTCACCTCCTCGATCACGACACCCTGAGAAGTGCCCGGAAGAGCCAGGGGTTCCCTGATGCTACCCTCGCCGGAAGTCGTCGAGGGACGAGCGTCGTCGACGTTCTTCGGGCACTTTATTGTGTCGTTCAGGGGTAAAGAATCCATGTTCGAACCGTGTTCCAGATCCTCGACGCTGGTTATGAAATTCAAGTATCGATTGTCGTCGTCTCTCGGGTAGCCCAGCATCAGGAAGTCCAGGGTGGACTCCGCAGGTTTCATTCCTTTATCATTCGCATTGAAATCAGAACGGGAGTTCTGACTAACTGCAAAGTGACAATTGCGAGATGCATCCGCTAGCAGATGCATCACGATCGGAAAAGTCGAATGGTGATCGGTGAAGACGTTGCCCTTCTGAAAACCTCCTTCGTGTGTATCATCGTGACTGTGCAAAGCAACAAAAATCTATTTATTTTATATGATATTTTTATTATTCTTGTCATTTGTATTATTTTCATTATTTTATTTTATATGATATTTTTATTTTTATTATTTTTATTACAAAAAGTTATTAGCCGACGAATAATATGATATGATATAATATTTGCAGCATTCTTAATTTCTCTTATGAGAATTACTTACACGGAATCGCTCTCGGCGTTAGATTTTGCAATATCAGATTGACTAGTTTGTTCCTCTTCTTCAATCGTTTTATTCGACAATTCTTCCGACGTGGTTGAATCAGCCCTATTATTGTAAATCAGATCGAAAAGAGGCAACGGCACAGAATCGTGAAACTCGCCGGTATGTTGAAGTCTGCCTGTAGCGAAAGCGTTCTCCAACGAGAGAGTAGTGTTTCGTAGAGCTTCTTCTCGTCGAAGACGTTGTCTTCCACTTCTGACTTCTCGCAAATTTGCAGGATGCGGCACCGTTAAATGATCGATCTAAAAAGTTATTTTATTATAGAATAATTTATAGAATTCTTGATTAAGTATTATTTTTTTTTTTTTTAATAAATAAAATGTTCCTTTCAAAGAGAAAAATATTGTATCTCTAATTATACTAGAATAATTGTTCATTTTATCGAAGGAAAATGGAAGATATTTAATTAATATAACTTCAAGTTTTATTTCGAAATACAAGATTTAAGGAAACCTAACAGAAATAACATTTGCAAAGTCATAGACGTCAATTCCGATCTGAGAAACAATTATTTTAAGAGGCCAGAGCTCTCGAGCTGCATCTGCCAAGCTTGTTACTGCCAAATGCCGAACCGCCTGTTGCAATCACGAAAGCGCTGACGTTTAGCAGTGACCTGCCGCTTCCTCTTTTACGTAATGTATTTCCGGTCGGGCGTGGCGTACAAAATATTACGTTCAGCTGCTCGACTTTACAAAACGAAGGAAAACCGGCTAATTTCATTTCGAGACTCGGTTTTCACATATTGAATAACCGCATGCCAAATTACAATTTATTTGATACGATTTTACTTTAAAGATTTCATTCATTATATAATTAATTTTAATAATCTTTTTCGGTGTAATATTATGTAATTTTTATATAAAATTTGCAATCATGTATCGAATCTACTTCCATCCTATATTTTAATCTTTAATTATCTTTCAAAGATTAATTAAGTGAAATTAATTAGTGTCATTATAATTACTATACTTACCGTATTTATTTTCTGCACCGAAGAAACATTGTCCGAAACAGTTTTTGAGTTGACATCTTTTTTCATGCGACGACGCATTAAAAATCCTCGAACACCTTCAAACAAACAAAATGATTTTTATTAGACATATATTTTATTATTATCTCTGAAAAGAAATTATGCGTATTACGATTATCTCGCAAAATAATATTATTCTTCCTTCTAATCTCGAACAGAATTAATAATGTTATTTATATCCTTACTCTTAATCAAACTTGTCTTTTTTTATAAATATAATATTGAAATATTGAAAGATAAGAAAATTAGCAGTCAGTTGTTTACTCTGCTAATTCAATATGATTAAAGTATCAATACATAATATAATTTTATTATAAAATGCATTACTCACAAGCTTGGATTTTTATAACTGCTGAGTAAAAATCATCTTTCTTCTGATTAAGCGATTCGTCTTTGATAATTTCTGGCACATCAGTAGCAGACTTTATTTTCTCGTCTGTATTCGTAGTAGAATCAGAAGTTTCAATCACCGTTTCCACGGTGGATGATTGCGTCTGCGTGATCCAATATCCACCATGAGAATGATCTTCCATCGATTGTTCCGATATTGTGCTTGCGATTGGTCTATGAACATTCTCTATCTTGGCTGAAAAATTTTCAGATTCTTCTATCTCGTTATTTTTCACGTCTCTTTCTGTCCTAGAGTTAGTGACGAATTCATCACTAGTAATTCGTTCAGTCTCTTCACGTTCATCATTATCATTCGTCGATTCGTTCATCGATCCTTTTCTTGACTCTGATGCTTCTAAAGGCACTGTTTTTATATCAACAATTTTTTCCTCTAATTGTAAATTTTTATAATTATCTTTTTCGTGGATTTTTAAATCTTCTTGTGTGTATTCCTCCGATTTCTCCTGCTGGTATTCTTCGTGTACTTTTAATTTTTCTTCTTCGCATTTTTCCTCGACTTGTAATTTTTCCTGCTCACATTCTTCATCTTTATCTTGCGACTTTTCTTCATTTTCTTTTTGTTCTTTATGTAATTCTTCAATTTTGTTTGTACTTTCGTTTGTACTTTCGTGTACTTTTGATTTTTCTTCTTCGCATTTTTCCTCAACTTGTAATTTTTCCTGCTCACATTCTTCATCCTTATCTTGCGACTTTTCTTCATTTTCTTTTTGTTCTTTATGTAATTCTTCAATTTTGTTTGTACTTTCGTTACTTTGACTCTCTACAACTTCTTCAACGCTTGTTTGTTTGTCTTCCTGATTTTCCTGATTATTATCAATATTATCAAGTTTACTTTCGACTGTAATTTTCTCCTCAATCTTTTCTATCGTTTGTCCGTCATTAAGTTCTAATAATTCGTCCTGCTCAAATTGTGCTAAAGGCGCAACGTATCCAACTTCTACAGCTTTATTTTCTACTTTTAATTCAAGCTCTTCAGTTTCATTATCAGTATTATTATCTTTGTGATCTGGTTTATTATCCACCTGGCTAGATAACTCACCGATTACTTCAGTTTCTGCTTCATCTATCATTTGAATTTTATCCGAAGAAATTTCTCCTTTTTCCTGCTCATCAACAGAGTCCGGCAATGATCGATTAGATTTGTCATTCACATTTAAATTGCTCTTCTCAGATTCTCCCTCATCCTTAGATTTTTCTTCCAACGTTAATTTTTTAGTGTAAAGTATATCTTCCTCCAGCGAGCCTATCAATTCTCTTGCGATTTCTTCCTCGCTTTCCAATTCCTTTTCCATCTCCTTGCCTCGTGGGCCAACAAGTTCAACAACTTCCGTTAAAGCCTTCAAACCAATATCGTCCTCCTGAGATTTCGCTTCGCCTTCTAAATTGGTTTCCGGAGACGACAAATCCTTCTCCAGGCGCTCATATTCCGCTTGTTCCGCTCGGTACAACTGATCAGCCTCCGCAACTTCCGACTGCATATACCTGGACAAGCTTTCCGTCAGCTCTTCTGCGACATCGTCCTCTTCGCGATCGGCCAGAACCGACTGGTTCATCAACCTGTCGTCCGAAATCAAGGGTTCGATCAAGGACGTCGTGGTGTCGCTAGGACTGCCGTTGTCTTCCTTCGTGGCTGTTCCGTTCGCCGTCATTTTAAAGGACGACACCGTGTTATCCTGAAGAGAATCCAGGTTCAACTCCGGCACCACCGGTCTGTCCAGACTCGGGCTCTCGATCGATCGATTACTCTCTTTCACCTCGCTAGAGGTCATCGTGCGAGTATCCTGGGTACTCTCGTTCTCCTCCGACGAGTTCTCCATCGTGCCCCGGGATTCTACGGTAATGTCCGCGTTTCCCTCGTCTGTCAACCCAGTATCTATCAATTCTATGGTGTCGGGTAGGGACTCATATTCGGGAGCACCGCTGGAGACCTCTTCAGCATCCTTGGATTCGGGAGTCTTTTTCGCGCCGGTTTCTTCGTTCTCCTCGCGTTCCACGATGTTCTCCAGAGTCGTAAGTTTTATTACTTGTTCGTGTACAACTGGCTCCTCGTCATCTTTCTGTTCCTGAGGGCTCTTTATCTCCTCTCTTTCAACGTCCTTCTTCTCTTCGTCTTCTTCCTTGATCTTGTTCAAATTCTGGTGAGCGATTATTATGTCTTGGTTTGATTTCATCCCTTTCGCACCACGCACGAAATCAATGTCGACAGGTAGAACGGTGGTTTCAGGTCGGACATGTTCACCGAAAACTTCCATGCCGTATTCACTTCGATCCTTTTTCAGTGTTTCGCTTGTTTTAGCGATATTAGAGCGAATAAATGATTCTTCTTTTTGATTCGTTGATTCAAGCTGATAATTTTCGTCCTCTAGAGTCACGGGAGACGGACAGGGTCTATCAGGAATAATCACGGTCGTCACGGAATCGGGTATCTCGCAGGGAGAACCTTCGCTGAGAACGTAGGAGATCGGAAGCTCCAAAGAAAGTGATGTCATTCCTGGCGACTCGATTTCGCGTTTCTTCCGCGCTTTCGTCCTGGTATTCTCAGGAAGATTTCTTGCTGAGATTTCGCCTTTGCTCGCAGCATTTCCGCAAACTGTATTATTGGAAGATTTATTTGCCGTATTATCGGCTTTATTCTTAGACACTGCCGCGTTATCATCATCTGTTTCGTAAACAGCTGTTCGAGTAATCTGATCATCTTCGTTTTGTGATTTTGGATTTATAAACTGTACGTCCTCGATATGACTTATAACTGTTAGTTCTTCCACGTCGGTTGATAATTTTTTGCTTATCGATCTTTCATCCGTTGATTTTTTATCCGTTGATGTTTCGTCTTCGGGTACTTGGACCGCCTCTTCTGCTGCTTTTGTTAGTTCTTCCACGTCGGTTGATAATTTTTTGCTTATCGATCTTTCATCCGTTGATTTTTTATCCGTTGATGTTTCGTCTTCGGGTACTTGGACCGCCTCTTCTGCTGCTTTTGTTAATATTTTCACGTGGCTTGTCGTGTCTCCATTTTTTAATACTTCTGCTTCATTAATTTTGTTCGTTGATTTTTTAATTTCATTTACTGATGTTTCTTCTTGACTTGTCGTTTCGTTCGATGATCTTTCTATTTTTTCTTCCGCTTTATTCTTCGATATTTCTGTTTCATTTATGTGTGATAAGTTTTTTTTTTGATTCGTCGATGTTTCTATTACATCTTTTCCTTGTTCTATTTTATTTGTCGAATTTTTCTCCTCTTCGTCGTTCTTTTTCTTTCCATCGTCTTTATTCATCGATATTTTTTCCGTCGACTCTTCTACCTCATTCACAGTCTCTTCCACCTCATTAGTTGACTTTCCTACGTCATTTATCTTCCCGTCAATCATCGACTTTTCCGCTTGGCTTGTCGCTTCGCCACCGTCCATCGCGAATTGTTGGCTAGCCAATGCCATCTCGATATTTCGTTCTACCATCTCGATCTCGATCAACTTGTCCTTCAGCTCGTCGAACGTGTTCGCAAGATCCGCGTCATCGTTTTCAACCCTCTTCTCCTCATCAGATTCCAGCGAATCCGGCCTCGGCACATCCGCCACTTCCGGCGTGATGTTCAAACTGTCGTTGAAGATTTCCGCCGTCTTTCTTCTTTCCAATTCCTCAAACTCCTCGAGACTTCCGCGTTTCTCAGCAATAAATTGCTCCGGAATATTTTCTCGAGCAACATCATCCATATTTTTATCTATTTCGTGCTTTTCCGCGTCTACGATCACCTTTTCATGATCGTCTTCAGGGAGAATCGCTATATCCTCTATATCATTCGTAATGTCGCGCAACGTCGAGGCTTCCTCGTCGTCCTGGGACTTTCCAGCGGAATTATTGCCGTTGGACACCGGCAGAACCGGCAAGGATAATTCGTCCTTCTTCTTCGTCGACTTGGGAGCCTCCGGAGAGATGGGCGGCAGTGTCAGACTATCCGAACCGTTTCTGGTGGCGCTTCTGGAATTTCTAGAAGACGGTGGTCTCACCACAGGCAGGGAGACGATGTTCGCATGATCGGAGACTTCCGGTTCCGGCGGTTCACCTCCCGCAGAATCATTCTTGCGAACGCCACCCAAATCGGACGCGGATCTGGAAATATCTTCCAGGATGTTCTGCGTGGCGATCAATTTCGCTTCTAAGGTGTCACGTGTCCCATATTCGTGCTCCAACTTGTCACTGTGCTTGCTGTCAACTTGATCGATCATTTCGACGTCATTGCGACAACCGTTTTCGCGTCTTCTCGATTTTTTGCCCGATCCCGCGCTGCGTCTCCTCAATTTCTTTTCCTCTGTTTCATCTCTTTCGAGAGAACTTTCCTTCTCTTCCTTCCGATCGGTATCGACTTTCCGCTCCGGCAGTTTGTTTCCGGTGGTTTTTCTTCCGCCTTCCTCTTCGTCGCGGTATTTCTTCTCATCCCGAGTGTGCTGGCGGAAGGACTCCCTGTTCCAGACGAGGTCGACCGATCTCGAACGCTTTCCTCGCGGCACCTTCACCTCCTCCAGTTTCTCCTTGATGATCGGTACCGCGCGATCAATCACCTCCTGCACCTGTTCCACGTACGTAGGCGACCGCAACACCTCCAGACTCGCAGTGCTGGCGAATTTCCGCAACACATACGCCCGGATACGGTCCATGCTGAGCGCTCTCGACGACACTTTCCTCTCGGAGGAATGTTCGGAGAGCCACGCTTCCGGTCTTTTCTCCTTGCTTCCGGTCCGCGAGAGGGTCTCGCTGCTTGCACCGTTGTTCTTGACGCTCGATCTGTTGTATTTAATATATAAAGAAAGGTTTAATCTTAACAATCTCTCTTTAGTTCGTATTTTTGTGTTCTTTATTATCAAATTAATTAATTAATTACACAGGACCACAAAATAAATTTTTTTAATTGTTTCTGAATTTTTTGCTGGAATTTACAAAGAGAAACAAAAAGAAAAAAAATTCGGTCTCGTAAGTCTGCAAAAGTATAAAATTGTACTAAATAAAATAGAGTAAAATAGATTACTAAAATCTATAAGAAACACCTATCCTAATTTCAATTGTATAAAAAAAATTGAAAAAGACTTTGGTTTCTTGCATTTTTTTACAAGTTTTGCACTTCTCTTCTTGATCATCTAAAAACTGAACGCGATGAAGTAAAACGAGTTATGGATTCAGCGACCTAAAATCTATAAGAATTAAATACTTACTCTGGTTTCAGAAACAAAAAAAAATTTATTTTTGATCCTATGTTATTAGAAAATTAACTAATAATTATAATATACTGTACCCATTTTCACGTCCAACCCTGGCCGTCATTTCACGCTCTGTCTCGGTCTCGGATTCACTCTCAATTCGCCGCACTTTCCTCAAGGGTCTCCGAGCGGAGGTTCTACTCGAACTCGTCGTCGTCGTCGTAGTACGTTCGATCTCCTCCTCGGGATCCTTTTCCGTCTTAGAAACCTTCATTCTAGATCGTCTCTCATTTCGCATCCCTTTCTCCGTATCTACTGTTTTTCCTTTCTCGCCGCTTAATTTGTTCTTTCTGAGTTCCTGCTTAATATCCTTGGTCTGGATATGCTTGCTGGGACCATGAAGAGAAGACATCTGCGAGATGATCCTCGTCGCGCGAACATCCGACGTCGCGTCATTGTCCTTCGATTTCTTCGAGGTCCTCTTCGTGGTCGAGAGACCTCTCGAGCATGTTTGCTTCGACGTCTTCCGATTCTCTCTATCGGTGGAAATATCCGTGCTCTCTTCCACGTCGGTGGACATTTTTTCGCGTCTCTCGAAAAGTTCGATCTTCTTCTCCAAGGATCCATCGCTGTTCGAAGATCTTCCGACATCCTTAACTTGCTTAGTAGGCCACAGTTTGAACTCGCCACCGAATTCATGATCGAATTCGCGGCCACTGTATACTTCGGCGTGATACTGGTCCCGCAGTTTCAGCAGCTTCTCGAAGTGGTGCGCCGCGAAAACGTAAATGTCCTCAGGATGATGACGCAGGACCTCCCTAGTAAGACCCTCGACCACGGCTGCGAGGCCGTGGGGCACTCGTGGTGCGATGAAGTATCTGGTACCAGGATGCAGACTGGGACGATCGATCGGCGAACTCGAGCTCAGCATTTTGTCCCACTCGACTATATATTTATATTGTAATATATTATTTTCAATGTCACTTTTATCTAGAAACATAATTATTCATTCCCTCCTTTGCAACATTCCTTTTTTACTACATCGAAATAGATTTTTCTTCAAGGACGTCTTTTTTCTAATGCGACCTTCAACTTTATTATCGGTATTTGCAATCGAAATTTTTCGCAGATTATTTTAAAGAACTTTCAAATTTTTTGACAGATAATTAAATACTTATCGAAGCATTTCAAACAATTCTATTTTTCTAAAATCTTGATTTTTTTCAAACTTGAAAAATACAAAAGATATATATATATATATATATAATTCTCTAGATATGAACTATATAATTATTTAATGCGCTTGTAAACCTCTCTAAATTTTAAACCATTTTTTAAATATATATACTTATGCTAAATAGCTTAAAAATATTTTTGAACATGTATTTTTATTGTAAAAATTGTATATTATATATATATATTTAACTCAATTCAATATGCTTTTTTAATTGCGGTTCGTATATAATAATGAGCATTTATTTACTTTTAAACTAATTTATATATTTTCAAGTAATTGTTTGATACAATAATTCCAATAAAATAATTATTAACAAACAATAAGACATTTTTGCAGAAATATTTATATAATTATATATATATATATATATATATATATATATATATATGTGTGTGTGTATGTGTGCATTGAAGTATAATATTATCACGCAGAATATAAGGGTGCTCGTGTATAATACATATGTGTATTTGTCAAAATACAAAAACTGATAACATACATAGTGCAAATATTGCTATTTTTTACGTTCTGGAAACCGGGTATACCTGCTTTTAGAGGGAATAAAACAGAAGGGTTGCCATCATCGGACGAGTGCACCCCCGTGGCACAACTGAATCACCAATGCCAGCCTCGTCGGTGCGGAGGTCGATGCTTATCCATTGATTAGTTGGCCCTGAGAACGCGCGGCCACGTGACTCCGCCGCAGAATAATATACGTGTGGCTTAAAATATGGAACGGACGAGGGCCGAAGGAAATGGAATAATAATACGATATATATACGCAAATACGATACACACTGATCAATTTTTCTACCTTTTAGGATAAGCTTATGAAACAAGTTCATCATTTTAATCGATCTCTGTCTCACTTGGTATATTGCCAAGAATAATAAATATTTAATCAATCAGTTACAGCTGATTATATTAAATATTTATTATTCTTAGCAATATATTAGCAAATGAACTTGATTATAGATTTTACGTGACGTAATTCCAAGAATAGAGAGAGAATTTACTATAGATTTCATAATAAAACTTGCAAAGTATATAAAATATGTACATTAAAAAAAATATATAAATATATATATATATATATATATTTAATAAAAATATACATACAAAACAAATCTAAATTTTCTAATGAAAAGTAGATTTAAAAATCAACATATTTTAATCAAATAAGTTAAGAATATTAAAATACAAATCTCTATTATATAACAATTGTCACTTCCTAAAAAGATATAACTGGTGTAACTTGCATTTGAAATAAATATTTTCCATTATATTTAATAGTTTCTTATAATTAACTTGCTTTATACACCTAAGTCTGTCTGGGGTAAAAAATAATTTACTTTATTCCTTTTTACCTTAGATAACATAAGATAAAAAAGTTGCATTTATTGTGTCATTTCTTTAAATTCACTTTTGTCAAGAGCATACTGTGTCAGAAATTCGATCTCGAGAGGATGTAGTTTCTCAGCTGGTATGACGAGGCAGTGCAATGGTGGTCCCATGGATACATGGGTCATATCTTGTAAAGAACAAGCAACAATGCATTGGTCGTCACAACCTACTCGTGCTAGACCCACTGCTAAGCTCTCATGTGTAAATGCTAAATCAATAAAAAAAAATCAGAATACTATTTCTATTCAAAATTAGATTAAGGTTAATATAAATACATTAATCTTAATTATTTATCCTATTGCAATTATGATTATTTTCTCAATAGAATTTGCTACAACAAACCTAAATCTTTCTGACCATCTCGAATCTTATTGTCAAGTATCGCTATTAATTGATTAGCTGCTTCATTGATGCTCATGAATCTTGAAGGCATATATTCCTTTTTCTTTTTCAAAATACTCTCCAAAGTAGGCTCCTTGACTTTAATATCTAAAAGACACAATGTATGTAGTCCTCTATGTCTGTTGGAAGCTATTTTCTCGTAAAAGCTATCTGGCTGCCAAGTGTCGGTCCAATATGGAATTGAAATTGTTTCTCCATATGAATATAATTGCAAGCCACAGCAACCAACTGCAGTCAAAATTGATGAATTGTGTACAACTTTTACCTAATTAAAAATACAATGTTTTCAAATTTAGCAAATAATCAGATATTTTTACAAATCAAAATAATCTTGATATTTCTCAAGAAGAACTGTTTCTATTGTTTGTACCTCTATATTTCTCTCCTTTGCACGCAAAATTAAATCTGTATGCGTAGTAGCACCAAAAGGATCTCCTACAACTAGAAAAGCAACATCTTCAGCTTCATTCTTTGGCAATATATCATCTGCACCACTCTCCACTAATTCACGATCAGCTGTCATCAGAGAACGTCCATAGAATTCTTCCTAAAATATTAATAAGTGTAATAAAAAATGTATTAGATTGAGTTCAATTATATATATACTATATATCATGATTTTTATAACTTCTTTTTTTCATAAAATATTATAGAAAAATAAAAAATGTATTAGAGTTCAATTAAATGATATATCATGATTACAACTTGTTCTCTCATAAAATATAATAGAAAAATACCAAAGCTTCTTGCTGCACTGTTAAAATAGACGTATAAGACTCCAGGTACACACGATCACATTTCTTAATAATTTCGAGCCCTTTGACAGTGACATCCTTCGCATCACCAAGTCCTAATCCGATGACATAAAACATGATTCTTCGGAGATAGCATCTACGTTCGTCATCTACCTTGCTGCAAAATAATATGCATCAGGTTTTAAATCTAAATCATCTTCCTGAACACTTCATCTTCATCCTAAATGAGTGCGTTCGAAAATTGATTTCAATATGGTGTTGGGAAAAAAGTTAAAGTTGGCAGTATTGAAAATTCGATCATGCGCAGAAGAATATTTAAAGAGGAAAGGGAAGAAGTGGTTAAAAATAGCACAGAGACTCGATTCTGTGTACCGGACTGTCACAGACTGTACAGTGTATACAAACTTTGTACAATACACAGATGATATTAGGGCAACGAACAAGACAATTTGACGAGGAGAAACTCGCGATTCGTTGTGTTCTTGGAGAAAAAAATTGGGACATGCGTGATTAGTGACGCGATGCTAGAATAAAATGAAAATCAGTTATTGCATCTTGCGATACACACCAATACATTTGTACGTGCGAGTCATCGTATAACGGGGATAAGTTACTCGACGCGCATTCGTGACCATTTGTGATTAAAGGTCCCCACCTGAAAACAATAGGTAGCGTCAAACTTTCATTATTTATTGTCAGTCAAAGTAGAATGTTTTGTTTCTTGTCGATTTCGTAATTCCTGCAAATTAAATAATAGATGCAACATTAATATGTATATATATATTTATATATATATGTATATATGTATATGATTCCTTCAGATAATCGTCCACTATCCTGGATCCACGAAACTCCCCTTTAAATTGGAACGTACTTCGAGTACAGCCAAACACATCCCAAATGACAGTAAGCGGCTTTGATTTGTCTTGAGACGAATTTAAATCGACAAAGATATTGTACCAGTTTTTCACGTTGGAGAGATAATTTTATCTCATTGAGTGTAATGTCTTTGTTATTTGTATGTGTCTCTCTCAGAATACCATGGGTGGAGCACACTTATGTACGCCACAGTCCATCTTTCAACAGATGATGAACCAGCAAAATCCACAACAGCAACAAGTTGGATCTTGGATGCAAATGCCGCAGATACCACCGATAAGCATTCCATGGAGTGTACCAGCCCTACAACAACAAGAATTGATTAGATTTACCGGAGATACTAGTTCCGGACCGATACTCCATCAGAAAAGAAAGTTGGAAGTGACAGATGTTGTAGATATGTAAGCGTTGTACATTTTAAATGTATATTGCATCAAATTATTTATTTGGGTGAAATCTTGTATTGTGTTGTTTTCTTAAACAGGTGTCAAAACAAGCAGTTTATAACAGAAGAAAAAATGACTGCACATTTTAAAAGTTTGCGCATTAGTTCTATTCATGAAACTGAGAATCCAGTGCCATCGACTTCCACATCATCTTCCACTCATACACAATTAGATATGGATGTGGATGGAAGAAATAAAATAAATGATGAACAGCTGACTGGTATGCATCCCAGATTAGTCCTTTCAGAGGAACTCAAGCGAATGCAAGAAGAACCTATTTTGCCATCGACTATTCTGTCTAAATTGTAAGCATAAATTGCCTAACATAAAAATATGTTCTATATTTAATGAAAAGAAGACAGAAATGTGTATATATATATGTGTGTGTAACAAATTTACTATTCTTTGGTTAAGAAAAAGAGAGAGGGCTAAATTTGGCTCTTTCAGGGAGAGGCCCTCCATGGCTTTAGTTTTATGGGAACCGCCAAATAGGCATCTTCGTATCCTGCCAACAAGAGATACTCCAACGCCAATCCCGAGTACGTCAGCCGACAATAATAACAATAATAATAATAACAACAACGATGGTACTCCTGACTTAAATAATGAATCAAGTGCCCTATCAGCGTTCGAGCCAATGGAATTGTGAAAATCTTTAAGTTAGTGCAGCACATTTTTATCTCCATATACATTAAAAATAAGAAAAATATAAATATTATATTACTCTAAGTTTCAATAAAACGTTTCAATAATCTAAGATGTAAAGTAGATTAGAGTCAGGGATGAAGTATATGTGAAGCTTTACAATATGATTTATCACTTATATTTGTAAAATAATTAAATAATTGTAAATTGGAATGTAAATTAGAATTCAATTTCTAAAACAAATTTGAAACACATCACTCTTTTCGTTTCATTATTCTAGATATTGCTTCAATGTACTTCATTATAATTATGATTTTGACTATTTAAATACGATATATTTTTCTTTATTGTATATGTTCTAAAGAGTGTGTTATCAGATTTTGTGTGTTATAATCTCTTATTTATATCATTTATGTAAAATAACTATAAGAAATTGATATTGAATAACAGAAGTTATTTTTTTTTAATATATATATATACACACCCATATATATATATATGCATATATTCATATGCAAATATATATGTATATATGTTCATATGTACATACATATATGTATGAACATATGTATACAGGGTGTCCCATAATTCGCGAACCACCGCGAATGGGCAGATACAGCGTGTTAAACTGAATAGAAAAGTCCTGTATCATTTTGCGATATTCGCAATAATTATTGAGTTATGAACTAAAATATCTAAACGAATGAGCGAGTAGAAAGCGGTAGGCCGGACTCGGTGTGCATGTCGGATGACTTATTTGTTATATGCCGCTTAGTATCAAAAGTATCATCTTACTTTTCGGCGCCTCTACATTGGTCGCCGCTCGCTGGATCGCGAATTATGGGACACCCTGTATATATTACTATATTGAAATCAAGAAATAATTTAATTAAAGATATATATCTATCATTTTTGATTTTGATTTTTTTAAAATAAAACGAGATTTTAATAAGATTGACGATTTTACTTATGATAAGTCGTTAATAGTATGTTTTCAATTTATATTTTGCGTGCGATGTCATTGAGCGAGTAAAAGCTAATTAAGTGATACAATGTAACGAGTGTTTATTATGAATGATTGAATGCACATATACAAGTTTCACATTAAAATACGATTGTGACACAATAAAATGCTGTATTCAGAATTTTAACATCTTTTCCAAATGTTAAAATAAGCATAAGTTTGCATGTTCTTAGCTACTTTAATTATTAATCTCTATAACAAATTTCAGATATACTTCCTAAATATATCTTATTTCAGTTTTTCGAATCTAATTGTTATTTAACAATTATCCTTAAATTGCATTTTGGAAATAATAATGACAGACCTTTTTGTATTTTTTTGTGCATACGCATAATCTGCTTTTACTTAGGTACTTTTTACTTAAGTAAGAGAAAATTGAAATGAGAAATTATAAGAATTAACTCAAACATAATTATTTATTAATCATACTTATTTATAAGAATATAATTTAGTAATTATGTAAACAAATTTTGTATCATCCTGTAGAGAAAAAATTTACATCACCTAGGTATTTTAGTATTTTCGACAGTTTTAGATGTACTTGAATAAAAAAAATTACATCGTAAATGTTTATTTTAGTGTAATACTTGTGAGTGATCTTGATCTTTACGTATATTGTTAAAGTAATCTCGAATAAAAGATTTTAATCATTACTCGTTATTTATTAAGAAGTCTGTAATTGTTAAACTAAAGTAAACATTTCTCAATTGCACATACATATATATTTTCTTCTTCTAAATGTAAACAGATACATATTAAACAAGAACGAGAACATGTTCTAGCTATAATTTAGACTCTCGTATGTTCTGCATCATCACATTCGAGTGGCCGATCTTCGGATAAGAGTTTCCTAAATTCTTTAGGATCGATCAATGGTTCTCCGTTGATCGCGGCTATAACTTTATCACTATCCAATATTGTAATATGGTTGCCTTCAATGCAATGCACCTCCACCTTATCTCGCGTAATCTAAAAATTAATTTATAATTATACTTTATACTAGTTCACACATTTTTGTACAATATATTACCAAGTTTCAATTTCAAAAATTTGAAAATTCCAACGTTTAAAAAAAAAGAAAAAGATTACCTTGGACAGACCATAATCGTCTTTATCCATTTGAACAGATGACTGCGAAGATTTCAAGAGTATTATGGGCGATCGAATTTGCGGCAAGGCTAAAGCGTCGTACTTTTCAAGAGCGAGGATACGATTGTACAAAGTTGTGCATAACGCTCTTTGGTTTTCAATAGATATCTTATCGGAAGCTAGCTGGGACACAAAGCTATCCAATTTCTGCTCCCAGGTCGTGCACTCATTGAAATCTAAAAGTAGCTACAAAATAGAAACAATTGTTAATAAGAGAAGAAGATCAGGAGACGAGTGGAAATATTTTAGCAGTCGACGATTAGGATCTACCTTTCCACTTGCGGCTGGTTGTAAACTATCCATGGTGTAGAACAAAATATTATTCTGAAGTTCCTCCTTCGTTTGATATGGCAAATGTTGCTCTATCATAGCTTTTATTAAATCAGGCGCACCGTCAATCAGCACTAGTCGCCCATTCAAGCCTTGATTTTCTAATCGTCTTGCCAATTCGATAGTCACTAATGAACCGTACGAATATCCAACTAGAATGAAAGTTCGCTGCTTTTCCGCCGTTGGTAAAACGTACTGAAAAATTTAACAAAGCGCGCGTGTCAATCAGAAACAGACAAACACTTTAATTTATAACGATAATATATTTTTTTAAAGAAATATGTAGCGAATATTTCATGTTCTCCCCGACGTACCGGTAAAAGCTGATCGGCGTATTCTGTTATATTTTCATAATCGAGCCCGATATTATTTGTGCCATATTGCAAGGCCGTTGCTCTCGGCCTGATTTTCGAGGCCAATGGATTAAATACTTGTCCACAACCTTCTATTCCCGGCAAGAGGAATACCTCGACCTTGCGCGGATCTCTCCTGCTCAGCAATTCCATGCATATATCGGAAATCATGTTCTCGTTACCCATGTTCCGAATCAACAATTGCATGCCAGGTATTTCGGCATTCTGTTCGTCAATCTCAGTTTGCTGGTCCGCGTCTTTACCGCGCATCTCAGCCAGTTTGGCGAAAGTCAAGGCGCGAATGTCTTGCGAAGTGAGGAAGACGTCGAACTCACGTTCCAGCGTTTGCTTGATTTCTACAGCCATCATCGGATCCATTCCGAGCTTAACCAACGATTCATCCTGAGATACAGTTTTCGAATCTTCCACGCCTGGGAAGTATCGAGAAATGTAATTAAAAATTTACTTATAACGACTTTATTTTAAAAAAGAATTTTCTTTTCTATATTAATCATCAAGTTTTATATCAAGGATATTTAGCGGATTCTATTAAGGCAATTTAATCCTTATCTAAGACTGCCTTAAGGTAATAACAACAATAATCTTACCCATTATATTCGCTACAGTCTCAGCAACACTGGTAGCATAGGTACCTACACGCTTCTCAGCCACCACCATGCTAGACACTACTGGTTGATCTTGCAACAAAAAGTCCTCCAGCTTCTCGAGACAAGAAGATAATTTCTGCTGGGAGATACCGTTAACGACTAATTCCTTATCTTGCTTCTCGGTAACGAGACCAACGTCGCCGATTGCACCCCATTGAATGGCCAATCCCGGGAAGCCATCCGCCACTCTGCGCTCGCATATTCTCTCCATCACGGAGTTGGCCATACCGTAATTCGTCTGTCCGGCGTTTCCTCGTCCGCAGGAAGCCGAGGAGAATACTACAAACTGCCGAAGTTGAGGACACAGCTTTCTGGATAGCTCGTCCAGCTTCTTGGTGGACCAAGCTTTCGCCTTGAAGGACTCCTCAAACGATTCTGGCGTTTGATTCTGACAAATGCTATCCTTCAATGCCACGGCGAGATTGAAGATGGCGTCTACCGGACCTTGTTTTTCTGCAGATTTTAATATAAATTCGCAATTATCACGATTTGAAGCATCAGCGCCTGTAATAATCAGCACGTTCACGCCATATGATTTCCATAGATCGACCCTCATACGCTGATAACCGGTCTTTATTCCCGTTCTTGATGTTAGCACTAAGTTCTTGGCACCTCGGAGTATCAGCCAATCGGCCAATTCCAAGCCAAAACCGCCCAATCCACCCAGAATGAGATAGCTTTTCTTATCGTTGCAGTAATATCGAGGCCGAGCAAGAATAGGTACCTTTCCAGCCTGTTTTTCGTCGCAAACCTTTAAGATTACCTAGGAACAAACATGTAATGTTTTGTTAAGATTTATCAATTTTTGAAATTTATTTCTTGTAAACTTTAATTTTTTACCAGGAATTTAATTCAAATCTTTTTCTTAGAATATTTGACTGACAGAATTAAAAGATATAACTATATATATGCATATATAATTATAATATCCTATTAATTAATTTTCCCCTTACTTTGCCTATGTGCTTTCCAGTCGTCATATGTTTGAAAGCCGCTTCTACTTCGTTCCTTTCAAAGACTTTTCTAACGAGGGGCTTAATAGCTCCATTCTTCAAGCCCTCAGTCAAATAGTCTTTAAGACTTATTTTCTCTTGCAAGTTGATGAACAAATTTTCCAACGAAATTCCATGAAAACTGACTTCTTTCAGGAAAATCATCATGCCTAACTGATTCGAGACAGGATCGAATTTACCGATCTCCAGGAAACGACCACCCTGCGCCAGACAGCGGACCGACGCTTGAAGTTTCTCTTCAGTTAAGCAGTTAAGAACGATGTCCACGCCGGCGCCGTGCGTTCGCGTAAGTACCATTTGTTCGAAACTAGTATCGTGCGAGCAGCCGATATGATCATCCGGGATAGACGGAAACATTTCGCGGATAAATTTGCGTTTCTCGGGCGTTCCCACGGTTGTGAAAATCTCGCAGTTCTCGTGAAGAGCGAGATGAATCGCCGCTTGACCAACACCACCGCTGCCGCAATGAATAAGTAGCCTGTCTCCCTTCTTCATCCCGGCATTCATGTATAGTGAATAGTAACACGTCGCGTATGCATATGATACGGTCGCTGCGTCCTCCAGCGACCAATTGTCAGGCACGTGCCAGCATAAGTTTCTATCAGGTACTATTATATTTGATATGCCCCTGAAAGTACAAACATGCATATGTGTTAGTCGTACTGATCTACTTTCAAAATATTTCAGAATCACTGCATCGATATTTTAAGGCTCCTGGACTCTTATCGATCATGTTAGAATTGTGACGTCAGAGACGAGAAAGCCAGTTTTAGATAAAAAGATATTTCGATGAAACATTACTTCAGATGGCTTTAGTACACTTTAAAATACTTGCATAACTATCCTTTTCTCTTTATAATCAATCAACAGTTGTAAAAAGACTGGTCCAGGAGCCTTAGTACAAATTGATAAATCAAAACTAATAAATTTTTAAAAACGTTTTTCTTAATTCTGAAATATAATACTTTTATATTTATTATAATGTACGCTATGCCATTTTGTTTTTTAAACGATGAAAGTAAATATAATTAAACAATGTTTTCATGTGTAATTTTGAAAGTGTGATAAATGTGCTTCCAACAGAAGAATATTACCTATTTTCACAAATTCCCATCACACGTTGGCCAGCGGTATCGATACCAACATATTCCAAGCCAATCAAACATTCATTAAATCGAGTGCTAACTGAGATCGTGTTCAGAACAAGTTTTTCGGTAGCAAACATGACATCTTTGAAATTGATAGGCGAGTATACTACATGGACCAAATCCTCTTGATTAGCATCAGGACGCATAGGACCCTCGATCCAATGAAGCGAGCTCAAGTCGCCGCTAATCTATTTTCCATACATAACACAAGAGTAGATAATTATATATTTTATATTATATACATATACATATATATATATATATATATATATATATATATATATATATATATAACTATATGTACTAAATAAAAAAGTATATATTATGTATAAAGTTTGAAAGTTATTGTCACAACCGATTGCCTTTTTTTTCTCGCCATTTTTAGACATTTGCTAGGATAGAACCGACTGTAAAAAACTATAACTTCCGAGAATCTCAATTGGATTACATACCATTTGATCAACAAACGCATGGTAGACAGGCTTCAACGACTTTGACGAACTCGACACTGGTTCATGTCTATAAGATCCCCATGTTTTTCCTGGTCGCAATACATTAATAGGCAAATTTAGTTGAAGCTGGTTCGCGTACAGAGGATTCTGTAGAGAAAACTCGGGAGCTTCGGTATCCTGTATTAATATGCTTCTAATCATTTCTCCGCCCGGCTCCTTTCTCAAACAGTTCACGAGGCCCAGCAAGCCACACTCGGGATCTTTCTCGCCGACAAGTATTATCCTCCTATTATCGATAGTCACGTTTTCCAGGTTCATAATCGAATTTAGCTTTTCGAGCCAGGTGAATTCGTTGTTGTTAATGTGGATAACATCTGTTTTCTTAATCGATTGTTCTTTCTTCTTCAAAAGTATGATATTCTCAGTGCTGGTATTTTTCTCTAGAATCACATCTAAGTTGTATTTTGAGAGCGCCGAAAGATTCTCAGACTTGGATAATTTCTCCCGTGTCAACACAAAACCACCGTTCCGCAATTTCGATAGAATTTCCTCCAGTTGATCGCTCTTTTTTCTTGTTAGAAGTTCGACACCGACAGCGAGCAAAGCGTTCTCTTCGTTGGACAGTTGTTTTAGAGAGTTTATATAAGTCACATTTGGCGGCAAAGCGTTATCGTCAAATCGATTAGGTGATGCTGTCAAAAGTACATTCGGTTGAACCAAGGGTAAGTCAGCCAAAATCTTGACAAGTATAGGAGATACCAATTCGTTAGACGTCACATTATCAGAGTCATCGATCAGTTCGATGGTTTTGACATTCAGAGCCTGATGATACTCAATCGCGATGTGCGTGGCCAATCTGATCGCCTCTTGTAGAGATATCTTTGTTCTGTCGTGATGTGCCACAAACTTATACTCCTCGAGAACCGGTTCGATAGCCGGCAGTCGACGAAATACGGCTGTGGCCTTGACGCCACGAATTTCGATCCCACCTGACACTATAGTCTCCAAGTCTTTATATACATATACCGGAAATTCTGCGACTAGAAACAACAAAAATGTGTTTGTACAGCAGTTACATCAGAATATTTGCAAAAATTTTGCGTGGAAAAAAGATGCGTGAAAAAGCTTACATTTATCTTCCGAATCTAGCTGTTGAGCCTTTTTCTGTTGAAACTTGGTATCGATCACAATCTTTTGTATTTTCGTGGGGACGTACAAAGTTCTAGTGTCCATTCCCAAAACCATCATTTGCAGCATATTTTCGAGGAACGTCACCCAATTGCCAACCCAAGCGATGTGTCCCTTCTTCCCTGAGATTGATGCGCTCTTCAAAGAACGAAAGATGCCCGAATACTGATAACCGCGCAGACTTAGTTCTTTGTAGATATCCTTGGTAGTCATCACTTCCTCCTCGTCTTCATCTGTCGGGAAAAGTGTGGTCGGGACCTTTTCCTGCGCAGGGTTCTTCGTGACGCAAATCAACCCGTTCACAACTGCAGTTCCACCTTCTGATACTTCGAATCTTCCAGTGCCTGTAGGAATAATTATCATACTTAAATACAATATTATATAACATTAGAAATAAATAAATAATTTGTAATAGCAAATTTAGAGAATTATTCTTATATGAATAAAATAATATATAATTAACTCTAATATTGATAGTAATAATTTGTTAAATAGACTGTTGGATTTTATACATCTAAGAGATGCCAATTTTAGATGATTATTAACTATACTATTCTATAACTTGATGCGCGTGCACGTCATTTCAAAGATAAAAACAACGAGAATACCTTTTTGAACCATCACCGTTAGTTGAACTTCGCCTTCCTTTGGAATTTGAATAGCTCGCAGGAAGTTGATATCTTCAAAGACGACCGACATTTCTGTATATATTTCTGCCTGCAGCAAACCTAGAGTTTCCCAAACTAAAGAAAGATATCCTATGGCAGGTACGAAGTTTTTCCCATCAACGATATGGCCAGCCATGTACGCAATATTTTCATCCGCCAATGTCAAATTAACAATTCTCTCCCCAGAAGTGACCTTTTTTTGCATCTTGAACGTCGTTACATACCAATCTTCGGAATGTTCCCATCTAGAGATAAATTATTCAATTTATCCTTCTAATGTCCTTTACTTGTTGCGATGCTAGCTTTTATGTATAATCAAGTAAAAATTTTTAACAAGTTTGTTCGACAAATAACAATTAATAAGCTTACCTAACGCAAGGTGAAATCATTGGGGTACCACGGCTAACCGGAAATTCAACAGGAGGGTAGAGTTTCGTGATATCAGGCTGTAATCCATTATTGTAGAGCTTGCCGATCGCTTGCAAAACAACCTCGGTGTTGTCTCTGTGACCGCGTTGAGTGAGCGCAATGTTCGTGACTCCCGAACCGAGAGATCTCCTTAGGATCGCCTGCAGGAGGCCGTGGGGCGCGATCTCAATGGTCACTGCGTCCTTCGGTATCATACGAGCAGTTTCTTCGAACAGTACAGGACTCAGGAGATTGTTGGTGAGGTACTCGGCGGACGACAACTTGGCGGACGCGGTGGACCATTTGCTGCGAGGTACGGATGTGCTCAACCACTTTCGGCTGCGCGGTTTCGGCTGAGGAATTATTTCGCTCATGTATGCCAATAGTTTCGGTCCGGCGGGTGCGATGTAACGACTATGGTAGGGTATGTTGCTGCAAGCCACTTCCTTCGCGAAGATGTTCTTAGCCTGTTTTAAATAGGCTTAATTAAAGAAAACGTATTTCAAGAAAACAACTAGAAATCATGATAAGAATTTCATATACGTATGTGTAAGTGTTGCGTGTATTATTATTATGTTAATCAATTAATTCGTTTTCTCTTAATAACATTGCGTGTAGTTTTACACTTTAACTAATATATACAATTAATTTATTTTTTATAAATTTTCATTGGTTTGATTTTTTGAGAAAAAAAAATCAGTAAATTTGACCTGTAGTTCGGCAACGAAATTCTTCAGTGACTCTGCGGGTCCGCTAATAGTACTGCTGTCTGAAGCATTATGGCAAGCCACTTCGATATCCGGTGGACACATATTTTTCATCTCTTCGTAACCAAGACCGATAGCCGCCATCGAACCGTAAATTACTTCGGTTTCGATGGATGCTAAACCTCTCGAGTATGCTGATAAGATCATTTGTTCGGCAGTGATGGTTCTGTCCGCGTAAGCGCAACCGAGCTCTCCGACAGAATGACCGATGATGTTATCCGGCACGATGCCCACCGATGTGAGTAAATCAACTAAACCAATCTAAAATTCATATTATGTTAAAATACGCTAAAGAAAGATCTAATAATTATTTTTTTAATCTTTCATACAATCAAAGTATCTTTTTGCACTGTACAAAAACTTATTAATAAGTAATGTCGGGATTATAATTGCATTTAACTTACCTGTACCGCTGCGATACCCACAAACGAATGCAAGATATTGTCAAAGATAGACTTGTCCTTAGTTGTTAAAATGTGAATAATGTCTATCCCACGTGGTCGTAAGGCAGCGTCACATTTCTGAATAGCTTCAGCAAAAATAGGGAATTTCAGCAAATCGGTACCTGTATTTCCAATGAAAAGATTAAGAATTAACTATTCCTACATTTATATAAAAATAAAAAAAGATTACACAACGTGCGTACCCATGCCGGGCCACTGCGATCCCATTCCGGAAAACACAAACCAAATCGGTCTCGTTGTTCCCAAATAATTTTCCGTTTCTCGCGCAGGATGCTCCGCCGTCTTCGACCCGACTATCGTATATCCTCGATACAGGTGTCCTTGAATATCATCAGTGTGTATCTCATGCAGTAGGCGAATATATTCAACGTCTACTGGATGCTTCTCGATCTAGAAAAGATGAAAGTATTTTTTTTTAATCTATTATAGATCTAATTGATGAAAACTTTGCTGATTTATTTCTCAGAAAATGCCGAATCGTGCAAAAATATGCTTCAAAGAATATAATAACATTGTGTAATTCTACCATTGAAGTATCTATATCAATAATGTATTTTTTATTTTCTGCATTTACATTATTTTTTGTCGCAATGTCATCTTTCGGCATTTTACTTCCTCTTATAGTCTCTTATTACTTGTACTTACAGCGTCTAAGAATACTTTGACAGAATCTTCAGTACGTCCAGACACCATTACCAATCTCGGTAATTCATCGGATGGAGCTCCATTATTGATCTTCTTTTTCGGATTGGATTTCAATATGATATGGCAATTGGCACCTCCGAAACCAAAAGAATTAATTCCCACGTAACCACCTTCCCAAGGTGTAGATTCGGTAACGACTTTAAATCTTCCTTCTTCAAGGGCTTTCACGCCTTCTCGCGGCCGGTTGTAATGCAAATTACCAGGAATTATATCAGTTTCCATCGCTATTATCATCTACAATAAATATTGCAATTTGACGAATTTGTAAATCTGTTGAAATATTCTGTCACCTGTTTGAATATTTATTTACACAAATAAATGTAGTAATAAAAACTTTCTATTTTAATCATATATTTAATTAAATCTTGAATTTTAATGTATAATTTTGCAATTGTAATTATATATTATATATAGCTTCAAAATCTAAATTTATTACAATTTTTCAATGATAATTTCGCAATTATTGATACATTTTTAAAAATTTGATTATCTTTACTTAAGACTCCTGAGTACTCGCCACGACCTTATTAAATTGTGACGTCAGAGGCGAGAAAATACATGCTAAAATTCTTAGATATCAACTTCGATAAAATAGCACTTCAGATGGCTTTAACGTACCCTTAAAATGCCTCTGACGTCACAATCTGACATGATCGCAACGAGGACCCAGGAACCTTAATTGAAAATTCTGAGAAATTTTGGTATAAGCGCAACGTCACCTTGGCAACTTGGCAAAGGCCGCTAGCGGGCTCAGAGTGGCCCAGGTTTGATTTGACGGCACCGATCAAGAGAGGAGTCTCTCTGCCTTTACTGAAGACAGAATCGATCGCAACAATCTCTTCAGGATCGCCGATTTTAGTGCCGATACCGTGGCATTCTAGGAAGGACAGGCAGGTCGGGGACAAACCGCAATCATTGTAGCATTCTTGCAGAAGACTGCTTTGCATCGCGCTCGACGGGAACGTAATGCCTTGCTCCTTGTAACCGTCGCAATTTGTCTTGCCATAGACGACCGTGGCGTAGATTCGTTTCGCATACTTCGCCTTCTGCAGATACACCACGGAAACGGCCTCGCTGCGAGCGTAACCATCCGCGTCGGTGTCAAAGGATTTACAGCGACCGTCGCGCGACAAAACCCCTGTAAACATTATTATGATCAATACAAAATATTTCCGAAAATAATATAAAGTACATTACAAAATATACAAGGTGTCCCATTTTAATCGACCACCCCAAACATTTTTTAATTTTTGATTGTACAACAAAATGCTTTATAATTTTTTTATCTCATATTAAATTCATTTTCCGATTATTTTACCTCAATATTTTTATGCATAAAATAACAAAAGGAATCAATTGGTAATAAAAATAACACAGTTGTTTGTAAAAAAAAATATATAGCTGCTAATTACAATTTTACATATTTTTTCTTGAAAACAATTATACATTTTCTTTACACCAGTAGATTTCTCTCATTATTTTGTGCGTAAAAATATTGAAGATCATCGAAAAATGAATATATTATGAGATATTTTATAATTTATGTAAAATTATGTCAAATTAAAGTATAAAATATCTCATAAATTATTTATTTTTTAAATGACCGTCAAATGACCTTGAAAAGCGCTGTTTAAGAAAAAAATCAGTGCAATATATATAAAGTATTTGTTTCAAAAAAGAAATAATTTTATTTCTTATATTTATACTATAATTTTTGTGCGGATTTGTATTTCATATATAGTAGTTTTACAAAAGTATAATTAATAAAAACCAAATAGCGAGGGGAGAATAAACATACCAAGACGAGAAAATTGCAGCGATACGTAGGGATGTAGACATAGATTCGCTCCTCCTACAATAGCGGCATCGCATTGACCGTCTTGTATGCATCGGTAAGCATGTTCTAGAGCAAACAAACTCGAGCTGCAAGCGGAATCCAAAGTGTAAGATGGTCCAGTTACTCCTAGCCAGTAAGAAATTCTATTCGCCATCATGGCTCTGCTGCATCCAGTAATTCCAAAACCGTTTATCTAATTGCATATACAAGAATTCAACTTGGAAAATAATTTGTCCCAGACATGCAGTCTAATTTTTTATTTTATTAAAAATAACAACAATTTTTTTAAAATTAAAGTAATTAATTATTTCAAAAATCTCAGATTTTGCAAAAATATAAAAATTTATGATAAGTTGATTTGATAAAAGATAAATTCCCATCAGTATTTTTCTTTGATTAATACATTTTTTGTAAGATGTGTACTCTATAACACTACTGTAGTAAAGATTTACCTGTAACTTTTCGTAAAACCAGGTCTTTTCAGATTCCGAGAAACATGCGCCCACAAAGACACCCGTTCGCGATCCACGTAATTGCTTCGGATTTATTCCTGCGTCGATGATAGCCTCGTAAGCGTGCTCCAGTAACATTCTGCACATCGGGTCCATCGTCTGGGCCTGCTTGAAGTGAACCCCGAAGAACAACGCGTCGAACTTGCTGACATTGTTAATCTTTCCTGTTCGCTGGGGTATATCCGGATGATCTGCCGATACAATTACAACATTTGTAAAATAAAGTATTATACTATACATAATAAAAAATATATATACACATATATAATTTATAATAAAAAATATATATATATATATATATATATATATAATTATATATCACATTATTATTCAAAATATATTGATTAAATTATATATATATATATATATATATATATATATATATATATATTATATATATATATAATTTAATCAATGTATTTTGAATAATAATATGATATATAATTATGCTAATAAAAAATGGCATGTCTATCTTATATTTAATAATTATAAGTTAAATTTATTAATTACCCAATTTCCACCGGCGATCATCGTCCGTGACCAGGTCCACTTTATTCAACAGATTGTTCTTGAGTGCATCCATATTGTTGGAATCTGGAAATCTACCGGCGATACCAGAGATGACAATTTCTTCCCCAGGTGCGGGCGCCTTATAAGTCCTCTTCGTCGATTTATTGGTCGCAGCCATCTCGGAGATTTTCCGAATAGTCCTTCAGTATCTCAGAAATGAGAGAAAACGCTGCTGTCGCCGCTCGTTATCGAAATATTATCTCAAGAATTTATAATATAAGCAATATTTGCTATTAATTTTCCTATTAATCCTGATTAATTGCACCACATAGATTTGATATGGAAAAAACTTAACAACACGCTAATCGTACAAACTGATAAACGACGAATCACGATTGAAAGACAAGACGACTCTTTATAAACGAAGAATACCCCTACCTCATGATATGAATTTCATTAATTGCTACTTTGAACTTCCTCCATTTGCGCAGCCTATTTTGCATGGTATAAACGTGTACCTTATTGTGTTTCAAAAATAAATTGTTTATTTCAAATATTATCTTATTATATGAGTGTTACAATATATTTAATTTTTTATAGTCGTAGAGTAACTATATACTGATTTTCCCCGAGAACCTTCTCGATAGTATTCATGAATAATAAATTAGTGAATGAATAACAAATCGTGTGATGACGTATCTGAAATAATTTTATGATTATGAGATTTATTTACAAATAATGATAGCGATTTCTGAAAAAGTTATTATAGTGTCTTCAAACGATGTGTATTTAATAAACCCGGTAAATAAAAAAAAAAGTAATTATAGATTATCTGATTGATTAACATTGAACCCGATTGTAATAAATTGTAAACAAAATTTCTTTTACACATTGATCTTCTTTCTCGTAATCTAATAACCAATAATGAATATTCGTCACATCGAATCAGAGTCAAAGGCTGCCGGATGTCGCATAATATACATGGTAGAATACATAATACATGCCCTGTTATTGCCCTCTGTCAGCTACATCGTAATGTTGATGTACAAGACAATAACGCGATATTATGTGAGCGTCGATGCAATGTTAACTTAAAATCAAGGTCCCAACAATATTATATCTAATAATTTTTCAGCGACAAATTAGTGAAAATATATAAATTGTATTTCATAAGACAAAATACTCTGTTTCGCATTTATATATGTATATCCATACATATATATTTCTTATTTTGTCTTCATATTTTTGTCTTATGTAGACTAAATTATAAAAATATCAGAGTTTTGTTAATATACATAAGGAGAATATATTATATAATACTACACTGTTATAGTATTAATACTAATTTATATAATTATATTTTTAAGTACATTATTCTATTCTTATATCTGTAAATAAAAATTACATTTATATTTGCTTGTAATATTGATTGTACTTGAAAAAATTAAAATTACTAGAACATACGAGAAATAGAGTTTAGTAGTCATAACAGTTGCGAAATTTGGTTTTATAATACTAACAGAATCACACCATGTCCTTTGATCTTTAATCCTTTTTGACCTTTTGTGAGCGCTTATGACGCGTCGAATGCGTTCAACGCATATTTTTACTAAACCATCTAACATATTTTTTTTTATTGCAAATTTCTCAAACGCGTCTATTGAATAAATAAGTACATTTAATAATTTTATATATAAACTTATTTATTTAATGAATCAATAAATTATTATATTAATTAACGCTGACAGTTGCACATACGGAAAATAAACTCAACTAATTGATATGAGTTAATGACGTGGCAAGATTGTTTGAGATCTTCATCATGACACGTTTATCTCTATTTTTTATACACTATTATTATATATATTCAAGTTCTATTAAAGAGAAGCACGATAAGAGTAATTTTAAATTAAATATTATTCTACTCGAGAGTTACTTTTCTATAGAATAGAGATATCTTTTTCATACTAATTGCTAGTCGTATAAACGTGTTTTCATACAAATTGCTAGTTTCTAATAAACCAAATATAGTATTACATTATATTAAATCAAACAGATCATATACAAGACCTACTTCAATATTTGTGCACTCCAGCGAAATGTACTTTTTTTCCTTGTCCGTCCAAAGCTTCCATTAAACTCGATGTAAAACTGAATTCCGAGCTACTTTCATCTTCTTGAGCTCTGTAAAAATGAATATAATTGTACCAATTAATATACGTTTCAATTTATCTGTGTGTGTGTGCATCGATAATTTTATTTTAAATAAAATAATGACGTACAATGTATCCAAGCTTGTCAAACTGCCGTTCAACGTTGGCATATTGAAAAAACCGTCAATCTTGAGTAATTCAAAATAAGAATTTACAGTCGCCACATAAATTCCTTTCGAGCCCGCCGTGCCTAAATAACGTGGACTAGATAATTCGATTAACATACGTTCGGGACTTTTTTGCGACGAATTATACGCTTCTGCGTCAAGTTTTACAACTTCAACGGACGAGAAATGAATAATGAATAAATATGGTTTGCAGAATGCTGAAAAATAAAAGTTTTTACACATGGCCTTAATTTAATAATTTATCATTGTTAATAAAAGTTTTGTTAGATAAAATTATTTATTATTTATCGACTAATAATGTTGTGTAATTAAAACGGTATCTACCGAAAGCGAATGGTAAATGATTCCATACTGGATCATCGGCGCGAGTTCTTCTACCGTTTTCGTCCACAAATACACCAAATTCGTTATAACATAATAAAAGTTCCGCCGTGCCGCGTATATTGGAAATATTCAAAACGCAAACAGGAAATATGCCAAGCTTAGCTGCACCTGACATGGCAGCTTTAATTGAACTGTTATCTTCTTCTGGAAACTCTGTAAATAATACATTATGTATTAGTATTTCTATATTAATTATTTTCTTTATATATTAGTTTTGTGCTTATTGTTATTTTCCTTTATGTGTATTAGTTTATTATAAGTTACATAAATATCTTAATATAAATATATTATATATTTATTGGGTAAATATATTATGTATTTTAAATTTGTTTACCATCCACACTATATGTTTGTAAATCAATCTGGAAGAATTTGTGACATCCTATAATAAGGAGATTCGACGTAAATATGGCACAACTGCATGGTTCCTGTGTTTCAAGCTCACGAAGCCCGACAAACTTTCCCGAATCTTCTTCGATTTTCCATTTAAACAATCTGATCAATATATGAAAAAATGTATTTTTTGAACGTCTATAAATTAAAATTAATAAAAGTTACGTACATTACATAAGACGCAGTCGCGGCACACAGTATCTCGCCTTGCAATTGATACAGATGGCAACTATCGGAAGTAGATAATACGCTCTTTGTATTAATCGCCGGTTTAGAACAATCGGCAGCTAACGCGTTATTCTTCAGTAGTCGCAAATTGCAATACACCAACTCTCTGTATTCACCGGCTATCATTAGAGCCAGATCTAAGTGGTGATGTAAAGAGAGCTGATGTATCTGCTTGACTCCGCGTATAGTTGTAAGTGTTTGAGATTTTGAACCGCAATATGAAAACAGACCCTCTTTCGCGCCCAGCAGAAGCACGTTTTCTACACCCAATTCCACAACACAGTTCAAATCCAACTGAAAACGAATGAAATTGATGCAATAAATATGTAAAATATATACGAGCTCTCATAAAAAATAAATTTTTTTTGTATTTTGTTTTAAATCTCCTGACTCCTCGTCGATCATGTTGGAATTGTGACATCAGAGGCAAGAAAAAACATTGTAAAAATTCTTAGATTTTAATGAAAAACTATATCTTTTCATTTAAAAATGACATCTAAGAATTTTCAATGTATGCTTTTTTGCTTCTGACGCCACGATCTAACATGAACGCAATGAAGATCCAGAAGCCTTAAAAACATTTATTTTGCTTTAAAATAGACTCGATGTATATCATATATCTCAACACATTACTTACCTGATGTTTTTCTAATCTGAGCACAGTTTGATACTTATTATATGTAGGCACAGTGTACGAACTTTGATTGGTAACAGTCTTTAGAGCTTTAAGCCAGTTTCTTTTGTCAGCTTGACTCAGAGCCATAACATCCAATCTAGACGAAGGCCAACAAGTTGTTCCAGTGTTCGATTCGATTCTAAAGACAAACGGGATGTCGGATTTTGCTGTTCCCGCTACCTCGGGATGCTGTACTGTCTCGGAAACATTAAAACCATTGTTTTCCGTTAAATTTAAACGATTAATCGGTACCATTCCTGCACATGGCTGATGTTCATAGATGCACAAACATGGCTTTTCCAACTTTAAGTATTTTCTTTCCCAACAAGATTTTGATCTACCGGGTACTTTCACCCATCCTTCCATAAGACTTTCATTTTCGTTACACTTTGTTACACTTTGCAAATCCTGTACACAACATATAAATACATATAAACACACATCTGTTACAAAAATAATGAGAAATATGAATAAAGTACGATTTCTTACATCTTCCGGTTTGTCTGGCTGATCTATGGCTAATGTCTGGACGCTATCTCCTATTGACGATAAACTTTCATCGCTGTCTCCGAGAACATTATGAGAATACTTGGGCAAATCACTCGGTAAACCACAAGCCACAGGTACAGATACCGCACATTCCAAATGCGTCATGATTTGACACTTGCTGCAAGTCGCAGCGCGTCTTCCAAATTGTATAACCTTCGGACAGGCCGCACATTTTCTTGCGTGCATAGGTAAGCCTACGTTAAATCTATGCGGAATGTTGTGTCCTAGCTTTTGCGGAGATAATCGTTTGATTAATGATGCACTGCTAGTCTCTGTGATATCTTTTATCCTTTTGCTTTCATATTCTGGAGGTGCCGTAGGGGAAGTAGGTGCAGACGCGAAGAAGGAGGTACTTTTAGCTTTTTGAATTAATAACTGATCTGTCAATGTCTTCACCTTTGCTCGTTCTTTAGCCAGTTGATTCTCCAATTCACGATACCCTACAGGCATACTTGTACTCACGGGAGGCACATTTTCCTTCTGCTTGCCGAGTATTTTGTCGCACATAGTCTTTTTCTTCTTACTGCATTCTTCCAATTTCGATTGCAGGTAATCGATTAATTTAGTCTGTTGTTGCCGAGTACTTTCAGCCTTTAAATCTCTCTCTTGATAGAACTGTCTCATCTCTTCCAAAACCTTTTCCAATTCTACTATCCTAGACCTCAGTTCCTGACATTGATCCATGCTACTCTGTAGATCAGTCATAAGTCCGAAATTCGCTTCTTTCAATTCGTGCACACTCGTTAAGTATACACTGCTCTCTTCTTTCACGACTCTCGACTCTGCTTTAGCGCCTTCTAAAGCACGACTTATTTCCGAGAGATTGCACTCCATTTCACCGCATCTCATTGTCAACTCTTCAATTTGTACGCTTAGCTCTTGAGCAAGTTTCTTGTATTGGTCCCTCTGAGTGACAAGGCTGTTTCTTTCGCTTTCTATGTCACTTGTCTCGGATTCTAATTGCTCGATATTACGTTCAGCGACTAATCTTCGCGTCTTCTCTTCGTTTTGCGCGATACGTGCCTCGCGTATTTTCGTTTCAGCAGCTTCCAAATCTTTTTGCAGTTTCATTTTATCCTGAATCAGTATATTCTCGCGCGTTTCGTGATCGCTCGTTAATCTCTCATAGTCCGTCAATTGTTCTTCCAATACCGTACAGGTCTCTTTTAAGAGTTCAATATTTAATTCATAGCCTTTAATGTCTTGCTCTAATTTCGCGACTTTAGTTTCCAGTTCAGTCTTTTCTCCGTTATGTCTAGCAACTACTTGCGTCAAACGTCTATTCTCGGCGTTTAGAGTATCGACTCGATCTTGATTCGATCGTGTTTGCTTGCGAACCGCATCCAATTCTCTACGTAATGATGCGCTCGAAGATTGAAGTTCTTCGATCTGATGATTAGCTTGAGTCAAGGCCTGAAAAATACATAATGTAAAAAATATTTATAAATAATATTTCTTCTCATAAAAATTACCTTCTACAGAAAGAAGAAAAGAGAAAATGAGAGAAATATTGATTTATATTAGAGCAAGAAATTTTAATAAAATTTCTAATAATTTTCAAAAATAATATATATAATAAATAATTTTTAAACAAAACTAAATAATCTAAATATACCCTTTGTGCTGAATCAGCCTGCATTTTATTCCTAGATGCTTCTTTTGTAATATCGTTCAATGACACTTTTGCAATGTCTAATTCTTTTAATAGTTTTTTAAGATTCTCTTCTTCTTCCTTTGTTTTGCTGTTTAATTTCTCTTGCAATTTTTGTTTTTCTTCTTGCAGCATTTTGATCTTATCCTCTGCTCTCTTACTTTCTCTCACAGCTATTCGTTTATCTAAGTTAGCATCTGACAATTCCTTTTCCTTCTTCCATAGAGCTAATTGAGCTTGTTTCGCTGTTTGTTTTTCAACTGAAATTTCTTCTCTTAGAGATTGAAGTTGTTGTACCAGTTTTTCTACTTTCTCTTGCTGATGAACGATGTTTGTATGATGTTTTATGCTTGCGGTATCAGTAATTCCTGCGCGAGATGTAGATGGTTGGGCCTGATCCAATTCTTTAAGACTAGCATTTTCTGCTTCTAGTTTTGTAACACTATGTTCCAAACGTTTTAATAATTCCTCTAAATTGTAAACCTTGCGCAACTGTTCCTCTGGAATCAAATAACAAAACAATGTAAAAAAATGGTATTGTTAAATTTAGTTTCTTCTATAAGATTGTTTACCTTCTTTGTTCAAGGAGTCTTGTAATCTCTTTTGTAATGTAACTTTATCTTGCGCCGCTTGCTCTAAATTTAAAGCGAGAGCCTCGCTTTGCTCCAAATTCATCATGGTTTCATTTAGATCAGACTTCGTAACCTTTAATAAGCAATTGTTTAAATTGAAAGAAAAAGTTATTGTACTGATTGTTTGTAAAATATTTGGATACTCACTTCTAACTGCCGCTTTAATTGTTCATTTTCAAGATTCATTCTTTCTAATTGTTCTTGTAGACTTGTAAGCATCTGGTCGGATGTTTTCAGATCATCTATCTGTTTTGCTTTCTCTTGCAGTTGTTTACGTAAAGTTTCAATCTCAACATCTCTTGCTGGTAATGTGGCTTGTATACTACGCAATTGTTCTTGACAGTCTTTTAATTCATTTTGTGCAAGTTCTAAAGCAACATTTAATCTTGACTCGCGACAGTGGTTCGAATCCTGTTCATTGCGTAACCTAGTCTCAAGATCTGTATTCTTTGCTGCTTCAAAATCTAATTTCGCTCGTAAGTCAGCCAACTGATTATGAGCGCGCGCAGATATTTCTTCTAACTTAATTTCAACACCTTGAACACTTTGTCTATTTAATTCACGTGTTTTCGCCAAGGATTCCTTATATTGTGTCTAGATATATTAAAAATTTTGAATTAGTGAATTCTTCAAGTTATCCCATTTATAATTTATCTTTATTAGCAATATTATCTAATTGACACATAACATATTCATCTCATGTCATTAAATTGTATTATATCCTAGAAATATATACATATATATATATATATATTATATTACTTACTTGAAATACACGCAATTTATCCAATTCAGCATTTGCAGTTTGCAGTTCACATTCTGCTTTTTGTAATTGCGAATTTAATTCATTATTACTTGCACATAGCGATGTAATTTTTATAGTTTGTCCTTCGATATGTTGATTTAATTGTGCAATTTTATCTTTTTCTGCATTTTCCCATTTGCGTTTTGCATCTCTTATTAATCCAAGCGCACGAGTCTCTAGCTCTCTTCTTTCCTGCCGTTCTAAATCTGATTAAAAAAACACACAGTCAAATTTTTATCAAATAACAAATAGAAGTTATATTAATTAGAATAATTGTGGGCCACGTGAGCTTTTCTCCACAAATATAATTTAGTATTATATAGATCTGTACGTGCAATTGAAATATATTATTATAAAATTTTACCTAACGTTCTTTTAATGCTTGCCAGTTCTGATCGTGTAGAGACCAGTTCTTTCTCAAGTATATCTCTTTCCTTGTTGGATGTTTGCAATCTCCGTGTTTTTTCTTCCAATTTAGATTCCATTTGAGATAATTCCTTGACTTTATCCTGTAATTCATGTATTTTCCTTTGCATTTGTTTCTCTTGAAGTTCCTTCTTTTTTTCATCCAGCTTTGTTTCTAGCTCCATCTTCTCCTTTGAGAATTTATCCAACTGCTTAGGGAACTTGTATTCAAAATACGGTGATTTTTTCGACGACATGGCTTCTGTAGTTCCAGCTAAATAATAAAATTCATAATTATTCTGAGCTCTATTAATTCGTGATTAATGATAAAAGTTTACCTGTAACGTATTCAAATTTGAAAAAAGATTTCATGACATGTTCCTCTCCGCTCTGCTTTCAGGAATGTAGATCGTAGCAAGTAAACGAGATATTTTCTACTCACACTCCATGCACAACACAGAAAAAACTTTGCTCTTTGCACTTTCGGACTATTTTGATCCACCGTAATTGTCAACAAGTACGAATAAACGCGATTTGATTCCTCGCCTCATTATTTCTAAATTACGCGGTTACACTTACGTGGATTATTCACAGATGACATATTAGTTCCTCCAAAGTTTACGTTTCATCACAATTTCTTCTGGACTCGTAACGGTCGCGTCGCAAGTAGCTTCGTGTACTCGCGATTTGAATTTAATACGTCATTCGCGACACCAGAGCGCGCGACTTGAGTTATCGCGCTGACCTCTAGCGGCGATATTCGAAAAAATAGCAAGATAATTTCTATCTTACCTACGATTGCAAAAGTTTACTTTGCACTTATCATGTAATAAACATATGCAGAAAAATTGCATATTTGAAAAAATTGAGAATAAATAAAATATAAAATATATATATATATATATATAATACATATATAATATAATTTTTCCCTCATTTTCTTAACGAAATTTTGATTTATGTGAATAATTCTCTTTTTAATATTAATAAATTCTTTTCCTAATTAATTTATTTAAATTTATTCAAAGTTGAATAAGTACAAAGTTTTTTTGCTATTTGTAATTATTATCCATTCTATTACTGTTAATAATTGATAATTCAAAAATTATTAGAGCCTCGACTCTTTTCAAAAAGAAAATTCTAAATTCTAAAGAATTTATTTTGTAAGAAAATTTCCACTTCTTAGAATACATCCTATAGAGTATACTCATCGTTATAATTTTTGTAACTCACAATCATGTCCAGGATAGCGGATAAGACTCGAAATGTAGAATAGGTATTGAACGCAAATAAACGTGGCAAGAAAGTATATTGTATTTTGTCCTTTTAATCATTACCATACGAACCGTTACTTACAAATCAAACTGTGATTGTTTCTTCTGTATCTGTATCTCATGTTATGGTGTGTATGTGTAACTGCACTTGCATATGTTCACTTTACGAAATAATGTTTATCGTCTATTTAGCATTTCTCTTAGTTGTATATCATTAACGTCATTACCGTTATTGATATTATTATTATTATTTTACTTACTTTGATACAATAAGGCGCTATGTGGTAGTGTAAATAATATAATAATATAACTTTAATTAAATACATGAGCATGATAAATTCAGCATTTATGAGAGCTGAGGCAATATATATATATATATATATATATATATATATATATATATATATATATATATATATAAATTGCCTTTTTTCTGAGTTTAATTTTGTAATCGCTTTATGAATCTGCAAGTTTACGAGATGCTCTGTAAAATCGCACTGATAAAAATACATTTGTAAATAACGCAGAGTGAATTAATCACTACTGCTGTAAACTCTCCTTTGTCTCTCTTGTGTATATATATGTATGTGTGTGTACACATACATACATACATATACATATATATGTATTATACATTATATTTATAAGCATGTAACATATAATCATCAAGATGCGTATATACAAAAATATATACAAATTTCTCCCAGTTTTATTACACTTTTTAGGCCTCTTTCCTCTTTTTTCACTTTTAAAACTCGCACTGGGCTCCTCAATATACAAGTAATATGGCATCCGTTACCTTGAAAAAACTTCTCACAAAGTTTTTGACAATTTAGAATGGTCCTATTTTGCATTATTTTTTTTTCAATAAAAAATGCGATAAAAAATATTTCTTATCTATATTGTGCATTATTAAAGAATTTTGTCGATTTTTAATTTTAGTAAAATTTTTATCAAAATTTTGTATTGTTTAAGAGAGAGAACCCGCTTTAGACAATCTTATAATTTGCGACTAAATTCGGAATAGAATTTTATGTGTCGTACATTATGAAAAGACGGGCTTTTCAAAAATATAGAAAAATATATATATAAAATATATATTTACGATATATATATATATATATATATATATATATATATATATTGAAATATGCGACACATAAAGTTACAAATACACTATCTGTTTCGAATTATAAAAATCCTGTCTAAAGCAGAATTTGAAAAGGCTTTGACCATTCAAATTAATAATTGTTACAGTAAAAGATGTCAACATACTTTCTGAAATTTCTTTTCACTATAAATCTGGTATAAATATAATTGATCACACAATCTATTTAATGATATGTTTTTAGAATACTCGTTATAAATTAATTGCATCAAATTGACCAATTGAATTGTCAGTTACAAATCTTTTTTATAAAATAAATACTGTAATAAGAGCTAATAAAAATCAAGCGCTAAAATAGCGCTAAAAATTGTCTTTGAAAAAATTCAATTATACCTATATAAATAGAATTTGAACATTTTAAATCTTTTTAAACATTTTAAACATTTTAAGCCTTTTTTAAACTAGAATGCTATACAGAAAATCAACATCATGAGACAAAGTCAATTAACCAGTGACTAATGATGCGACTACTGCATGTGCATAATTTTTGGAAAGACTACTTTCTATAAAATAATTAACACCGGACATATATTGGACCTAAAATCGCAGCTGTAATTCGAATCGTTGCTTATTCGCGAAAATAGCAGTGAGTATTTTCGATTGTCATTTTCATCTTTCATCTAGATGTTCGCCTCTGATGCAATAACACAAGCATTACTGAATACAGACTCGAATACAGACCGAATTCAGAATCGTTGCGTTGCAAAGATATATCTATTGGTCAGAATAGAGTAACATTTGATTGACCGATTAGTAAAAAGAGAAAATATTTCTTTACTCCTTTCTTTGCGACGAGATTATCGAATGCAACTTGGCAAATCATCAGTTAACAAAACTTCATCAGACACACAATTTAATTTAATCAGCATTAACATATAGTTAAATATGTTATGCGTATTACTTTCATGTTGCATAAAAAATCGCGATTCTTGAAAAATTATACGCGATTTAAAAAGTAATTATTTTATATTTACTTTCATCTATTTTTCATTTCACACGATAAATAATTATTAATTGCACCGCGATAATCTATACCAGATACCCTGTATTATTACCGTCACAGTACTTCTTTTCCGCACGACAAATTCGATCATAAGGCACGTATATCGAGAATCGATAAGCGTGTAAAATACACTTGGGCACATTTCCACTGGACAAGGAGCTTCAAAATTAGAAAACCGAAAGCAATTGTAAAAACGACAATACCGAGATCGGACGAAAACGAACCAGCCAATCTAGACGCAGCCCTTTCTTGTCAAACTTTTGAGTCGCAGACCAGCTGCTCGGTGGGTCATGTGTTTCGACGCACAAAGGAAACGAACGATAATACAATACGCAAGTATATATTGCGGTCGCGACATGAATTCGGGCGCGAGTCGAATATAATTAACAATTAAATAATCTATCGTATATGGAGTATCGTTTAAATAATTTATGTCTTCGTATGTACACATCGCACTCGCGCGTTTCCGCGCAATTCTCGTTACTGCATCTATCGAAAGGCTGTTTTTTTCTAGCACGCAACATTGGCACACGCACATTCAATAACGTTCATCTTTTTGTTCCTTCGACGCGTCCTTACAATCTGCACATGGCACCTGGGAGTCAGAATTAGGAAAAGCAGCGGTTTCGACTCTCTTCCTTTGTCTTTTCTCATCTTGCTATTTGAAAGGCAGATTTACGGTGACGCCGGAAATTGTGATTACGCACAATCTTCCTCGAAGGTGTTCTCACACTTCCACACCGAGAACCCTGTCGACGACGTATTCGTATCTCTTTGTCGGCTCCCCGTTATCTTCGCTATTCTTCTCCGCGATGGACTTAGATAAGGCCTCGCTCTCGCCGTTTTCCGAATTTCGTGCACTGGATTCCGCCGCCGCTGGCCGGCCTTTCGCGTTTACAGGCTTATCGGTATTCTTGGTCAGAATCTCACTCTCATTGACGTTCGTAATGACAATTCCGCTCGCATTCTGATCCGCGACACTGCTGCTGTTTCTCGTGGTAGAGAACGACCCGCTTGCCCCGAAATGCTGTTCGGCCGCATCGTCGAATTTATAATGCCGTGAATGTTGGTAGCGGGCTCCGACACGTATCTTCTATGCGTATACGATGCCGTAGGACACGTAACGTCGGTTCCGAGATCCTCGGGTGGCAAAACAGGAACGTTCAAATTTACTCGCGTGAAAAAGGCCATCTTTTCTCTGAAAGAAAAAAAATAACGTTGCTTATCGAATATGATTATATTTTTGTAAACGTTGTGATCTTATACGATCCAGAAAAATCGAGAAAAATTATAGATTCGTAATTTATTTGAAGATTTTTCTTTTAATTTTCATTTAACTGATTAACTGAAATATCTGACTTGATTTCGGATATTAATATTACTTCTTAATTAAATAGAATCATGATAAATCAGATCATAATAAAAAGCAATTGGAGTAAAGCGAAACTTGTAACTTACTTGAAAGAGATGATGTCTGGTTTTCCCTTTCCCGCCTTTGTTTTCCTCAACTTGTAGAGCTCTTTCGACGTTTTCTTCATCATCTTCTCCACTTTCTTCTCCTCGGCGTTTTTACTGTTTCTTCCATTTTCGGCCTGTAGCATGAGGTTTTGGAATTTCTGATCTTCCAATAGCCATGCTGCTAGATCGGCATCGCCTTTCTCGCGCGCTTGTTCTAATCGCTGCTTCAATTCCCGTAACCTGCTAAGCTCATCCTGGAGATTGTTCAGTCTAGCGTGCTGCGCCCGGAGATCCAATTCGAGATCCAATGACGTTCTGATTGTGGGTGGCAAATAGGACGATTTTTTCGAAGTGGTTTTGTAGCTGAGAGCGGAGGAAGGCCGACGCCATCGTAGGGAACGTCTCTCCACCGAATTCCTTTGGAAAGGTCCGCCTCTACGATAAAGCGGCATACTGCTGTCGCTGTCGCTACGATTAAGCTGTACAAAGATAAGAAAGAAATCAATAAACGCGAATAAATAGAAATAGTCTATTCATATGTAGTAGAAAATTCGCATCTCAAAATACCACAGTGTGATTATAAAAACAAGTAGCAAAGTAATTTCTACGATCTTTCCATCACATATCAGTGTTTTTAAAATTTTTAAATTTAATCAATTATATATAAAGTACTTGAGTAATCGTCTATTTATGTGGGTATGCGTGATGTAGTTGCATCTTTTTAACTGTTTGTTTACAGTTTATAAATGATTTAAGGCTCCTGGCTCCTCGCCGACTATGTTGGAATTGTGACGTCAGAAGCGAGAAAACATGCTAAAAATTCGTAGATGCCATTTCGAAATAAAAAGATATTTCGATAAAACAGCATTTTGGATAATTTTAGCACACTCTTAAAATACCTCGAAAACTATGATTTTTCCTTTATAATCAATCAACAGCGGTAAAATAACTATGTGTACTCAATTCGTCTGATCTTTGCACATGCGCAGTCATTCCGCATGATAAAGTCTGATAAAGGAAAAAAATAATTTCTAAAGTATTTTAAAGATACGCTAAAGCCATTTGAAATACCTTTGTATTTGAAAATCTAAGCATCTAAGAATTTTCAATGTGTGATTTCTCGCCTTTAACGTCAACATGGCCGTAACGAAGACTCAGGAGCCTTAAAGCTTCTCGTATAAAAAATTAAAACTACACTCAAAGAATTCTATTTTTCATGGCATTGATATAAAAATAATTGAAAATAGCAAGAGAGATGTAATATGAAATTATATTTAATGAAAACTTACTCGACAGATGTAATGATTTTTGCTGACGGCCGCGCTCGGTGAGAATGTCTGACTCCTCTTGATTACAATGGAGTTCTTGTCGTCGTGAATAGCGCCGGGCACGACGCCAGCCGCAGAGAGTTTCCTTTGCTTGCCCTGCTCCGGAATAAATACGCATTCGGTGTTTGTTTCCTTGTCTTGCGTTTGCCTCGTTTCCTCATTCAGTTCTTCATCTTCCTGTTATATCACATAAAAAAATTGTAATAAAATTTAGAATCGACCCGTTGAAAAAATTCAAAGAGACAGTCAAACTTTTCGTAAGCAAGAAATAAATGTTACTTACTTCGTGCTCCAAAACATCCTCCAGAATATTGTCCTCCTTTATAAATTCCAGGCCGATGCCTTCTTCGTCGCTACCTTCGCTTCCGCTTTCGCTATTACCACCTTCCTCATCATCTTCTTCTCGGCTACCCCTACAATTGGCGAGCTCCTCAAGTCTCAACGATACGGCTGTCTGCAGCTCGTCACAGCCTTGATTTCTCGTCAAGGTAGATGTCTGAGAACTGATTATCGTACTCTCGTCGCTACTCTCTTCTTTCGTATTTTGTGCGCTTTTATACATCGAGATGTCAGATTCCTGTTTGTCGTGTTTCGTTTGCTTCATGACACTCGTAGAGGCGCTATTACTGGTGCTAGCATTGGAATTGCTGTCGGACGGTTGCATGAAGCGGAAGGAAAGTATATTGTACCATTTCACGCTAGGAGATTCTGGACTGAAGTCTGCCAGCGAGACTTGCGCAGAACCCTGTAATCAAATAAATGACTAACGTCATTTCTCATCTATCTTGGAAGGACAAGCTTTTTATTAATTTTGCCTAGATGAAATTAAGAAGCGCTGATTTTAAATACGTCTTGAATTCAGAGTAAACTTTGATCAATCAAGTATAAGAAAACTATAAACGTACCAAGCATTTTTCAGCTTCGGTACACCAAAGTGTCACTTGCAGAGTCTTCGTGTACAACTTGTTGAGCGGTACGGCGATCGAAAATATCTCGCCGAAAGTCGGTTTTCTTAGGTCCACGACGGATTTCGTGCAGCACATGTGACTGACGGGCGATTGCATCGGCAACAAAGCGACTTTGATGTATCTAAAATGCAAAACGAAAGAGAAACGTTAATTTTTGCGTGAAAAGAGGTTGACAAAAATGGTAGAGGCTACACAACAGTTACGAGAAAGTAAATAAAATTCGCGAAAAGAATCGTATATTCCTCTTTCTCTCTATCTCCTTTTCCCATTTAGGATTGGAAAATGTTGATTCACCATCACGTGAAAGATGGATCATTAATCAAACGCGTAACTATACATTAAACTGTCTCTCTTTCTCCCCCCCCCCTTCTCCTCTCTTCATCCATCCATCCATCCATCCATCCATCCATCCATCCATCCATCCATCCATCCATCCATCGAAGCGGCATACCGCGTTTTGCGAATTTATGGCCGATGGCCGGGCACAATGACTGCGGCAATAAATTTCCGAGTAGCCGTAAAGCTGATTGCAAGATCATCACAATATCGCTGATAATAAGCGAGCCCTTACATAAAAAAGGTGAATGCTGGTCAATGATCTAGACACGATACGCGACGAGGATTTCATAATTATATTTTAATCTCATTTAAATATGTCAATATCTGGGGTCTCTAGTGTGATCAATCGAGCAACTAACTCGACTGACAAATAGACAAAAGTCGAATGCATTTGCGAAACTATTAGCAGGTTGACTTAGCATTGCGCAATCGAGTTATCTAATCGGTTATCTTTGAAAGCGAGACCCCCCGTTCGCGGATATAATTCGACCTATCGGTATAATACTTATGTACATTGAACTGTATGCGATATTGACTAATCGAAAATGTAAATATTCGTCTCGAATGTTCCAAGAAATAGAAACTGAAACGAACAGTGCAACGATTGACTCTATTGCGACAAGGTAAAATGTTACTTGCAATACATACATCGCTTAAAAATAATTTAAAAAGTCTTGTAAATACTCACACTTGTGCGTTATTGGGTATGAAAAGGGCGGCTAGATTTCTCGCGCGTTCGATGCCAACATGAAGCAATCCATCACTCACCGAATACCTAGATGCAATATTATAAGTTTTAATTCCTTCCAAAATTCAGATTATCGCAAAAAAAAACAAACAAAACCTCACAAAATGTAAATTTGCAATATAAAACCATGTATATGTGAAAGTAAATGCTATACATACATTAAAATTATTTTTTGAAGATAACATATCTTTAACATATACATATAAAACTACTTGATGATCTTATACAACTCGACTGCAATACAAATTTTCCACAAACTTATTTTTTCCAACATTTCAATATTTCTAAATACGTATAATTTATTTACTCATGATATTTACAGTTTATTCGTAAATTCGTAAATACAATAAAACGTGCAATAAAACTTACCTCAGTTTGATTTGCACCTGCGCTGTTTCTAAACTCATTTCGCCGGAAGCCAATGGGTCAACGTCAGAGATGAGTCCGGACAGTCTCTTCCGATTGGACGCTTCAAAGACGCCCGAATCACCGGCGACGCTCTCATCGGAAACCGCAGCGGAAACGGATCTAGTGTTGGTGCCAGAACTGCTGGCCCTTGATCTAATCCCGGTGGGCGGTGGCGTCTCGCTGATCGGCGACAACGGGGGTGGTTCTTGAGGCGGTGGCGGCAGCTGCTGCAGCTGGTGTAATTGTACACCGGACGCGGCAGGCCTGCCTAGGCCACTACCCTGTGACATGTTACACGATTGCAATTCGACGGGAGGATGCGGACCAACCACAAGTTTCAAACGATCCTGCGAATTGGAGGAGCACGACTGCTCTTGCTGTTGCTGCGGTACTCCCTGCTGCTGACTGAATCTAAGTTCCGTCAAACGGTCTTCCAGTTGATTCCCGTCGAGATGCGACGCGGCGATCGCACCACCACTGGCTGCTCCTATCGCCGCCGCTACCGCTGCCAGGGGTATCACTCTCTGGTGCTGTCTCCTCTGTAGTTCCACTTGTTCGTAGGCAGGCGGTGGACCCATCGGCGCGTTCTCGTATAACGGTGACACCGGCGGACTTACGCTCGATAGACTCGATCTCGGTGAGAGACTGGGTTGAGATCTACCAGGCGAGGGTGTGCCAACGAGATTGTTATGATCGGAGCCACGTAACAATCTCTCGACGCGTCTGTGTAAATCCACCATGTCGACCGGTCGTTCCTGCTGCGACGAGTTGGTAGATCCTAGACACTGTGGGCCGCCGTAAATATCCGTAAAACTAAGCCCGGAACTAAGGGAACCCTTGCTACTAGTCGTGCTGAGACTACCAAGGCTGGAGCTGCTGCTAACCGATAACGTACTAGCGCTCAATGACTTCAGCTGGCCCTCTAACATCGCCATCGATCGCAAAGCGTCCCTGAGTTGTTGGAGCAACAGCTGCTTCTCCTCGTGGAGCCGTACACGATCGGTGATGGTTTTATTCGACAGTTCAAACGCGTTGTTGAGATCCTGCTCTAACCTGCGAATTTCACCCTGAATCTTCTTCATATCCTGTTGCGTCCTCGTGCGCGGCGTGATACTCCGCAGCTCTCGCAGCAGTTGCTCCTTCTCTTGGAATAGTAACAGCTTGTCCTTGTCGCTCTCGCTTTGATCCGGCGTCACCTTCACTTCGAGATCCGCCAACTGCTGTTGAATGTGTTGGATTCGCTTCCTCGCCTCATCGTACTGCAATCTCATGCGCGCCATTTCGGCCAATCGGGTCCCAATCGGCACCAGTTCACCCGAGAGATCCGTCTGGGAGGCCGTACTAAGTTTTTCTTGTGGCAAACTGAGCGTGCTAGCTTCCGGACTACCTTCACAAAATTGCAGCCTTGTCAGCTCGTCTTTGAGCTTCGCCAGCGACTGCATCAGTTCGGCCTTTTCCTTCTCTCCGGAACTCAAAGATTTTTGGATGTTACGGAGTTCGGTCATGATAGCTTGCGCTTCCGTGATATTGTAACATCCACTATGATGGCCGCTCATCTTTTGCTCAACACTATAAAAAGAAACGGTTGGCAAAAAGTTAGAGCTACTCGCAACTTATAACTAATTGGCCTCGTAATATGTATAGGTGGTTGTTGATAAAAACTCTTGTAATCCAAGCAATACTAATACTTATTTTTGTGTTTTTGAATTTTTACATAAAACAATATTATCATTTGTTTTTGAAAAGTAAAAGTCAAAATCTCCTATAATTTAGCAAAATGCGTAGAAATAATTTTTGTAAGAATGTACACGAGATTACGATTATTCGAATAAAAATGAATATAAAAACTCGACAAGGATTGTAAGATTTGTACGTGTTATACCTGACGAGAGTATCCACTCCTCGTTGCGTGCAGTTCATCTCCGCTCGAATCTGCTCGAGTTCTCGTTTTAATCGAGAAACTCGGCTCCTGGCATGTGCCACGTCGGACTTAAGCAGGTCAGGGTCGTATTTGGTTATCAAGGAACTTGAGCTGGAATATACTGTCAACCACAAATATTCGTCAATACCTTTTGACACAATTTGCCCTACGAATACTATCATATATCTGAATGATTATTGTATAAATCTATTTAGATATTTAATCGTGTATATAAAAAAAATACGAGATATTAGAAAAACTGCCGCTTCTATAATATATATAACGATATCTAAATTCATAATCTATAATTTTGTTTTACTTTAGACGACATACTTTTTAAATAGTGACTTGATCGAATATTCGCAAATACTACACAATGTTATTAATTAGTTTAAAAAAAAATTATTAAAATTTATTTTCATTAAAAAAATATTTAAAACTGTAAAAAGAGATAATTACATTTTTCTGTTAAAGTACTCACTACTTTGACGCGATGCCCCAAGGGTGGTTAAGGCGTTATTGAGGTGATTGTACTCATCCTGCGCCAGACAGAGCCTTTGCTGTTTTATGTCATAGATCTCCTTCTTCGCCTATAACACAAGAGTTTTATGATCTTTTTAAAACAACTGTCACTAACTGGTTCTCGTATCTATATTATATAACATAACACACACTCATTCTTCTAAGCAGTCGAACGTTATATCTTGGCATAATGTGTTGAGTCAAATTAATCGAGGGGCATTAAAAAGATAATAATCATCAAGAAAATAATCCGTTATAGTTAAGTAATTTTTCAATGATTTGCGATTATTTTAGTTTTAAAAATTTCGATAATTTAACTTTATGCATAGTATATTACAGGGTGTCTCGTTAAGATCAACGTTTAAGGGTAAGTTTCTAGGATCATCTGGGAACAATTTTTCCTCAGCAAAAATATCGAGGTACCAATCATTTTTTAGTTATAGACGATTAAAAATAAAGGGTTTTTCGCAAACTTGTAAGATTTCAAGTAAAGTTTACTTTAATAGAATTTTAATGTAAGCATTAGTACAAAGATATATGATGATAAAAATTGGGAACATGCTTAGGAAAAATCGTCTCCAAATAATCCCAGAAATCTATTCTTAAGCGTTGATCTGATCTTTACAGGACACCATATATATAGAGAGAGTAATGTGTTTCTGCTGCAAAAATTGCTATTAAATGAGGAAAATATGTGTGGTATATTTAAAAATGAAAAAGAATCTAGTTTCCAAAAGATAAATGTATAAAAAAAAACTATCTTTTTTCAACGTAAAAGCTTTCACAAGAAACCTAAATAACACGTTGAAAAAGAAATCTTTGCTTTCGTTGTTATAGATAATCAGAATGAAATAGATATGCAGTATTCGATAAAACGATGGAGAGAATTCTTTCATCACTGTATTATTATTCCAATTTTCGCACGATTTGCAACAGATGTATCACAATTTCACCAAAGGCAATTCATATCCACACAATCGGAATCGCATTTCACCATGAAAAAAATTTCTAGCGATAAAATTTTGCAAAGCATCTCCGTTAAAGGAGAGAAACATAATTTTAATCACAAAGATACAACTCGCACTTTCACGTTAAAGCGAAGAAACGATATTTGCTAAGAGAAGAGAAGCAGCACAAATATACTTTGAAATATACGATTTCTTCCCAAGAAGAATCCTTACATATTCGCAATAATAATAGGCCGTTGCATCGGTGTCATCGCGCTTGTAACACTGTTCCCAGTAGAACTTTTGTATCTGCTCATCGTTCTCGTAATCGTTGTGATAGCACATCCTCATGCGATACTGCGACACAACGTTCTCGTAGATCTGCTCCTGCTGTTGCTGTTGATACTGAAGATAGGAGGTCGGACGTTGCAAAAGGTTAGTCTTGCGTTGCTGTTCTTGCTGCGCCTGTTGATGATGGTAATTGTCGACGTAGCTACGGTACTGGTATGCCGGTACGAGTACACAGAGGGTGTACTGACGGTCCATGCCGGGTACACGGTGGACTGTGCGCACTCTCTGCTATCGTGGCTACGCGACGATGCCTTTCTTCCTCTTCTTCACCCTCTTCTTCCTTCTCCGCGCGCTCGTCCCGCTGCTTTTTCTTCTCTTCTTCCTCTCTTCTTCTCCTATTCCTTTTCCACCACCTTCTCTCTCTTCTCGTTTCGCCGTTTTTCTTCTGTTCCTCCTCTCTTTCTCTCTCTCTTTCTCTCTCGTGCCCTCCTGCGCTTGTGTGTACTCTCCTATTTCCTCTTTTCTCCTCACCTCATCTTCGCGAAGGCCTCCTCGAGACTGGCCGGTGTACGGGGCCCGAAATTCCGATCCCCACCTCCGTGGGTCTCAATTTTTAAGGGATCCCACCTTTTTTCCTCTTTTTACCTTCTCTTCCTTCGCTTCTTGCATCGTCCAGCCAGTTCTGTTTGCCCCCTCTTCGAGGCTCCCACCTACCTCTCCTCCAACACCCCTTTTACCCCCACCGGGACAACCTCGTGCGCGCAGCCTCTTTCCTCTCTTCAACGGGATGAAGCACGAACTGGCTTCGCGAACTCCCCCTCTTTACTTTCCTTCTCTGCTTCTTCTTCTTCTTTTCCTTCTTCATCATCATCATCATCATCATTATCAACATCGTCAGCATCATCATCATCATCGCCATCATCATTATCATTATCATCACCATCAGCATCATCATCATCATCATCATCATCATCATCATCATCATCATCATCATCATCATCATCATCATCATCATCATCATCATCATATCATCATCATCATCATCATCATTATCACCATCACCATCATCATCGTCATCATCATCATCACCATCATCATCGTCATCATCATCGTCATCATCATCGTCATCATCATCGTCATCATCATCGTCATCATCATCGTCATCATCATCGTCATCATCATCGTCATCATCATCATCATCATCATCATTATCAACATCATCATCATCATCATCATCATCATCCCCCATCATTTTATTCTTCTTCTCTCCCTTCTCTTTCATCGTCATCTTCTCTTCTCTTATTCCAGAGGCAGATTCGAGGTTTCTCGGCGGCCTCAAGCGCCTCTTTCTTCCTCATAACCAGGACCCCGATAAGCTGCGACTAGAGAGGGTTGCTTTCAAATTTCAATCATTCGATTAAACCCACGCTACAAAGCGGAACGCCCCGTCAGTCAACTCGAATCGTATGACTCGTCCTAGCAAATTTCAATCTTGTATCGAAATATTAGCATACTATACGTGTGTATATATTATGCAATCTGTGCAAAATATTTGCAAGAAGGGGTTAACTAAAAAGAGTTATTTTAATGACGGCAAAGGTGCGATAATGTTTCGCGTCTTTTACAAGCGCTCTCGAATCCTCGATCGAAGTAAATTTTGGTCGGGGCGGAAATCCGCGTTTATCATCGCACTACGGTATAGGGCGCCTCGAGGGCGCTCGCTTTTTTTCAGACCCGTGGAATGTCCGCGCGCGATCCAGAAGCACAGGGCGCCCTCGGGCAAATGTATGATCCTGCACGATTGGTGGGGCGCATTGGTTAGCGTGCGCGCGGGTTAAGAGGACGAGGTAGCGAGAAAGAAAGGGGGGTTTAGTCTCAGGATCGCGGAGGACGAACGAAAGGCAAGAGCAAAGACGGACGGAAAAGAGGCACCGAGGAAGGGCGAGAGAAGAGAAGAAGGGGAAGAGAGATCCGGCGAGGTCACGGTACGACCCTGCTGAACGTGGTCGCGCATCCGTCGGGCCCCATCCGTCGGTAGTAGAACCGACCTTGAGTCGCGCATTATGCCCCGTCCTTGTTGGAATTTCTGGGGCCCCTACTGGCCCATCAGCCGTGTCTCCGATCATCTAAGAGCAGCCGGGGCCTTCTCTCTCGCTCGTTGCCCCGTCTCATCCCACCATCTCCCCTATGCCAATCGCGAAACGGCTCCTCTCTGCCCATGGGGCATGCGAGGGGCACACGAGGGGGCTTCAGCGATATATGTGCATCGGGGAAGAGTGCGCACGGATTTCTTCGTCCCCCCTCTTCTCGCACGGTGCCCTCACGGGTCCTCCCACCCTTTCCTCCGCCCTTCCTTATTTCTTCTTCATCATTTCTTTCTCCTCGCCCTCGAAACGTCGGAGAGAGAACCCACGGCGCCTCGCGCGCATATTTCTCGGTCTATACTATTATTGTCGAGGGAGCACGCAGATGGTATCGAGTACGGGCCGGTTCGTCCGCTCCGCGGAAAGGCCCTTTATTTTTCTCCCCTTCTTCCTCCTTCTCTTCTTTTTCGCCTCTTCCTATTTCTCCTTCGTCGTCGCCGTCGCCGTCGACCTCCACATTCTTTTTTCGTTCGATGGACTTTCTTCTTCGAATCGGCGAAACGACGTCCATTTCCGACAGGAAATTCTCGCTTTTGAATTCCAATTGTCGTCCTTCCTTGGGGCTTAATCCTAATCTTTTATTCCGTAAATAGGATTTGATTCTTGACGTTGCTCTATCCCTCACGACTCATCGTTGCAAATACAATATATTTTGTATTACACGTGCAAGCAAAGTGGCACTTTGTGTGCGTGTTTCCTGTGCGGAAAGCGGCCGATTTCCCACGCCGCGAGATGGCGGCGTGCGCGATCGCGCGCACAAAGCCACTTTGCCTGCACTCGTAATACAAAATAGTATGTGTATCACGCGCGGATTGACAATTGTTCACTCATGTGGGGTGGTCCATCCCTGGCACTCGTGTCCAATTGTCAACTTTCCGCACTTGATACACAATATACTATATACTTGTTTTTATTTTACCATATCTTCAATATTTGTGATACATGTGGACGGTATTTTTGCGATTCTGTGATTATCTGCACGGTAATTGAAAAAATTCCACATTTTACGGCACAAATACGAGCTATCGCTCTGGAATAAATTCTACTTGAATTTAAGAATCGTTTCCTTAGACACGGAAGGAAATAAATACAAGACGTACGCGTTAAAATGCAATACGCATTGGACTTTAGTACAAGCTTTTACGCCTCATTCGCTCCAGTCGTCTTGTTTACGACTTTAGCTGAAATATTATATACCTCAGCTCGTATCCCTACTTTTCGAGATCATCCCATACACGCCTAGGACATTTCTCCCGCTTCAAGGGAATTGAAAAGAACGAGAAGAAGGAGAGGAGGCCTCTCCGACGACAGCCGCATTCCAAGCGGGACGTCCTAATACCGTTCCTAGCACGACAAAAAACAAAAGGTCATCTCGAAGGATACGGCAGGATCATACGAGAGATGGAAGAAAAGCTCTCTTTCTCTCTCTCTTTCAGGGGATATATCCCTGTGCGCGAACGGCCGCGATTTATACCGCCCGGAGCACGCTATCCTAGAGCCGAATGCCTAACTGATTGCTGAATTCCATTCCATCGGCCTGCCCCTTCTCTTCCTCTCTTTCTCTTCCTGCTTCTCGCTCCTGAGCGAGCGCGCCTTTTCCGCCTCGAGAACGCCTATACGAACGTCGTCGTTTGCTCTCGTTCAAAATTCCATCAGCTTTTGATCGAATTTCTACTATCCCAAAGAATTTCAGATCGATCTCGAACGATTCCGCAAGACAAAATTTTGTCATTTAACAGCAGGCTCAGTGAAAAAATTTCCTGAATTTTTCAGATTTTCCCCTCCAAAAAAGGAATTCATTTTTTTCCCTCACTTTTTAGTATTATTTTTCCAAATATATCATTTGCATATATCTATATGAGAAATCAATTAAATGTTGAGTCATGAAATCCTAGAGATATTTTTGGCAACAATGAAAAGGTTCGGAAGTTCAAACCAAAATTTTAATCAATTATACAATCTGCATTATGTACGACGATCGAAACAAACGTGCCATTATAAACTATTTAAATAATTACTTTTTTTATTTATATTATAATCAAATTTTTTTGTTTTGTCTCTATCAAACACATTGAAATAAAATAACACGACGATGAAAATATAAATTAATAAACACGCTGTAGATGAATCGATTTTTAACAACACAGAAAATTAGCGTGCTGAGAGTCAAGGAAAAGTTTATATTTATTTAATAAAAAATTTCAAATTATTCAGACAAATGTAGAATAATGTGAAATTATCGCACACAATTTTACAATGACATAAGTAATTAGAAAAGTAAAATAATTAATGGTAAGAGCTATTATTATCATTATTCATATTGAACAACAATAATAGCTCTTTGTATTAATTATTTTTATTTCTGTAAATATTTATTTAGCGTCGTAAGAAAATCGTGTTATCGTTCATCGTTGATCCGCATAAATAAAATTATCATATAGTACTTCATAAACGGATTTTTCAACATTTAATAATATACATTCTCCGAACGCGTTCCTCTCATTTTACATTGGAATGACTTACCTCACCAGAGCTTATCGAGAACTCAAACAAGTTTCACGTCAAAGATCAATAAAAAGGGAAATTTAAAAAAATCAAAATATGTTATAAAAAAACAGCGATCACTTTTTTCCTCGCATGTTATTTTCATCCACAATAACTTTTTGTTTTGTGAAATTAAACAAAAAATTCATCTGCGCGCGCGATAGATGACACGACAAGAATCGAAATGTCAAAATATTCCGACACGAGATCTGGCGGGATAATAATTAGTCATTTTTGATTAATATACAAAGTGGTTCTGAACTACGTCAGAGATTTTAAAGGTGTCAAAATAAGAAAAAATTTCTATAAATATGGGTCCAAATATGAAAATTAGCACACACCCTCCCCACATAATCTCCTTCTCAAAATCGAATAAAATTCTCAAAACCTCATAAAAATGAAGTACTCGCTATTATATAATAATTATTATGCTTTTCTCTCCCAACTTTAGGGGACAATAACTCGGAGGAGACGCATTCTTGGGCCCATGTTTATAGAAACTTTTTTTTATTTTGACCCCTAGAATACGCTCTTAAAATCAAAATCTCTGACATAGTTTTAGAAACACCCTGTATATAGATATGCGTGTGCTATCTCGACGCAGGATGCTTTCCCGCGCGATGAAAGGACGATGTCCGTTCGCGAAGGCGCGAAGCAAAGCGG